CCTTATCTTATTCATCAATATGTTGTTTAATTACGATACTAACCTGACTCACTTAAATGTGAGTTATTCTCATTAGTTTAAAAACTACACGTTTCAGGTGAGTGTCTTATTTGAACAGTTCAACAGTATATTGGTGAGTAGATGGCTGCGGAACTCGCTGCGCTCGTCCCGCAGAGGTCCACCCATAAGTTCTGCAATAATCCACATATTGGTACTTGAATAATAACCTATTATATAAAGTCGAAATTTGTAAGATTATGATTATTCACTTTTTGTCAATTTGCCTTTCAACAGGAATTAGTAATGTTGCTCCACCAAACTAGTAGCATAATGTGACAAGTTATTCAAGTACAAATGAGTGAATTGTTGCGGAACCTATGGATGGACCTCTGCGGGACGAGCGCAGCGAGTTCCGCAGCCACCTATTCATCAATCTGTTGTTTAATTACGATACTAACGCGACTCATTCAAATGTGAGTTATTCTCATTAGTTTAAAAACTACACGTTTCAGGTTAATGTCTTATTTGAACAGTTCAACAGTGTATTGGTGAGTAGATGGCCTGCGCTCGTCCCGCAGAGGTCCATCCATAAGTTCCGCAATAATCCACTTATTTGTACCGGGTGTTTTTTTTTTATATATTGACACCCCACCTACAGCCTTCACGTTTACAGATAGAATAAAGATGTAAATACAACAGTTGTACAGTTTTAACTGAATTTTCAGAAACCATGGTCAGAAACAAAATTTGAATGTCAGAAATGTGAAATTTTGTATGCTTCCAGCTTTTTTCAAATGGGATATCCTATATTTCATTCTATATTCCTGAAGAGCATAATGCTTCGATTTATATTTGATTGAGCAATCTCTCATATATTAAGCTCCAAAAATTGTAAAAATACTATCTTACTACTGATTTTGTGAACCCTACCTGCAAGTAAAATTTGAGGTACTTGGTTTCTCTGATAGTATTTTTAAAATTTTTAGAACCAAATATGTTGGAGATGCCTCAACTAAATATAGACAAACTATATAGTTTTGGAATCGGGAAATTGTGCTCTTCAAGAATATAGAACCAAATATAGCGTAACCTATAAAAATTTAGCCAATACTATACAAATTTTGTATATACACCTTTCTTCTACCTGTAAAGGTAAAGGCTATAGGTGGGGTGTCAATATATAAAAAAACACCCTGTACTTGGAATACTTACCAGAGTATTTGAATTATTTTACTTGAAAAAATCATGAAGTACTAAAAGTAAGTACTTGAAACTTGAAGTACTTTTCAAATTGAAAGTATTTATAAGTATTTATACTTGCAACATGAATTTCTCGTAATTGATACTTGGTAGGGTGGTAGATAATCTTAAATTCCGTCTGGAATAGAAGCAGAAGCATAATAAAAGATTCATGATTCCAAGACCTTAGAAAAATGGTATAAGTAATCAAACTTAAACCTTAAGGGAAAAATAGGGGTTTAATGTATGTAATTTTGAGAAATTGATTTAATTGTCTTAAAGGTGAAGTATGATTAGTACATATCAATGAATATACTTTACAGTTTAGTAAAATTTCTTCCCATAATTAAACGTTTTTTGGAAGAGGACGTCTTTAAAACGTCACTTTTCACTTTTCAGACGTTTTTGAGTATTTTTCAAAAAACACGTTTACCTAAGGCCAATTTTCAATAAAAAAATCTTTAAGATATCACATTTTGTAAATTTTCAAGAATTTTAAAAAGAGGTTTGTGGGTAGTTTTTTCCGGAAAATTTGATTCCTGATTATTGGAAATCCAAAGATAGTAAATGATTGACTCTAGAGATTTTAATGATTCAAATATGAAAGACTGACAGGAAATTCCTGCTGACTTATTTCTCAAGGTAGTTTTCCTATTTCGGATATGATTTTTTTTCAGGATTTCGAAAAAGAAAAACTAATTTTTTACAATTTGTCACTTATTTGGGGAAATCCCACAGTTCTGATAGGTACCAATAACAATAAGTACAAATATGTCCAAGAATAATTCTTCTCATACTGACTTTTATGTTAAAAAATCTTCTTCTGATACCTGTCCAAGAACTTTTCTAAGAATTTCAAAAGGAAGTTCCATGTTACACGGAAACAAAATAGAAATAATGTTTGTTGTTTACACCTGTAGGTCATCAATATCCTGACCTAGTGCAACTTAAGCACGTCTTCCTCTATGGCAAATAAATTCCTCCTTCGAAATGGAAAAAATCGTATTTTATACACGTGGGTCTGTGGGTGCGCTGTACTAAAGGCGAAGCTACGCCTTGAAGTAGTTTTCAGTTCGGTTTCGCGTTTCCTAGAGAGGTAATCGTGCTTGAAAGTGAAAATATTTCTATACGTGACGCATAAATACCCCCCAGGTGGGTAATTTATAATTATTTTGAAATAAGTTGTTTGACAGTTTTTTTGTTGAAAACTTCTTATTTGTTTGAAACAATTATTGTTAAATAATAAATACCTACTTTCTTATTGTGTACCTACTGCAATTATATTATACATTTCAATGTCTTGATATAAGTAGAAAAAATTCCCATCATTACAGTTATAAATGCAAGCCTCGTTATGTCCAACACACTTTGTTTTTTTTATGGAATGACTACCTAGATTTCACACGCGTGCTGTAAATATTAACTATAGTCGATATCTATAAAGATTCTACAGGAGCTATAATTTCGCTATAAGGAATGAACAGGAAGGAAAATTAATCATTTTTCAAACATTTACATTCTAACTTATTAGGCCGGAGTTACACAGTTCCTTAATTCCTAAAAAGTTCAATTTATTCAACATTGGTGTTTTTGAAGATTGAAAATTAAGGAATTGGGTAACCTCGGCCTTACATTTCAAGATAAATTTCTAAAAACCTGAAATTGTATCATAAATATGAATTTGAAATTTTGATTAGATTTTTGTAAACTTTGAAAAATCATAACTTTTTCTCTATTAGAGATAGAAAGCTCAAATTTTCAGCGATTATCCTAGTAGAGGACTACAATTCCTGGATATTTCAGCTCATTTGGACTTGTAGTTACAGAAATAAAACCGTGTTAAGCAATTTGGGATGATTTTTCAATTTTTCTGAGTGGCTTTTTTCATGGATTTCGGCTCCAAATCTCAAAATAATTTAGTGTATAGACATTGGGGGATCCCAAAGGACCATTAAGACACAAAATCTCAAAAAAAAAAAAAAATTGAAATTTCATCGTTTTAGTAAGAAGGTATGATAACTTTATTATTTAGATTTTGGAAAATTTTGAAAGATCATAACTTTTTTTCTATTATAAATGAAAAGTTAAAATTTTCAGTGATTCTTATCTCAGTATAGAGGACTACAATCTCTGGAAATTTCAGCTCATTTGGACTGATACTTCCAGAAATAAAATCGTGTTAAAAATTTTGAGGTGATTTATCTATTTTTCAATTTTTCTGAGTGCCTTTTTTATAGATTTCGGCTCTAAATCTCAAAATAATTTAGTGTACGGACATTTGGGGATTCTAAAGGACCATAAAGACACAAAATCTCAACAAAAAAAAAAATTGAAATTTCGTTCTTTTAGTAAGAAGGTAGCTTATGATTTAGATTTTGGAAAACTTTGAAAGGTCATAACTTTTTTTCTATCAAAGATAGAAAGCTGAAATTTTCAGCGATCTTATCCCACTAGAGGACTACAATCTCTGAAAATTTCAGCTCATTTGAACTTATAGTTTCAGAAATAAAATCGTGTTAAGCAATTTAGGGTGATTTTTCAATGTTTCAATTTTTCTGAGTGCCTTTTTTCATAGATTTCGGCTTCAAATTTGAAAATAAATTATTGAATGGAGTTGAGGGGGTTCCAAAAGACCATTGAGACACAAAATCTCAACAAAAAAAATTTGAAATTTCATTCTTTTAGTAAGAAGGTAGCTGTATGATTTAGATTTTGGAAAACTTTGAAACGTCATAACTCTTCTTCTATTATAGAAAGAAAGGTGAAATTTTCAGCGATTCTTATACCATTAGAGGACTGCAATCCCTGAAAATTTCAGCTCATTTGGAGTTATAATTTCAGAAATAAAATCGTGTTAAGGACTTTGGGGTAATTGATCAATTTTTCAATTTTTCAATTTTTCTGGGCTAGACAAACCCTGGGATAGGTTTAATGTTTTAAGAGAAATTTTATATACCTATATACGATTATGCGATAATAGTTTGGTTAAATCTGTATTCAATTATTTAAAACAATGCAAAGTGGATACATACAATATGTATTATCTATACTTTTATTAAAAGAATACAATTTGCTCATTGCTGATTCTTCGAAGAACAATTCTGAGTCGAAAATAAATTATTTTTGGAATCAATGACTCAACAAACCCACAAAAATACTCTTTTAAAGCCAAGAATTCTTTTTTACCTGCTTCTTCATACACCTATCTACCCACCGACTGCAATTTTAATATGCTTAATCATGTTACAGGTATTCCTCTACCTGCTGCTACCAAAAAATTCCAAATCAGGTTTTTGTGAATGTCGTACCGTGATGGTACCTTGTGTATTTTAGCAGAATAACTGCATTATTTAATTAGTGGAAAATTCTAGTAGTTAACCGCACACAATTAAGTGATAAGAGTTACTATTTTAGTACCCAAAAGTAACGTCACCTTCACACACCATAGAGGAAATATTTTATGTACTCGAGGATTACAACAAAACTTGATAAGGTTTTTATATTTGTTTATTTAACATTCAGGTGCCTACCTTTAATTGTTTAGTTTGAATCTCCCTTGTCAGTTTTAGTAGAATTACATTTAAATTGGTAAAATGAGTGTTTGTAGTAGCAATTTATTTATTAAGATTACTAGGGGTGAGTTTAAGAATTTTTCTAGTTTGAACATATTTTAACCCACTGACCATATTCAATATCTGAAAAATTATTGTAGTTTGACTTTAGGTGAAATAAATATAAATTATCAAAGTTCTTTGTTTCAGTTCGACCACGTTCCATTTCACCAAATAAAAATTCCCCAGGGGAACACACAGCAGAAGATATGATTCCGGAAACCCGGACCCCGTCATCTTTGTTAAGCGACGATGGGCTGATAGCTCCCAAAAAGCCTGCCAATCCTGTACGAGAGGATCCTGGCCGACAAAATCTTCACAGAGAATTGTTATTTAATCAAAAAATGTAAGAATATACAATCTCTATATTAAAGTCTAATATAAAGAAACATCTGATATGAAAAAGGCACTAAAAAAAATGCTGAATTTTTATCGTCACAATATCAAAAAAAACTACGTCATTATACACGAAGTATACAAGTGTTCTCCAGATTTTTGCTTATACACGCTGGATGGCTATTGTTGTTTAAGCTCCTCGTATCCAGTTTCCCGGAACTGTGTGTGAGTGTGTGCTTTTGTAAAGAATTTTTACTTCACGTGTTCGCATTAATGCACACGTTTTGTGCCTTTTTAATACTTGAACTTTTGCAAAAACGCTGCCTGCATTTTGAGTAATTAGACGTTGAAGGAGTTCGTAAGGCGGAATGGATATTGCAGAGCTTGTATATGGAATTGAAATTCAAAATGACTATACATTATATTACATCACATGGTTGTTAATAAATCTTTGCATTCTAGTTCTCACTTTCCGCGTTCTTCCTGGGTAATTTGATACTTATTTCATTCCGCTCCATATGTTCTAAACTGGTTGACAATTTAAACCAATTTTAAAAATTATTTAACATCTTCAAACACATCCTATCCATATGCAACTTTCTTCTTAATAATTGACTAATTATCAATATTAAGAACGGATGCTGCAATATGAAACATACACAGGCTTTATATAATTTCATCACTGAACGTTTAATGAGTGCGTTCAATGTGCCGGATGTTTTTACCTTTTTTTTTTTCTTCTTGTTTCATGTTCGTGTGGTTTATGAAACCGTTGCATTATATTATTGCAGACAGCGCAATATTTAATCATAATTGATATTTTCAGAGGCAAAAATGTCTTGAACCAAAAATCCGAGCTGCAAAGGGCGTTGGAAAAACACAAAGACAACATTGCCAAGAAACAGCTTGAACATCACATAGCAGACACAACTCCAGAGTTGGAAAAAGTTATTGCGGATAGGGCGAGGCGATTGGAGAATCCTGTCAAACAAGAGGTAAAAATTTGTCTAATAATATACAAACAAAAATATAATTTATATATTTGTAGAATGAAGAAGACAAAGTCATAAACAAAGAATTTCTTCAGGCAAGAATGAAACTGAAATCTACCAATGAATCCAAATAGGTTTTCGAATAATTTTAGGAAGTCAATTTCTATTAATTCAACCAACTAAAACAATAGGAAACCAGATCTTAAACAAAACATTTAATTCTTAGTATTGATGAATTATAAGAATAATATTTGTTCGTGTAATTAATAATTATTATATTGTTTTTTAATTTTTAAATTTTGTTAATGTGATAAAAATGGTAAGAATGTGACAAAATTGAAAAAATAATTTTAAAAAAATGACTAGAATAATAATTGTATGTTGCCTATTTTATAAGTTTTAGGATTTAAGGAGCGCCTCTATTGATTTGTATATGATGATTATTGCTAAAATAAATATTTTTTTGTAACAATTTTTATTTTGTTTTTCCTGTAAAGTCATTGTTTAAAATCAAATAATAAATAAATACCATTTCAAAATAGTACAGACTACAGTTTGTTTTATATAGATTTCTGCTGCTCTTTTACTTTGATAAAAATCAAAATCTAGAGACTTTGAGCTACACATCAACAAGACTATTGATAGTAGAGTGCTCCTTATAATATATATCGACTTTTGTGGGCGCGTCGGAGTTACAAGCTGAAATTTTCACAGAATGAAGGTTTTATTATGTTAATTCAAAATCCCAAGGTAATACAAAATCAGAACGGGCAAAAGGGCACTATAATTAAAAATTGAGATTATTGCATGAACGTATAGAATATTAATTTATGACTGTTTGCATACATTTGGTAATGGTAAATTAATGGAAAAAGCGGGTCAAAATTAGTGCAAAACAACCCTGACATCAATTCCAAATGCCTATTTTAAGCAGAAACAAAAATAAAAAGAAAATCCTATTTTTGGCTTTGGAAAATTTTCCAAATCTTGACATGGTCATGAATAATTGCCCATATCTTTGGTAAATCTCAAGCAAATTGAAATAAATTATACATCATTGGAAATAGCTCTAAATTCTCTATAAATGCTGTGCTGTGCAAAATTGAGTTCGATAGCTGGGATAGTTTTTGAGCAATTGAGCCTCAAAGTTGACTTTTAGTCCAAATTTTGTCAAAAACTTCAAACTCGATTTGCTCAAAAACTAGAAGTCTGGAAATATTGTAAATTATAGGCCATGTAGAAATTGATAAAAGCTACAAATTCTGGAAATTTTGATGCAATTTGCTCAACGGTTACCAAGCAATTGAGGTTTGAATATTTTGAAATCAGAATTCAAAGGAAGGTACCCTTATGAAAAATTCGATTTTTTTATTTTTTAGTTTTGCTCAATTTTGACTTTATGAATCGATAGAGCGGGTCAAAATTAGTGGAAAACAACCCTGATATCAATTTCAAATGGCGATTTTAAGCAGACACAAAAATAAATTAAAATCCTATTTTTGACTCTCGAAAATTTTCAAAATCCTGACATGGTCATGAATAATTTCCCATATCTTCGGTAAATTTCGAGCAAATTGAAATAAATTATACATCATTAGAAAGAGCCTTAAATTCTCTATAGATCTGTGCAAAATTGAGTTCGATAGCTCGGATAGTTTTTGAGCAATTGAGCCTCGAAGTTGACTTTTAGTCCAAATTTTGTCAAAAACTTCAAATTCAATTTGCTCAAAAACTAGATATCTGGAAATATTTTAAATTACAGGCCATTTAGAACTTGATGAAAGCTACAAATTTTGGAAATTTTAATGCAATTTGCTCAACAGTTACCGAGCAATTAAGGTTTGAATATTTTGAAATCAGAATTTAAAGGGGATACCCTTATGAAAAATTCAATTTTTTTATTTTCTAGTTTTGCTAAATGTTGACTTTATGAATCGATAGAAAGGGTCAAAATTAGTGGAAAACAACTCTGATATCAATTTCAAATGGTCATTTTAAGCAGGCACAAAAATAAATAGAAAATCCTATTTTTGGCTTTGGAAAATTTTCCAAATCTTGACATGGTCATGAATAATTGCCCATATCTTTGGTAAATCTCAAGCAAATTGAAATAAATTATACATCATTGGAAATAGCTCTAAATTCTCTATAAATGCTGTGCTGTGCAAAATTGAGTTCGATAGCTGGGATAGTTTTTGAGCAATTGAGCCTCAAAGTTGACTTTTAGTCCAAATTTTGTCAAAAACTTCAAACTCGATTTGCTCAAAAACTAGAAGTCTGGAAATATTGTAAATTATAGGCCATGTAGAAATTGATAAAAGCTACAAATTCTGGAAATTTTGATGCAATTTGCTCAACGGTTACCAAGCAATTGAGGTTTGAATATTTTGAAATCAGAATTCAAAGGAAGGTACCCTTATGAAAAATTCGATTTTTTTATTTTTTAGTTTTGCTCAATTTTGACTTTATGAATCGATAGAGCGGGTCAAAATTAGTGGAAAACAACCCTGATATCAATTTCAAATGGCGATTTTAAGCAGACACAAAAATAAATTAAAATCCTATTTTTGACTCTCGAAAATTTTCAAAATCCTGACATGGTCATGAATAATTTCCCATATCTTCGGTAAATTTCGAGCAAATTGAAATAAATTATACATCATTAGAAAGAGCCTTAAATTCTCTATAGATCAGTGCAAAATTGAGTTCGATAGCTCGGATAGTTTTTGAGCAATTGAGCCTCGAAGTTGACTTTTAGTCCAAATTTTGTCAAAAACTTCAAATTCAATTTGCTCAAAAACTAGATATCTGGAAATATTGTAAATTACAGGCCATTTAGAACTTGATGAAAGCTACAAATTTTGGAAATTTTAATGCAATTTGCTCAACAGTTACCGAGCAATTAAGGTTTGAATATTTTGAAATCAGAATTTAAAGGGGATACCCTTATGAAAAATTCAATTTTTTTATTTTCTAGTTTTGCTAAATGTTGACTTTATGAATCGATAGAAAGGGTCAAAATTAGTGGAAAACAACTCTGATATCAATTTCAAATGGTCATTTTAAGCAGGCACAAAAATAAATAGAAAATCCTATTTTTGGCTCTAAAAAATTTTCAAAATCCTGACATGGTCATGTACAATTGCCCATATCTTTGGTAAATTTGAAGCAAATTGAAATAAATTATACATCATTGAAAAGAGCCTTAAATTCTATATAAATCTTTGCAAAATTGAGTTCGATAGCTTGGATAGTTTTTGAGCAATTGAGCCTCGAAGTTGACTTTTAGTCCAAATTTTGTCAAAAACTTCAAACTCAATTTGCTCGAAAACTAGAAATCTGGAAATATTGTAAATTACAGGCCATTCAGAACTTGATGAAAGCTACAAATTCTGGAAATTTTAATGCAATTTGCTTAACGGTTACCGAGCAATTGAGGTTTGAATATTTTGAAATCAGAATTTAAAGGGGGTACCCCTATGAAAAATTCAATTTTTTTATTTTTTAGTTTGGCTCAATTTTGAATTTATGAATCGATAAAGCGAGTCAAAATTAGTGGAAAACAACCCTGATATCAATTTCAAATGGCCATTTTAAGCAGACACAAAAATAAAAAGAAAATTCTATTTTTGGTTCTGGAAAATTTTCAAAATCCTGACATGGTCATGATCAATTGCCCATATCTTTGGTAAATTTTAAGCAATTTGAAATAAATTGTACATCATTGGAAAGAGCCCTAAATTCTCTATAAATCTGTGCAAAATTGAATTCGACACCTCGGATAGTTTTTGAGCAATTGAGCCGCAAAGTTGACTTTTAGTCCAAATTTTGTCAAAAACTTCAAACTCAATTTGCTCAAGTCAAAAACTAGAAATCTGGGAATATTGTAAATCACAAACCACTTAGAGCTTAATAAGAGCTACAAATGCTGAAAGTTTTGATGCAATTTGCTCAATGGTTACTGAGCAATTGAGGTTTGAATATTTTGAAATCAGAATTTAAAAGTATATAATACCGTAAAATGGGGTTATTTTGCACCATAAGGGGATAAATTACGCCACTTGAGAAAAAAGTTCATAAATATTTTCCAGAGAGATTCAATGTAGTGAACCAACCAAACGCTTGGGTGTATTCATGGTTGTATATGCCTCCATAGATTACCCCTTGGAGTTGGAGCGTTCAAGAACTCCTAAGGGCTTTTGACGCGAAAGTAAACATTAATGGTGGAAACGGTATAAAATACCCTCTGCCAAAATCTATAGGTATATCGTGTATAATCTATTGATATAGAACAGGTAAATAATTTTTTATTATATCTTTGATGTATTATTTGGAAACTACCACCAATATTTTTTTTTCATAACAATCTACAAACATTTTAAAAAAATAATTCTTTGAAGTGTCAAAATATAGAAAATATGGGGATACTTTGCACCACGCGATAACTGGCGCAAAGTATCCTTCGCATCTGTTCAAATTTGCATTGCCTTGTTTTTCCAATTGTGGCGCAGTTTTTCGTTCCAATGCAATTTTTTTTAGAGATGCCCAGAACACACAAAAGAAGACTTGGAGCGAGAAGATACAGTAATTATAGTAAAGAATCACTTGAAGCATGTTTGGAAGAATTCAGAACTGGACATCTTTCACATAGGAAAGCAGAGGCGAAATACAATATTTCGAGGAGAACAATTTATAATAAATTGAAAACCAATTTGAGAAGTACATGATCTTGTACTGGGGAGAATTTGGCTTTCCCGTAAATACAGAGAACGGGTTACACCTTTTATCTGATGGGAGGTCTACCTCTACAGGCTTACGCGGACGACAAACCTATTGTAATAAGGGGAAAATCGAAACTTAGACTCTTCGAAACTCTTCAGGAAAAAATATTTGCATGGTGCGAGAGTGAGGATATGAAAATACATCCTCACAAAATAACTGTAGTGCCTGGAAAAGGAAGCTTGACGATCTTAACATACGAAGGGTGGTGGTATTACCCTTCGCAAACGAAGTCAAATATCTAGGAATTACTCTAGATAAAAGGTTTACCTAGATCTTCCATCTGGCAAAAATAAAACAGAAAGCTAGCTACTGACTACCCGGACCTACTGCAAGATCTGTGGCAAATCATGGCACATCATGAAAAATTAATTCGAACAAGCTGAAAGACAAGTTAAATTGTGGACCAAATGACCTACTCCTGAGAAGACTTATTAGGATCCATAGATCCACCTGTCAAGGTCTCTAAGAGAGGATTTTTCAATGTTGCTGAGTTGAAATCATGGTGGTCTTAGACTTATCATTTGGTGTTGTATTTCAACTAAATATTACCCACCATTTTTACAGAATAACTGCTGTTTTTTTAATTAGAAATAAGAAAATAATTTATTTTTTTGTATCTTTCTGAATTTCTCTTGATTTTGACCAATAAACGTGAAAAAAAAAAAACAAAATGCTGTTTTATATGATAAAATGGAGTCATACAATCTTACCAATGCTATAACTTTGCTCCACAGATCAATATAGCGTTGGTTACAGTTAGTTAAATTTGGTGGAGCAAAGTTGCCCCTCCAAATGGTATATGGTTTGCTACACTTTTAATTAAAAAAAATAAAATACCTAGAATGATTTTTTCTTTTCAAAAACTATCATCTTACTCATTTTTGGAATTTTATCTATTTTCTTTCAATTTTTTCCATGGCATTTTATTTATTTAATGTTAAAAGTAGAGCAAAGTAACCCCATTTTACGGTACGTAAAAGGATTTATTGTATTGTACAGGGTGTTTGTTTATAACTGGAACACTCCGTAACTTTTTTATTATTGAAAATAAAGGGCATGTTCACATTGGAAAATTCTTAGAAAATTAGCTTCACAAAAATATCAAACACTATTCGAATAACAAAAATATACAGGGCGTTCCATTTGAAAAAAATACCTTTTTGGCGCACCCTGTATACCTATGACGACAAAAAATATCGTTGTGGCGCTTAAGGTTGCAATTTACCAAGAAATTTTCCAACTTAAACATGACCTTTATTTTCAATAATAAAAAAGCGAGTAAAAAAGGTTACTGAGTGTTCCAGTTATAAACAAACACCCAGTACAATTGGCGAGAGAGAAAGGGAGCTACGGAAAAAAAGTGAGATGGAAGAGTACTGGTGCAGCGGGAGAGCGGGTTGTCGCGGCTCGAAGAAAATTACTTTTTTTATATTCAATTCTATATTTCCCTTAAAATTTGAAACAAAAATAATTATTCTTGCACATATACCGGGTGTCTACGAGATCAATTTCGCGCTGGCATTTGCTGGTTTTTTTTTTCGATGGCAAAGATTTTTGGTATGGAGTGTAGGTTTGAGAAATGTCATCTTTTGACATGTGTGTCAATGTTTGGTAACATCCGGTTTGACCGGAAATGGTCCTAACTCCGTAATTTTGAATGGCATCCCAATAATTTTTTTACATTTTTGGTATCTGCGGAACATGTGTACGAAAACGTCAAATTTGAACATTTTTGGATGAAAATTTATTTTTGAACAGGAAGTGACGGAGCGGTCTTAAAATTGTTATTTTCAACCAACACAATCGTAGAAAAATGCGATTGCCAAGTTATTATCCTATGCTTGTTCTCCAAAGGATTCCAAAGCTGAAAAAATCACATTTTACGTGATAACTCAGTGAAATCACCCGACTTTCATAACAAATGTTTTTTACCTTTTTCAAAATAAAACCAACTATGCATTAAATTTTTTTATTCATGCCAGTTTTTAAATATTTTTCCAATATTTTTACTATGCATTACTCTCGGCATTACTATAACTGATAAAACTACTTACAAATAAACCCCTGTATTCAAACTTTGTATTTACAAATTCCCGAGATGTCAAACAATGACAAATAAACATATCTTGCCCACAGATCTTGTCAATGGCTTGTCAAGAAAAAAAAAACACCAGCTCCTTTTGGAAAGCGTTCTTCATACAGGGGTTCATTTATAAGTAGTTTTATCATTTATAGTAGTGCATTAAAAAAGAATAATAAAAAAATCAAAAACTAACATAAATGAAAAGTTTCAATGCATAGTTGGTTTTATTTTGAAAAAGGTGAAAAACTCTTGTTGTGAAAGTTGGGTGATTTCACTGATTTCATTGAGTTATCACGCAGAATGTGATTTTTTCAACTTTGAATGCCTTTGGAGAGCAAGCAAAGGATAACATCTTGGCACTTGCATTTTTCTACGATTCTGTGGGTTGAAAATAACAATTTTAAGACCGCTCCGTCACTTTCTGTACAAAAATAAATTTTCATCCAGAGTTCTAAAATTTCTTCAAAAATGTTCAAATTTGACGTTTTCGTACACATCAATGGTACACATCATGATCCGCAGATACCAAAAATGCGAAAAAATTATTGGGATGCCATTCAAAATTACGGAGTTAGGACCATTTTCGGTCAAACCGGAAGTGACCAAAAATTGACACACATCTCAAAATATGACATTTCTCAAACCTACACTCTATACCAAAAATCTTTGCCATCGAAAAAAAAAACCAGCAAATGCCAGCGCGAAACTGATCTCGTAGACACCCGGTATATTTTAGATTACGTTTATGCAATTTGCCCGTTCTTATTTTGAATTTTGAATTAGCATTAGTAAAACCTTCATTCTGTGCAAGTTTCAGCTTGTAACCCCCACGCGCCCACAAAACTCATTTTTAGAAGGCTTTAACTGCGTTGGGCACTCTACCAAAGAATATACTGACATAATAAGCACAAAAATTAAAAAAATCATATCTTACTAAAAAAGCTTTTTTTGTTTTGGTCTTCAAACCATTCGCCATCCTAACCAGAATACAAGAAATATATCTAAAGATCTCTGTAATTGAGTATCATTTTACATTATGCTGTCTTGCATTTTTCAATTATCCCAATTAATTAAACAATAAAATCAAATTAGTAATTAACACTTATTAAGTATTATTTGATTTATTAGTTGCTAAAGGTTCAATAGCTTTATGTTTTATATAAGATAAGAAAATATTGTATAGGGCAGTTACAGCATTAATATAGAAAACTTGATATTTAACTGGTACAAAATAGAAATTGACAAATTGGGCTGGCACCCATATACACCAATCCATCTAAAAAAGAATATTTATTTCAACAAATTTTCCCTCAAGTATAAGTTCTTACCTTGTAAACTTCTAAAAACTTATCTACAAGTTCTTCATTCATTTTTTGAATGGGCTTCATTTCTAGAACTCCCATACTATAAAAGAACGCAACTATACATACAGGAGACATTAAAAACTCATCTAGACATATTTTAGAAAATACTGTTGCTAGATTTCTTTTCGGTAAAACTTTCGCTAAGTTAAGATAATAGTAATGGTTCAAAGGGCCTAGAACTATGCCCACAGTAAACATACGAGCTAAAATTAATATCTAAAACTAATGATTTTGTATTATCATACATCTTTTGTTACTTACCCATTCTTCCATAATCGTATCTTTTAGCAAGTTTCCCTTGTCTAAATTCAATTTCTTGTTCGCAAATATCGCCCAACCACAAAAGCGCTCCTCCACTTACAATGTTTGTTTGTAATAAATATTTACCAAAAACCATTTCAGAAATGTTTTTGATTTTAGTTGGACTTATAATACATTTCATTAATTTAAACATGATTTAATTTAAACTAAAAAAGTTGGATAACAAACAGGGTTTTGTTGCCAACTCAATTTCAATGCCATCTTGTGTGTGTAAAGTAAAGTACAATCCTACTACGTTTGTTGTTGCGTTGTTGTGTTGTGAAAAACTATAACCTCGTTTATGTTTATGAAATGTGTAGTTTTTCAAATTATTGTATAATAATGGAACCTCATCATGAAGGTGCGTTAATATGTAATCAAGTAATAGCCTTATACAAAAACCTCCTAAACACCTACGTATCAGATTTTTACATCGAAGACCATTGGAACACCAAATTGCCCAACAGCTGGAAAGTATTTTTGAATAATCTACCTTTAAACCAAATAGCTGATTTGCTGGACTATCAAAACCCCTCAAAAACTGTACTAGCACCCTTATCAATAATATGCCTACAAAAAATACTCCAAAACTATTCAGCAAAAAGAGCACAAGTGAAAACTGAAACCTCAACAAAACCATTAGATAAACGCTTTATGAAATACTTCTGGAAAAATGTAAAACTAAAAAAACGACACGAAATCGAAATAATGTCCGAACATTGCTATCAAGTAGCCCTCAAAACAGGCTGTTTCAATATAATAGACATTGGTTCTGGTTTGGGACATTTGAGCCGCCTATTAGCATTCAAATACGGTTTTCAAGTAATTACATTTGAAGCTAATAAAACTTTAGTTAATGAAGCCCCAAAACTTGACAACAGTTTTGAAATAATACTTTCAAAAAAATCAATTGTACATCAATGCAAAACTAAACCGAAACATATTTGTAAAATAATTCAAGACACCCTTTCAGCCAATGAGTTTGAAGATTTAATTAAAACCCTTTTTAATAATACAAATGATAACTTCAAATTTGGTATAGTAGGTCTACATCCTTGTGGCGATTTGGGTGCAACATTGTTAAGACTCTATAATGAATCCCCTAGTGCCAGGTTTATTAACATTGTTAGCTGTTGTTACAATAAACTTACCTTTTGCGGATTTCCTTTGAGTGAGTTTTACAAACAATTTCAATTTACATTGGATCGTTTATCAAGTGAAACTGCCTGCCATGCTATTGAGAATTACCTCATAAAAATTAGAAATAAGGAAATAGATTATTTGAAAGTTCATGCTTATAGGGCAGCTTTGGGATGTTTAATGAATGATGAAATTTATAGGCATTGTAAAGTTAATAATGTTAAATATGAAGAAGGGATTACATTGAAAGAGTATTGTTTGAGAGCTACAAAAAATATTTATGATTTAAGTTTTTGTGATAACGAATTGAATTATTATGAGGGGGTTATAGAAGAGACTTGGGCTAATGTGATTAAGTTTTTTTCTTTGAAGATTTTGTTAGGGCCGTTGGTGGAAACATTTATTTTATACGATAGGTTGATTTATTTGCAAGAAAACGGAAGCGATTGTGATATTTTGCCTGTATTTGATAGTCTAATATCGCCTAGGAATCATGTTTTGATAGCTCAGAAATAAATTAGTTTTTTACTTTTAATTTTGGTTTTTATTCCAACAAAAACGTAAATTGCTTCTCCCAGGCTTTTGATTTTTTTTTTCCCTAGGAGCTTTTGAGTTTTTTTAGAGGAAAAGGAGAAATATATAAAAGAGCCAGGAATAGACAAAAAAGGACGCAGAATAATGGAGACATAAATAGAAGAAATTTAAGAAAAATTGAGAAAATTATTCCAGGCTCTTGGCTCTTGATTTTTTTAACCACATAAGAGCTTACAAGTTTTCTTCATTTATAGGAGAAAAAGAGAAGCAAATGTTTAAAAAACATCTTGAATGTCGGTTATGGACTTATGGACATCCTAATTAGGGCCGTTTTATCAATAGAGGGTGAGTAAGGGATAACCCTGGGTCAAAGTTATTGTGACAAGTGTTTATCTATCCAGGGTCAACTGCTAACTCGAAAGTTATTCCAGGAAAAAGTTAACCCACGCTCTCACGGCAAGTTAGCGTATTTGACCCTGGGGTTAACCTCAACATTTTCTGTTATTTTTTGTCTACATTTTTTTGAATGTTGTAATTTTGGCTTAAATTTTGAAATTCTGAAGAGATGAAGGACCTAGATTTTTAGAGTGATGATGATCGGGATGTTCTAGAATTTCTAGAATACGAGCGACGCCCCTACCACGTAAGGTTGAAGTCAAATCCCTAATCCCTTTGACGGTTTTGATGACATCGGCGCGTTTTCGCTTATAAAAAGAAACAATCTTATTTGTTCTAGAACAAATCGAAAATGGAGCATAGACTCGAATTCCCAACAGACAGGTAGTAGGTACCACGTAATTAGTACCTATGCTTGTGGTTTTTTCTCTCAGACATTTTTTTCTCTTTACGGCCAAATTATGGACTAGTAAACGTCTGGTTGTTACCTAGCGAGTAAGTACTTTTTATGCACTAGAGCAGAGCTGGGCAAAGCTCTCACTGAAAGGGCTTGAAGCACTAAGCCCTAAGCCCTTTCTCAAAGTGCTTTCAATTCCAAGCACAAATTCCTTTTATTTTCAAAAGTGCTTCACAAGCACAAAGCCCTCAAAGTGCTTTGGGCTTGGCAAGCACAAAGCCCTCAAAGTTATTTGAAAAGGGCTTGTGCTTCAAGCCCTTTTCAAAAAAGCTTGGGGTGCCTTAAAAAGTGCTTTGAAGCTCTTTAAATGTGCTTGAAGTTCTTGAAATGTGCCTAAAGTACTTTGAATTTGTGATACAATTCTCAAAACTACCGCACATACACTCATCAGTTGAATTAGTATAGTAGAAATAGAAATGAACTTTAAATTTTACAAAGTAGCAGTAGTGCTTTATTTTATTTTTTAAGATGAAGTTCTGGAGTACTTGGGGGGGTAGTTGGAGTACTACATGGTAATTCAATTTTGTGGTTTTCAAATTGTTAAATGAGGAAAAGTGGAAAAAATTCCAGTGATGAAGTTAAATAGGATACCTTATATAAATTAATTATTTATTTGCACAATCATTAAATTCTAAGCTCAAACCCAAAACCTCCATTATTAATAAAGAAAAGAAATTGGAGGGTCCTAGTTCAAATAATAGAAAAAAAATTAAGCCACAAAACACGTCGATCCAAAATTTTTAGGTAGGGGATAGGTTGAATGATGGTCAATTCAAATTCCTTTCAAAGTGCTTCAAGCTCTTTTAAAGTGCTTCAAGCCCTTTTAAAGTGCTTCAAGCCCTTTTAAAGTGCTTGAAGCCCTTTTAAAGTGCTTCAAGCCCTTTCAAAGTGCTTCAAGCCCTTTCAAAAAGCTTCAAGCCCTTTCAAAGTGCTTCAAGCCCTTTCAAAGTGCTTCAAGCCCTTTCAAAGTGCTTCAAGCCCTTTCAAAGTGCTTCAAGCCCTCTAAAAGTAATTGAAGCTCATTGAAAGGGCTTGAATTACTTTTTTTCAATTACAAATTACCAAGCACTTTTCTGATGTAATTGACTTTGCAAGCCCCAATTACAAATATATAAAAGGGCTTGAAGCACAGGGCTTTCAAGTCCTCAAAGTGCTTCAAGCACTTTTACAAGCACAAAGCCCACAAGCCCTGCCCAGCTCTGCACTAGAGAATAGAAAGTACCCCTGCTTGGTAACAACCAGACACTTACCAGTTGGTCCATAATTTGGCCCTTGAAACAAAACAAAATATTTTCACACAGAATACGATACCGAAATTTTCGTTACGGAGACAAAAAATAGATACCATAAAGTAAGGTAATGAGCAGAAAATGTCAAAAAATCGACAAAAGTGCGCTGTCAACGTTGCATAAGTAATGCCAACTTTCAAAGAACCCGAGAGTTTATCAACCCTGAGTTGAAAAAGCTTGGGATAAACACTTTTCGAATTGAGTAGGTAGTTAGCCCAGAGTTAGAGTTAACCCAGGGCCAGCAAACTCAATATCAGACTTTTGGATGTTCTTGATTTTTTTTTTTAACCCTAAGAACTTTCGAGTTTTCATCATTTAGAAAAAAAAAGAAGAATTCAAGAGCCGGGAATAGATACAAATTGAAACAGGATAATTGAGAAATCAATAGAAAAAATGTAAGAAAATACCAAGGGGCAAACCACCTAGGAATTCTTTACCAAAAATGTAGGGAATTTGTGAGGAATTTGAAAGAACTTATCGGAATTTATGAGAATTTGGGGAATTTATAGGCAGTGGCGTGTCCAGACTTTACCAGACGGGGAAGGATAGGAGAGACCTATAATTCATCATTCAGTCAGCCATTCACAAGTTTCATATATTTCTTTTTGAAAATGTCTACATAAAGTTTAGTTTAGTGTTCTTAATAAATCCTCGAGGGGAAGCTTCCCTAGCTTACATGGTAAACACGCCACTGTTTATAGGAAATTCGGAGAATTTTGGAGGAATTTATGAGGAATTTGAAGGAAATTGTAGACTCATGACGTCACTGAGGTACATTCTTATTATAAAAAACAGTAATAAATTGGAATTTAAAAAAAAAATCTAGTTTTATTGTGTTGAACATTGGACATTCATTTTCATTAAAAAATTTCTCCCAAAATTTCACTTCATGATTTACCTGTCCAAATTTAAAAAATTCAAAACAATAATGAGTAGGTACAGTTTTTGTAGGCTGATTTCCAAGATTCTTCATGTTGTTATTTTCCACTGGAAAAATTTTAAATTTTGGGAAAATGAGCTTCTAATCGAGCTTCTAATCTTCCTATCTTCACATACAAAAAGTTTCAAATTTTTCCTTTCACTGTAGTTTTCCAGGAAAACTTTCAAATGTGTGAGATGGTATTTTCAACTAATTCAGTGTTTGTAGGTTGATTTCCAAGATTCTTTATGTTATTTTCCGCTGGAAAAATTTGAAATTTTGGGAAAATGAGCCTCTAACCTTCCTCTTCACATGCAAAAAGTTTCAAATTTCCCCTTTTACTTGTTTACCAGGAAAACTTTGAAATGTGTGAGACGGTATTATCAACTAATTCAGTTTTTGACAAGTTGATTTCCAAGATTCTTCATGTTGATTTTTATCACTAGAAAAATTTGAAATTATAGGAAAATGACCTTTCACCTTTCTCTTTACATACAAAAAGTTTCAAAATTCTCCCTTCACTAGTTTTTCAGGAAAACTTTGAAATGTGTGAGACTGTATTTTTAACTAATTTAGTTTTTGTAGGTTGATTTCCAAGATTCTTCATGTCGTTATTTTCCACTAGAAAAATTTAAAATTTTGGGAAAATGAGCTTCTCACTTTTTTACATGCAAAAAGTTTCAAAATTTTTCCTTCACTAGTTTTTCAGGAAAACTTTGAAATGTGTGAGACTGTATTTTCAATTAATTCAGTTATTATAGGTTGATTTCCAAGATTCCTCATGTTGTTATTTTCTACTGGAAAAATTTGAAATTTTGGGAAAATGAGCTTCTCACTTTCCTCTTCACATGCGAAAAGTTTCAAAATTTTCCCTTCATTAAGTTTTTCAGGAAAACTTTGAAATGTGTGAGACTGTATTGTCAAGCCAAAGAATAACACCCATTATAATATGTATTAATTATATTATAATTCGAACGTTCATTGACATGTATTGTTCTAATTTAGTTTCCTGTACAACAGGATAAACGATTATTACCAATATTGGGCAATACTGGCATTGCAATGAATTATTAGACGCATCAGCATATCAGCAAAAACTTGGTGCAACGACCCAAGTTTGAGAAATCAATAATTTCTTGCTGACAAAAGGAAATCGACTTGGATCAATAATTCGGTTTTCCTAGTCAGTTGGGTTTTAAAGCTGAAGCAAATAACAAAGCTTGAGCCGGGTTATCGGGCGCGAAAAAGTTAAAGTTGTAACGGTACAGAAAGATGGATTTCCAGCGGTAAGTCAAGTTTAATTTGTAAACTCATCATTCTAAATTTATAAAATTATTCATGTTACTTTCCCCTATTTCATTATTGTACATTTTATTTTGTAAGTAATAAACAGGCATTTTTATTTTACATTTGGTTTTCATTTTGGACTGGATCCCGAGTCCCCAGTCACGACAAAACAAGTTGTGACAGTATTTTCAATAAATTATCAGTTATTGGAGGTTTATTTCCAAGATTTTTCATGTTGTTATTTTCTACTGGAAAAATTGGAAATTTTGGGGAAATGAACTTCTCCCCTTTCCCTTTACATGCAAAAAGTTTCAAAATTTTCCCTCAATTAGTTTTCCAGGAAATCTTCGAATTGTGTGAGACTGTATTAACAATTATTTCAGTTTTTGTAAGTTGATTTCCAAAATTCTTCATGTTGCTATTTTCTACTAAAAAAATTTAAAATATTGGGAGAATGAGCTTCTCACCTTCCTCTTTACATGCAAAAGGTTTCAAAATTTTTTTCTTCACTATAGTTTTCTCGGAAAACTCTAAAATGTGTGAGACTGTATTTTCAGTTAATTCAGTTATTGTAGGTTGATTTCGAATATGCCTCATGTTGTTATTTTCTACTGGAAAAATTTGAAATTTTGGGAAAATGAGCTTCTCCCTTTCCTCTTTACATGCAAAAAGTTTCAAAATTTCCCCTTCACTAGTTTTCCAGGAAAATTTTGAATTGTGTGAGATAGTAGGTACCTATTTTTAATTAATTCAGTTATTGTAAGTTGATTTCCAAGATTCTTCATGTTGTTATTTTCCACTGGAAAAATTTGAAACTATGGGAAAATGAGCTTCCCACCTAGCTTCCTCTTCAAAAAATTCTAAAATTTTCCCTTAATTAGTTTTGGAAGAATTTGTGGGGAAGTTGGAGGAATTTTGAGGAATTATAAGTAAAAAATTCCCCTTTGAGGAATTGTTTGCACAAATTCTGAGATGGTGGTTTACCTGTTAGAAAATACATTGTAGTAGTAGAAAGTAGAAAGATTTTTTATTTATTTTTTCACCAGTCCTGTATTAAAGTCCTGTTGAAGTGCTGTATGGTCTTGTTGAAGTACTGTATAGTCCTTCTATTTAAGTCCTGTTTAAAAATTTGTACACCTACTATGGATACCTGTTTAAAAAAAAAAAAAAAACGAGTAAATTTGCTTCTTGTTTCAGCCTTGTTGTATTTGTATTTATTTTATTATAAATGCATCTTTTAATTATTAGTATTACTAGATGGTATTAATACTAAAGGTTCCTTCAACTCTGTATCATGTTTATGTTCAATATCTTTGTGTTTTATAGCAGATAAGAAGATGTTATACAGCATTGTTACGGCGTTTATATAAAAAACTTGATATTTAACTGGAACAAAACAGAAGTTTACAAATTGTGTCGGTACCCATACGCACCAATCCATCTAAAACAATATTGTTATTAACTTTAAATGGAGAATGATTTCAGATTCTTACCACATAAACTTCCATAAACTTATTTAAAATTTCTTCATTCATTTTTTTTAAAGGCTTCATTTCTAAAGCCCCCATACTATAGAAAAATGCCCCTATAAATATTGGAGACATTATAAATTGATCCAAGCCTATTTTAGTAAATACTGTTGCAAGATTTCGTTTGGGCATTACTTTTGCTATGTAAATGTAATAGTAATGGTGCAAAGGGCCTAGGGCTATGCCCACTGTGAACATACGAGCTAAAATAACACGTTAAGGCAATTCTGTTTTAGTATAGATAATAAATTTTACCCATTCTTGCATAGTCATATCTTTTAGCAATTATGCCTTGCCTGAACTCGATTTCTTGCTGGCAAATATCACCCCACCATAAAAGCACTCCTGAACTTATAATGTTTGTGTGTAATAAGTATTTCCCGAAAACTAAATTTGGAATGTTGTGGAAAACGTTTCGTTTGGGGCCAGAAGTTGAGATTTTTTTGATTTGGTAAGTTGTTGCTGGACGCACAATGCATTTTATTTTCTGAATTAACCTCAACATGGTTTATTGGATTGTAGGGAAACATGTAAACTCACGAGGTATTGCATCATAGTTATAGATTATTATGAAATTATAGATTTCTAGGAAAAAATACAAATTTTTGATTATTTACCTAAAGATTTTGCATTTTTTTTTTGTTGTAATTATTTTGTACGTTTATTGTAGCAATATTTGGATGAAATTGGTTTGTGTTATCAATAAAATTTCGAAATATCACAGCTAAAAGGAAATAAATAAATTTAAAAATTATGATTTAAAAATGTCTGTTGTTGACAAAAATTGTTACGTCCCTAGAATGCAACTTATAATTAGCGATCCAAAAAATGTATTGTTGTCCTTATATTTTACATGCTTTTAGAAAAAGACACACATACACCCAGTACGGATATACTTTTTATATTATAGGTTATGTTTCCCAGCCTTCTAGGATTTGTTGTTTATTTTTTAAAAAATTTCTATTTTTCATATTTTAAATTCAAAACTCTGTATGGTAAGAATAATTGTCCCTCCTAAACAATAAAAACCTTTAATTTAAATATTTTCAGGTTTAAATTGTTTTCCTTGTAATATCATTTGAAAAAAATGAAATTAAAACCAAATACAAAAATAATAAGCGCATTTCTCATGCTATTCATATTAACATTATCAATAATATACTATATTGTTTCATTCAATCACAAAACACCAATCAAAACCCCTTTAAAAAAGCATTATATTACCACAAATAGAACTTTTGTCCCTTTGCCCGAAAGAATAGTCCATCTAGACCTTAAGGGAGCCCCACCTAAAATCCCTTATTATTCCCAATTATTCCCTTTACTAAAAACCTTAGGCGCCACAGGAGTATTAATAGAATACGAAGACATGTTTCCTTATAAGGGCCAAATACCACAAAACATTTCCGCCCTAAACTCTTACACCCTTGACAACATAAAAACCATCAATACCTTAGCCCTAAAACACAAACTAAAAATCATACCATTTATACAAACATTGGGCCATCTAGATTTTATTTTGAAACTAAAAAACTACAAAGAGTACAGGGAAGATTGGAACATCCCATCAGACATATGTCCTTCCTTTAATAAAACTTATAAGCTACTAGAAGAAATTATAACTCAAATAATCGAGGCACATCCAAATAGTGATACGATACATATTGGATGTGATGAAGTACCCCATTTGGGTAAGAACCAAGCATGTATGGTGGCTTCAAACTAATATTGCATGTGTGGGTTAGTAATTCCATTATTTATACACAATTTAGTTCAATTTGAGCTATTTTAGGACATTGCCAAAGATGTTTGAACCGACAACTAACAAAAAATCAATTATTCGTCCATCATATTCAATCAGTTGTTAATATAATCAAACGCATAAAACCCTCATTGAAAATCCTTGCATGGGATGACCACTTTAGATCTCTAAGCAAAAATGAATTCGAATTAAATTCAATTATAAAGCCAGTGGTTTGGTGGTATGGCAAAGATGTTTATGACGAATTAGGACCAAGTTTGTGGAATGTGTATTCCAATGTTTTTGAAGGGGTATGGGTTGCCAGTGCTTTTAAAGGTACCAGCGGTAGCAACAAATATATTTCTGAAGTAAACCATTATTTGCAAAATCACAAAAGTTGGCTCACAGTTATAGAAGAGTACCGTCAACGATTGCGGTTCGAAGGAATTATTTTGACAGGTATTGAAGGGTAATAATATGAGGTGATTAGAGTTAAATTGATTTGATTTATAGGCTGGCAACGTTATGATCATTTTGCTGTTTTGTGTGAACTTTTACCGGTTGGAATACCAGCTTTGGCCATGAGTTTGAGATTATTACAAGGTAAAAAATTGTATTTTGTGAAATTTTTTATTTATTCCTCTCTCTTGAAGTTTCCTTGTGCTATTCTATAAGTGACTGTGACTTTTATTAAAGTGAGTGCCTTTTTTTATAGAATCCTGCTTCTCAAATCTGAGAATAATTTAGTGTATGGAGTTTGGGAGATCCCAAAGGATCATAAGGACACAAAATCTCAAAAAAAATAAAAAATTGAAATTTCATCGTTTTAGTACTGAGGTAAAAAAACACACCTTATGATTTAGATTTTGGAAAACTTTGAAAAGTCATAACTTTTTTTCTATTATAGATTGAAAGCTGAAATTTTCAGGGAGTCTTATTCCAGTAGAGGACTACAATCCCTGAAAATTTCAGCTTATTTGGATTTATAGTTCCAGAGATAAAATCTGGTTAATTTTTCTGAATGCCTTTTTTCATAGAATCCAGCCCCAAATCTCAGAATAATTTAGTGTATGAAGCGAGGTATGAAGTTTGGGGGATCTCATAGGACCATTAGGACACAAAATCTCAATAAAAAAAAATTTAATTTCATCGTTTTAGTATTGAGGTAGAGTAGTTACCTTATGATTTAGATTTGGGAAAATTTTGAGGTCAAAGCTTTTTTTCTATTATAGATTCAAAGCTGAAATTTTGAGGGATTTTTATTCCAGTAGAGGACTACAATCCCTGAAAATTTCAGCTCATTTGGATTTATAGTTCCAGAGATAAAATAATGTTAATCAATTTGGGGTGATTTATCAATTTTTCAATTTTTCTGAGTGCCTTTTTTCATAGAATCCAGCTCCAAATCTCAGAATAATTTACAAGAAATAGGGAACAACCTATAACTTTTCCAATATATAAGTTGAAAATTTAAAATTTGGGGAACTTAAACGAGGCAACTTTTTGAGTTTTTAAGGAGCAAATTGCGTTACCAGTCATTTCCGGGTAAACCGGAAGGGGCCATAACAAATGGGCACCCGGTATTTTTTGAGTTTTCTAGCATCAGCAGATCATTTTACGTATGATAGGACCATTTTTGAAGGATTCATAACAAAACCAAAAAAAAATAATTGCATTTAAAAATAAAGATTTTTCAAAAGTTGTTGTGTTGGGTTATTTCTCAGCGGATTTTAAAATTGTTGATATCAAAAAATAGGGGAAAAAATCTAGTTTCAAAAAATTGATAGGTTCCAACGTGGTTACATTTGAAAAATATGGAATACTTTAAGAAAACCTCTTTGTTTAATTTTGATCTGACATTATGGCGTTCAGTTGGTAAAAAATTGAAGTTACAGATTTTCCTGATATGTATTAAGAATATCCAACTAAATCAATTTACACCAGTGGCAGCGCCGAATTTTTTTTTCTAAAAATTAATTCAATTTATTTTTTTTTGTTAAAAATTTTCCAAAAATGGTCTTATCATACTTAAAATGATTTGCTGATGCCAGAAAACTTACAAAATATCGGGTGTCCTATCTGAAAAAAAAAAGTTATGGTCACTTCCGGTTGAACCGGAAGTGACTGGTAACGCAATTTACTTTTAAAAAACTCAAAAAGTTGCCTCGTTTAAGCTCCCTGAGTTTCAAATTTTCAACTTATATATTAAAAAAGTTATAGGCTGTTTCCTATTCCTTGTGTCACCCTGTATAGAATTTAAGGGGTCCCAAACGACCATTAAGACACAGAATCTCAACACAAAAAAAAATTGAAAGGACCCTCCACTTTTCTTATGCAAAATGGCTTTCGGCCAATTTTTTTAAATATTTAGTATGTTGTAGTCCTTGATGTTCTGAAAAAATATCTCCATTTGCCCAATTCGATCCTATGTTCAGTTTCCGAGATATCAGTGCTGAAAAGTTGGACAAAGGGGAATTTTAAACATTTTCCTATAATCTTAGAAATAGCCTATTATAAATAAAAACCTTACTTTTCTGATAAAATTATTATATGAGAATTTTGCTTCTAGTATGGTCCTTTAAATGTGAAATTCATTTTTTATACACGGTGAACTAAAATATTTATATAGAGGTATATTTTATTACAATTCAAAAGTACCTATGCAAAATTATCGCCCTCCATTTTGTACCGATGTTATGTATCCTAAAAACAAACGGCCAGCCTTTCACGATGCTCTGACATTTTTTATATATCGATATCCAAAAAAAAATGACGCAATAAATTGTTTGGACGGTGTAGCATAACAATGGGTATTATGGAGTTTAATGGTCTCCAAACTGAGAAGTATGGGGTGTTGAAATTACGGGGAAATCTCTGGACTTTAGAAACTGAAGACTAAAATAGCCCTCGAGCCATACATACCTTAATCCAAAAGTTAACAAGTAAAAAGTTACAGGGTGGTAAATTATCGATAGTTTTCGATTTTTTTTATTTAACTTGAAAACTTTCTAATTTTGAATTAATTCAAGTGAGGATAACGCAACCGATATCAATTTGACTGAATATTAGAATGCGCTACGTGGAGAACTAAGACAAAAATGTATAAGGTAGTATATTTCCAGCTGTCAATATATCCAAGACTACTAAAAATAGGATATCCAAACCTTATACACTTTTGTCTCAAAATATACAGGGTGTTTCTGAAACGGGAGATCAAACTTCTAGGATAAAGAGTACTCATTGAAATAAAAAAAAAGGTAATAGAAACATAGGTCCGCAAATGCGGGTGTCAAAGAAAAATATCGATTTTTTAGCTAAAAAATCCGTTTCCCGATTTTCTTTAAACTTGGCAGGTTGGTTTGTTATAAAAAAAATTATGTTTTGACTTAATTAGATATGCCGTAATTATTCCAGTGGTGCCCCAGTACGTTGGTGAAAGTAGAAAAAAATTGTCACGCCACTGTTTTTTTATAACTTTAATATATTTTTTTTAGATTTAGCAAGTCATGTTACAGTCATAAGATACCTTTTGTTATCACAAACAAAACTGCCAACAAAAAAAACATAGGAAAAACGATTTTTTCTCCAAATCTTGATAGGTACCCTGTATCTCAAAAACTAAGCAGATGACTTTCTGCGTTGAGTACTGAAACACACAACAGCTCACCTAAATTCATCCAAAATGTTTAGAAAGTTTTCATGTTAAATAACAGTTTCGAAAATTAAATTGATAATTTAACACCCTGTAACTTTCTACTTGTTAACTTTTGGACTAAGGTATGTATGGCTCAAAGGGCTATCTTGGTCTTTAGTTTCTATATAGTCCAGAGATTCCCCCGTAACTTCAAACAGCCCGTATTGAAAATCGGTACTGTCTGGAACTCGAATACCTCACAGTTTGGAAATTATTAAACCCCATAATACCCATTGTCATGTTACACCCTCCGAACAATTTATTGTGTAATTTTTCTTTGACTATCGATATATAAAAAATGTCAGAGTTTTGTGAAAATCTGGCCGTTTGTTTTTAAGATACATAACATGGGCACAAAATGGTGGACGATAATTTTGCATACCTTTGAATTGTATAAAATAAACCTCTAAAATCTTTTGGTTCACCGTGTATGAAAAATGGATTTCATATTTAAAAGACCATACTACTATAAGCAAAATTCTTATCTAGTAATTTTTTCAAAAAAGTAAGGATTTTATTTATAATAATAGGCTATTGTAAAAATTATAGGAAAATTATTAAAATTCCCCTTTGTCCAACTTTGAGCACAGATATCTCGGAAACTGGACATAGGATCGAATTGGGCCTATGGAGTCATTTGTTCAGAACATCAAGGACTACAACATACCAAATTTGTAAAAAAATTGGCCGAAAGCCATTTTACATAAGAAAAGTGAGGGGTCCTTTCATCGTTTTAGTAAGAAAGTAGGAACCTTATGATTTAGATTTTGGAAAACTTTAAAAGGTCATAACTTTTTTTTATCAAAGATAGAAAGCTGAAATTTTCAGCGATTCTTATCCCAGTAGAGGACCACTATCCCTGAAAATTTCAGTTCATTTGGACATATAGTTTTCAATTTTTGTGAGTGCCTTTTTTCATAGATTTCGGCTTCAAATCTGAGAATAATTTAGTGTATGGAGTTGAGGGGGTTTCAAAGGACCATTAGGAGACAAAATCTCAACAAAAAAAATTGAAATTTCATCGTTTTCGAGATCGTTTTAGTAAGAAGATAGCTTATGATTTAGATTTTGAAAATCTTTGAAATGGTCATAACTTTTTTTCTAATATAAATAGAAAGCTGAAATTTTCAGAGATTCTTATTTCAGTAGAGGACTACAATCCCTGAAAATTTCATCTCATTTGGACTTATAGTTTCAGAAATAAAATTGTGTTAAGCAATATGGGGTGATTTATCAATTTTTAAATTTTTCTGAGTGACTTTTTTCATAGATCGTGGCTCCAAATCTCAGAATAATTTAGTGTATGGAGTTTGGGAGATCCCAAAGGACCATTAGGACACAAAATTTCAACAAAAAAAAAATTGAAATTTCATCTTTATGACCTTTATGATTAAGATTTTGGAAAACTTTGAAAGGTCATAACTTTCTTTCTATTAAAGCGATTCTTATTCCAGTAGAGAACTACAATCTTTAAAATTTTTCAATTTTTGCAGTTTGAAAACTTAATTTTCTCCATAATAACATCGTAGCACATTTTGCCTCACAACTTTGTTAATTTCAATCCGATCTCAACGTAATTAAGTTCATAATAAAGCCAATAAAATTCTCTGCAAATATTTGGTAAATAGTTTCAATGCGATCAAGATGCAAGAGCCTCCCTAACTCAGTTAATTCAAGAGATTGAAATTTGAAGCTTCATTATTACAGTCCACAAATAAACACAGATTAATTTCTTGTAGGTTTCAAAGATTCAGCCCTAGGACCGCCCTTAGAAGTAGCCAAACTACTACAATGCGAACAACCCTATGGCCTAATAGGCACTGCTTTCGGTAGTCCCAAATGTAAATTTCCCGGTGCCGACATCCTCGAACAAGTAATCTTTTTCCATCAATTGAAGCAAGAGTTCGAAGAAATCAACGAGGATTCCAGAGTTAAAGGATGGCTGAGCCAATACAATAGAAAATATCAGTTTTCGAGTCCTCAACAAGTCAAAGCTGTGCTGATGCCTTTGGATAAAATCAAAGCGGATTTGGAGTTTGTTAAAGGGAAATTGCAAAGTGCTATGTTGGAGGTTTACGATTATTATACAGTTGACGAGTGGTTTGAAACTTATTTGGTTGATTTTGAGGAAGATGTAAGTATTAATTAATGTTTTGTTTATGGAGCTACATTTCATGTTTTATAGGTTTTATCTATGTGGAAAGCAAAGCAAATGCTGTTGGAGAGAAACGATTGGCCTCAAAAACCTATTAATAAGTATATTATAAATAAATAAAATTAATTCTTACCTTATAAGTTTCTTCATTATTCAAACTATTTCAAACCATAGAATAAATTCAACCTATAGAGGATTCAAACTTTTGAAATTTAAAATTCAAATAAACATGCTCTCATGTTTTGCATTGCTTATATCTGTCTCTGTCACACTGCTTTAGTTTTTACTCTGGCATTTTTTTATCTCTCTCACACCTGAAACGAATTTGTGTTTTTGACTGAATCAAAATAAAAAACATAACCTCAATGTCTGGTTTTTTATTTGTTTTTCAATTTTTGAAACTAAATGGATACTCCAGGAATTAGTTTATTTCAAGGTGCTGATCTACAAATAAATAATTCTAAAAATGTCGAAGAAGAGGAGGATTTGGAAGATCAGCAACGAAGGAAAGAAGAGGTATAAAATTTGGGATTTTATCTTTTGTATATTTTCTTATAATTGTGTTTTTTAAGCTTCAAAATTTGCTCCAAGCAAAGTTAGATGACTTCAATTACGATGATAGTACAATTAATTCATCAACAAATGTATCTATAGCTTCAGTAGACAATTTAGAACAACTTTATAAAGAGGCATTATCTCCTGATGAGCAAATCAAAATTCTGTATGATGTTAGGTAAAATTTCAATTTTTACTAGTATATCATGTACAAATAATTATTGTTGTAGATGTAGGGAAATTCTTGCTTTAAAAGAAGAATATGATAAATTTAAAGCTGATAAAAGTAAAGAAGTTAATTCTCTTAAGAACCAGAAAATATTACTTGAAGGAGAGTTAAGGCAAGCTGGAATATCAATGAAGAATCTTGAAAGTTTACTTGGTAATTATTTAGCTCTTTTTGTATAGAATTGGGGAAACCCCAAATTTTTTTGATAATAATTACTCAACAGGGTTAGCAAACAATTTAGCTTTGTGGATATTTCCATATAAATTATCCACAGAAAAATTGTACCAGACAAGTGATATGATGATCTTTAAAATATTCTGAATGTTTGCTGTTCTAGAGTTTCCAAAAGTTCCTCATATGATCTTTAAAGTGTTCTAGAGCATTCCAAAAAAACCTAAACTTCAAAGTATCTCAAGCTTTCTTAACTGTTCCCAAAAATTCAGAACTGATCAGGTCTGTTCTAAAGTATTTCTGAAATTCTATTTTGATTCTAAAGTGTTCTGTAACGTTTTTACAATGTTCCTGCAAGTTCCAATTTCCAAGCTCATTTTCCCAAAATTTCAAATTTTTCCAGTGGAAAATAATAACATGAACAATCTTAGAAATCAACTTACAAAAACTAAAATAATTGTTAAAACAGTCTCACACAATTCAAAGTTTTTCTGGAAAACTAATTAGGGGAAAATTTTGAAACTTTTTGCATGTGAAGAGGAAGGTCAAAGGCTCATTTTCACAGAATTTCAAATTTTTCCAGTGGAAAATAACAACATGAAGAATCTTGGAAATCCATTTCCAATTACTGAATTAATTGAAAATAGAGTCTCACACATTTTAAAGTTTTCCTGGAAAACTAGTGAAGGGAAAATTTTGAAACTTTTTGCATGTAAAGAGGAAGGGAAGAAGATCAATTTCCCAAAATTTCAAATTTTTCCAGTGGAAAATGTTAACATGAACAATTTTAGAAATCAACTTACAAAAACTGAAATAATTGTTAAAACAGTCTCACACAATTCAAAGTTTTTCTGGAAAACTAATTAGGGGAAATTTTTGAAACTTTTTGCATGTGAAGAGGAAGGTCAAAAGCTTATTTTCACAGAATTTCAAATTTTTTCATTGGAAAATAACAACATGAAGAATTTTGGAAATCCACCTCCAATCACTGAATTAATTGAAAATAGAGTCTCACACATTTTAAAGTTTTCCTGGAAAACTAGTGAAGGGAAAATTTTGAAACTTTTTGCATGTGAAGAGGAAGGGAAGAAGCTCAATTTCCCAAAATTTCAAATTTTTCCAGTGGAAAATGATAACATGAACAATTTTAGAAATCAACTTACAAAAACTGAAATAATTGTTAAAACAGTCTCACACAATTCAAAGTTTTTCTGGAAAACTAATTAGGGGAAATTTTTGAAACTTTTTGCATGTGAAGAGGAAGGTCAAAAGCTTATTTTCACAGAATTTCAAATTTTTTCATTGGAAAATAACAACATGAAGAATTTTGGAAATCCACCTCCAATCACTGAATTAATTGAAAATAGAGTCTCACACATTTTAAAGTTTTCCTGGAAAACTAGTGAAGGGAAAATTTTGAAACTTTTTGCATGTGAAGAGGAAGATTAGAAGCTCATTTTCCCAAAATTTCAAATTTTATCATCATTAGTCCATCAACTTACAAAAACTGAAATAATTGAAAATACAGTCTCACACATTTTAAAGTTTTCTTGGAAAACTACTGAAGGCAAAAATTTGAAAATTTGCATCTGAAAAGGAGAAAGGTTGAAGGCTCATTTTCCCAAAATTTCAAATTTTTCCAGTAGAAAATAACATGAGGAATATTAGAAATCAACCTGCAAAAACTGAATTAATTAAAAATACAGTCTCACACATTTTCCTGAAAAACTAGTAAAGGGAAAATTTTGAAACTTTTTGCATGTGAAGAGGAAGGTCAGAAGTTCATTTTCCGAAAATTTCAAATTTTACCAACGGAAAATAACAACAGGAAGAATCTTGGAAATCAACTTACAAAAACTGGATTAGTTGAAATTACTTACCGTCTCACACATTTCAATGTTTTCCTGGAAAACTAGTGAAAGGAAAAACTTGAAACTTTTTGCATGTGAAGAGTAGAAAGGTTAAAGGTTCATTTTCCCAAAATTTCTAATTTTTGCAGTAGAAAATAACAACATGAGGAATATTGGAAATCAACCTACAATAACTGAATTACTTAATTGAAATTACACTCTCACACATTCCGAAGTTTTCCTGGAAAACCAGTGAACGAAAAAATTTGAAACTTTTTACATGTGGATAAGAGGAAGGTTAGAAGCTCATTTTCTTAAGATTTTAAATTTTTCCAGTGGAAAATAACAACATAAAGAATCTTGGAAATCAATCTACAAAAACATTGTTTTGCATTTTTTAAATTTGGACCTGAAATCATGAAGTGTAATTTTGGGAGAATTTCTTTAATGAAAATGAATGTCCAACGTTTAACACAAAACTAGATTTTTTTTTTAAATTGCCATTTATTAGTGTTTCTTATAATAAGAATGTGACGTCAGTGACGCCATGACTAATTTTTTTTTTAATTCCTCATAAATTCCTCACAAATTCCTCTAAATTCCCCATAAATTTCGCCGAATTCCCTATAAATTCCCCAAATTCTCATAAATTCCGATGAGTTTTTTTAAATTCCCTGTAAATTCCTCTAAATTCCCCACATTTTTGGCAAAGAATTCCTAGGTGGTTTGCCCCTTGCTTAATTCTGAAGTTTTTCAAAATGCTTTCGAAAAATTTCAATTGGTTTTCTTATGATTTTGAAGTGCTGGAATCATAATGCATATATCTTCCAAATGTTCTTAAGCAGTCTTTGATACTTTTGTAGTTATCTTTATATAAATCAATAAACATTTTAGTGGATAAAACTGAAGAAATAAATAATTTAACAAAAAACCTTAAAGAAAAAGACACTCAAATGAATAAACTTCAAACACTCAACACGGAGGTAAATAGAATTCCATATACTATCAATTGATTATTTTAGCTTAATTTCAGTATGAGGGTGAATTAGTAGCATACAAATCAGAAGTAACCGAATTACATTTGAAATTACAAAAACAAAAAGGCGCATTCAATTTAGATGCAAAATTCGATTCAGATGAAATGAGAAATTCCATGCAATCTAAAATAGAAAAGCTTGAAAAGGCTTATGAGGAACAAACTAACAAATTTGAATTTTGTGTAAGAAATATATCACATAATTTCGTTTTTTTTTTTAATTAGGAAATTCATTTTAGAATGCTGAAAAGCAAGTTTTGCAAGACGAAATAGCAAGATTAGCTCAAGAAAAGATTGCTTTGGAAAGCGATAATGAAGCTATTTTAAAAAGTTTCGACAGCGCTCAGCTACAATGCAAAGATCTCATAAATGTAATTGAAGTATTGAAAACTGAAAATGATCATTTTAAGTGTAGGGTTGAAGAAAATTCAAGAAGAAAGTCTAGTAGTAATCAAATGAATTCTTCTGACACTCAAAGTGAGAAGCTTAAAAGCATGCTAGTGGATAAATCAATAGAACTAGACAGCCTTAAGACTAAACTAAAGTAATAAATACATACACTATATACATAAAACCTGATTGCAATTTTTTTTTAGCTCTTACGAAGACAATATAAAAGAACTATTAGAATACAGACAACTAAAATGCGACATATACAAAAAAGAATTCCAAAAATGTGACAACAAAAACCACACAAAAGAACTTCTAATAATGCAAAACGACTTGCAAAATTACAGAAGAATAATCGAAGATAAGAAACAACAAATATTGAGTCTAAATGCCAACAATAAGGACCTCAAAGAAAAAATTGAAGACATGATATTGCAAACGAGAAACGAAATACAAAATATGTCTTCAAAATATAATATGCCCCAGTTGGACAGTATGAAAAAAGAATTGGAAAAATCGGAGAAAATGGTGAATATTTTAACAAAGAAATTGCAGGAATCTGAAGAGGAAAGATTGAGTTTATTTGGAAAATTGAATGAATCCAAACTGGAAAGTGACTATGAGTTATTAAAGAATCAACTAAAAAATGTTATGGAGTATTTGGAAAAAAATAAGTGTCCTAAAAGTTTGATAGAAATAAAAACTAAAATGCAAAAATTTATAGAGGAAATTGACAATAAGGAATCTATTGAGAAGGGCATTATTGAAGAACAAATTAATTCATGGAAGAAATTATTGGATGAAACTATTATTACAGGTAATTATTTTTTTGGGTTTATACAATGTTCATATTATTGTCTTTTAGATGCCGATGAAGCTTTAAAAACTCAATACAAAGAAGCCATAATGAATTTACAAAGCTCAAATGAAAAAATTAAAGAATTGGAAGAAGGTATACAAGATTTGAAAAATTCCTTAACAATAGCTGAAGGTGAAAAATGTGGGCTCAGTATGGAACTAAAAGATGTTTTAGGGAAACTGGAAGAATCTGAAAAATCAAGACGTAGTTTAGAAGAAGATTTGAAAAACATTCAAATCGATGAGAAAACAGGAAAAAAAATTGGTAATAATTTCTTTTTTAGTTTTCTATGTATTTACAAATAATTGTAGATCATCTAAAGCGGCAATTAGAAAACCAGAAAGAAAAATATAATAAAAAAACTACAGACCTTGAAGCAGCCTTAGAATCTTTGAGCCTGGCGGAAAATGATAAGGAAGAACAAAAAAGGTGGATGGATAAAATGCACAATGAAATTGAAAAATTGAAAAATATAAATACCAAATTGGAGAGGCAATTAGATGTGAAAAATAATGGAACAATGGACCAAGACGAAGAAGGTATTTAATTGTAAAAAGTACATAATTGGGAATTTAATTTAATTTTAAATTCAAGCCTACAAATTGAAATTAAAAGAAGAACTAAATAAAATGGACATAATATTAAGAGAAGAAATTCAAATAGAATATCAAAACCGCATTACAGATTTGGAAAATGAATATAAAAAAACTTATAGAGAAACATCTGAGCTGTGTAAGAAACTGAAATCTGATTTGGAGCAACAAGATAAAAAGTATTTGATATCATTTTAATATCAATAATAATTATTGCTAAAAAACAATATTTTAGATTTAGAGAATATTTAAAATTGGTTTTAAAAGAATGCGAAACTTGTTCATCAAAACAAGAAATTGAAAAAACTGAGCTCATTGAAAAATATCAATTATTACAAAACCAATTTGAAGCATATAAGATAAATGTTGCTGCCCAAGACACAAAATATTTTGATGCACTTAAAAAAATGGAAATTGAATCTCAAAAGACCAATGAAGCTTGGAGATCGTGGTCGAAAAAGGTAGTTTGTAGCTGCTTGGATATTGAGGCTACAAATAAAAAAGTTAGAGATAGAGTTTTGGCTAGTATGGATAAATATGACCAAGAGGTACTTATATTTGATGGGATTTTTTTGGAAATAATTGTTTGTTTTTCAGGTGGCGGCTATACAAAAAAAGGCAGAAGCCAAAATGTCCAAAAAATCTTTAAAGAAATTAAACAGTTGATGTTGTTATGTGATTAGTTATTAGACTTTTACTTTATTTTTCTCTCAAATGATTAATAAATATAAATTTGTTTGTTTTAATGGAAATAACATCCTTTTAAAAATGTATCGTAAAATCTCATGAATCCCATTTAAAAATAATTAATGAAACTAAAAAAGAATTTAATTATTATACAGAGGTTTACTGATCATTAACCGATCACATTCTTGAGATTAACAAAGACATTTTTAGTTAAAAAAGTTAAGCTTCCTGCTTGAACCACTGTTGATTTGAAATCTATATTATCAAGTACCTTTATATTACTTTAAGTACCTACCTATTCGTTTTTCTATAAAGGTACTTCATGATAATGATTATAATGATGACCATCATCATCAAATTTTTGCTCCAATTGCTGTTCATAAATTTTTCATAAAAACTTCTTCATAAATATTCTTTTCTCTGTGGATAAAATAACTTTTTCCTGTTTACCAATTATTATGATTCAGGAGGGGCAACAGCACCAAACAGTACCTGGCCTGCTGCAACCTGATGGTCATCAGCTAGTTAGTTAACAACCGCGGTTTTAGTCGTAGTGAGAACAAAAAGCGCTGCTGCACACCGCGTATAACTAATTAACATGTTTGTGTTGTGCATTGGCCCTAATAACTTATAGTGAATATTGACCTCTGCGGTTATATAGAAAAGTGGCCATAATTGGATTATTGGAGCGCGATTTTTTTTAAGGCGTAAGTATTGTTGATTTGATTTTAAACTTTATAAATTCAAACTCCAATAATGAGGCAAAATTCCTGAATAATATTATAAAGTATAGCTTTTGCAGACAAAACAAGGTCGTTATATAATTAGATAATATATCTATGTCTTTTCAATATTATAAACGAAAGCGTGTAGTATTATAGTGCAAAATAGGCTTGACTCAATAAAGAATGACCTTCTTTGCTTCCTCTATTATTATTATTATTATTATTATTTGACACAATTTCAAAATTGGGTGTGCAAAAACAGAAAATTCAGATAAACTCGTTATCATGCCTAATAAATGTTATCACATCGATTGTTCCCGAATGATAAGGAAATCTAAGGCAAGTGGATGAAGGTTACGTAGTTACATTACAATTCAGTAATAATTTTATTATAGTGGTTTTATTGTAAATGTGAAAACTAGCATGAAAAATTAAATTTTTATTCTTTATTGGATTATTATACAAGTTATTGCCAAATAAGTAAGTAGGTACTTTTTTTGTATGATGATTATTAATATTTTTCTGTTGTTGAACCACATAGTATTTAGTTAATATTTCGGCAATTTATTATTAGTTTTGTGTATGTACCTTCTTTTTCATTAAAACATCATTTAAAAGGTACAAAATAAATAGTGAAAACAGATTATCAATAATTAAGATTTCTCAAAAATTGGAATGATACAAATATTGTTTATGTATCATCTCTAAATGTAAGCAAAATTCGTAAAATAAATAAACATTTCAAAGTAATTGTTTTTCAGTTGATTGTTGTAAGTAAAGTGAATTTTAAAATGTATAGGTTTGTTCCAACACGCCAAAAACCGTCCCATAAACGGTTCCGAAACCACACTGTATACGAATTTCGGGTTCTACGCAGAAAACGTGACAATACATTACGGTTTCTTGATGTGTTGGAACAAAGCTTATGTATCATCAAAAAAGATGAAGTTTTTTTATATATGGCCCCATGTAATGTTGCTGATGGGAATCCCGAAACATTTTTCTATAAGAGTTACTTCTTTATACAAATTGTATGTTTTTGTATTTGTTTTTTCCAATAATATGTAATTGATTTATTTAATCATAATATAATACAGTTGGAACTGAACAATTTTGTCTCTGCTATACATACCTATACGTTTATTAATAATAATTGCTTTTAGTTAAATATCTCAAGTCTGTATGTAAAATTATTATAGGAGAGAGAGCAATAACACCGAATAATGTCACACGTTCAACGTTATACGAAAATTATAAATTAGTAACAATTAATTTTTATTATAAGAAAATTGCGTCATTTCGTTTCCCAGTAAAAGCAAATTCAATGTTATTTGTTTAATAAAGTGAATCTTTATAAGGATTTTAGCACAAAGATTCCCTTATTCTTGTTAAAATAATTTTTCAATTAGATTCAACGATTCTTATCCCAGTAGAGGACACTACAATCCCTGAAAATTTCAGCTTATTTGGACTCGCGTAAAAGATTTGAAGTCAATTTATCGATTTTTCAATTTTTATAAATGCCTTTTTTCATAGAATCTGGTTCCAAATCTGAGAATAATTTAGTGTATGGAGTTTGGGGGATCCCAAAGGACCATTAGGATACAAAATCTCAACAATTTTTTTTTTGAAATTTCATCGTTTTAATAAGAAGGTTTTGGAACACTTTGAGAGGTCATAACTTTTTTTCTATTAAAGATAGAAAGCTGAAATTTTCAGCGATTCTTATCCTAGGAAAGGACTACAATCCCTGAAAATGTCAGCTCATTTGGACTTACAGTTTCAGAAATAAAATCGTGTTAAGCAATTTGGGGTGATTTATCAATTTTTCAATTTTTTTGAGTGTCTTTTTTCATAGAATCTGACTCCATATTTCAGAATAATTTAGTATATGGAGTTGGGTGATCCCTAAGGACCATTAGGACACCAAATCTCAACAAAAAAAAATTGAAATTTCATCGTTTCAGTAAGAAGATAGCTACCTTATGATTTAGATTTTGGAAAACTTGGAGAGGTCATAACTTTTTTTTCTATTACAAGTAGAAAGCTGAAATTTCCAGCGATTCTTATCCCATTAGAAGCCTGCAATCCCTGAAAATTTCAACTCATTTGGACTTACATTTTCAGAAATAAAATCGTGTTAAGCAATTTGGGGTGGTTTATCAATTTTTCTGAGTGCCTTTTTTCATAGAATCTGGCTCCAAATCTCAGAATAATTTAGTGTATGGAGTTTAGGAGATCCCAAAGAACTATTAAGACACAAAATCTCAACAAAAAATTTTTCAAATTTCATCGTTTTAGTAAGAAGCTATACCTACCTTATGATTTAGATTTTGGAAAACTAACTAAAAGATCATAACTCTTTTTCTATTATGGATAGAAAACTGAAATTTTCAGCGATTCTTATCCCAATAGAGAACTACAACCCCTGCTGAAAGTTTCAGTTCATTGGGACTCAGTTCTAGAAATAAAATCGTGGTAATTAATTGGAGGTGATTTATCAATTTAAGCAAAGAAGAATTGTTAACTTTATAAAAATACCAAAAAAATATAAATAAAATACCACCAGACAAAATATGCCCAACTCTTACAAATAATGAATGTGAAAAATGTAATTTTTTTCGGAAAAACAACAAAGTAGCTTTGGACAAAATCAAAAAATAAGAAAATTTGAGCAACAAAATATACCTAAATAGAAGAATAACATACTCCATAACATACGTAGAACAGCGAACATGACCAAGAACTTTAAGAAGGAAATGATAAAAGTGAATAAATTTATTATTGATAGATTGATTTCAAAGAAATACTTAAAAGTTCGTAAATACAAATCAAACAAAAAAGAAACATGAATCAAAATAACAAAACAAAGAGATATTCAGTATCCATAATCAAATAAACCTTTATAATAAAGTGATTTAAATCACTTACGAATTTGTCTGTAAGATAAATTTTATAGTTTTCATGGGAATTAGGTATTGTGAAATATTTTCAAGAGAATTAATTAAGTACCTATTTCCTTGATCTTCGTCCATGCTGTTTCTCTATAAGGAATGCCACTTTGTCTTGACCATCTTTGGTATTCATACAAGAATTTACAATATAACTTATTCTATGTTGAAGGTGAATTACTAATCTATCCATCAATTTATTTCTAGATTAAACTGAGATTCCAGATTGAATTCTCGTAGCTGGGAATAATTCCTAATTATTGTATGTCAAGAGTTGTTTCTAGATTGAACTGGGATTCTATAGATTGAATTCTTTTATTAAATTAATTTGATTCTAGATCGAATTCTAATGACGTATTCCTTTTCTAATTTTATTAGTTTAAAAGATTAAATAACTTTTAAAAAATATTTAAAGTGGTCTCTATTTACTTGAATTTTATCAGCTTATTGTAATCTTACTATAGCTTAATCCTATTAATCCTTTTTATTAGAAATATATGTACCTATGGTTTTTTTCTAGATACAGTCAGTCATGTTTAAAAAGCACAGGACAAAAGCGATGCCGCCCCCGCCTGCGGCGGTGCAAAACGGCCACGAAATCGACAACAACAACGTGGTGTCGAATTCGCACAAAAATTCCCACAACAGCACGGCTTCGTCGGTAACCAACTCGTTGCAATTTTACTGTCAATTGGCTCACGGAAGCCCTACGGCTTTTGTAGCAGGATTTTCGAATGTACGAGAACTTTATGGGAAGATTGGTGAAGCTTTTGATATGCCTCCGTCTGACGTAAGTAATTTTCTTTGTAATTATTATGAAAATCTGGTAGGATGATGAAGATTAATGGTGGAACAAGAATAGGGTATTTTTGGACCAAACCGATGACGATTTTTTTCTCATTTTGAGACGTTCCATATGTATCTGTATGGTAAAGCTCACTTTTCAACTTTTTCTAATTATTCTTGCATCAATCAATCTTGTCATTTGTTGGATTATTTTTCATTTTCCTTAAAGTCAATTCAAGAACCGATAATAATACAAATTTGATTTGCTTTATCTACCCAGCAAACGAAACAACGAATTCCTAGGCTCGGTGCCACAAATCGTTTTTGAACCTGGGTAGAGTCTGAATTTTGGAATGGAGAATCTTAAAAATCTGAAGTTTAAACTAATGGAAATGCAAATGCATGAAAAATTAATTTTCTTCAAAAATTAGACTACAACTTCGATTTTTGATCATTTTTTAATCCACATCAGTAGTTCACCCAGGTCTTTTTTGAACCTGGACTTTTGGAATGAAGAATCTTAAAAATCTAGAATTTGAACTGAAAAAACATGAATTTCTTACTAAAATTGCCTTTTTTGAAGCCCCAATCAAGATCTACGATTAGTCGAGGGTGTTTTTTTATACAGGGTGTCCGGAAAGTCAACGATAATACTGAAAGGGCTGATGGAGCAACTCATTAGCATCCAGAAAAACATAATATGACCTTAGTAAAAAATCGATGGCTTCCGAGATATTGTCACTTTAATAAAATTGATTAGTAATGTTACTTTACCAAACTAGTAACATAATGTAACAAGTTATTCAAGTACAAATTAGTGAATTGTTACGGAACTTATGAAACTTATGGGTGGACCTCTGCAGCCATCTATTCATCAATATGTTGTTTAATTACGATACTAACCTGACTCACTCAAATGAGTTATTCTCATTAGTTTGAATGCTACACGTTTCAAATGAATATCTTACTTGAACAGTTCAACAGTATATTGATAAGTAGATGGCTGCGGAACTCGCTGCGCTCGTCCCGCAGAGGTCCACCCATCATAAGTTCCGCAACAATCCACTTATTTGTACTTAAACAATAAGTTATTATATTATAAAGTCAAAATTTGTAAGATTATGATTATTCACTTTTTGTCAATTTACCTTAGTTTCAACAGGAATTAGTAATGTTACTTTACCAAACTAATAGTAATATAATGTGACAAGTTATTCAAGTACAAATGAGTGAATTGTTGCAGAACTTATGGATGGACCTCTGCGGGACGAGCGCAGCGAGTTCCGCAGCCATCTACTCATCAATATGTTGTTTAATTACGATACTAACCTGACTCACTCAAATGTGAATTTTTCTCATTAGTTCAGAAACTACACGAATGAGCCGGTGAGTGTCTTATTTGAACAGTTCAACAGTATATTGGTGAGTAGATGGCTGCGGAACTCGCTGCGCTCGTCCCGCAGAGGTTCACCCATAAGTTCTGCAATAATCCACTTATTTGTACTTAAACAATAACTTATTATATTATTAAGTCAAAATTTGTAAGATTATGATTATTCACTTTTTGTCAATTTACCTTTCAACAGGAATTAGTAATGTTCAGTGGCGGACCTAGGACCTTTGGGGCCCGACGCAAAAAATTTTTTTGGAGCCCTGTCATGCTTTTTTTAGGTATTTTTCTTGTGGTGTTGGGCTGTAAAGTGAGTGTGCGGAAGTTATTTATATTTTTTGGAAGTTTTTAGCAACCAAATATAGAAATAAATTTAATCAAAAAACAAGTTTATCAAGAACATATGAGACAGAAAACAAGTTAAACGAAAAAAAAATTATAAAAATTCAGGAACTTTTTATCTAAACAAAAAGAAATACATCATAGTAGTACCGCACTGCACTGATACTGTCCGTACTCCACCAACAAGTGCCATAAATTATCTGAGTCTGGAAGACAATAGGTAATTTTTTGCGAGGATAACCAAGCATAATCTTTTGCTGGATTATATGATGTGTCATTTGTGTCATACTTCCCTAACTCCTCCACCATCAAATTCTGGGATACTCGAGGATCAAGAACACCTAATTTTTTCTGAGAGAACAGATCGAAAATCACCTTTTCTACATTTAAAATCGTCGAAAAAATTAACACTAACACAGCCTGAATCGCAAGCATTCCATCGGGGTCTGCAGGTGACGTCATCACTACAAGCGGCTGATAGTAGTGACGTCACTCGCAAGCCCAGAATTTGATGTAGAGGAAGTTAGGGGAGTATGATACAATTGACACATCACATAACCCAGCATAATCAGATTATGCTTGATTATCCTCACGAAAAATTGCCTAATAGCTAAAAAAGCCGCCTAAAGTCGACGCGTCCGCGGTTGCCGCATTATCGCGTCGAATGCATCAGGGCTGGGATCACGACATTCTACTAGAATTTCTCTTTTATGACGTCAGGTTGCCTAATAATTGTCATCATCGCCTGTACTGTACGTGATAAATGTGTCGCGAATGACGTCATGAAAGTGGAATTCAACTTGTCATGATTCCAGCCCTGGATTCTCTACAGGGCCTTTATTGTCGAAACAGGAGATAAGCGTTTTGTCTTAATTGCCCATATTTCTATTTTCATAACACTGACAAAGACAGAGCAATCGTTCTTTCTCGTGAGAACCCGGTTTCAAGAATAGGCATCCTGGTATACAACGTTGCCGTCTCTTTCAAAATTTAATTTTCGTTTTTTTTTTTAAATCTACGAGTTTATTTTTTTTTATTTTTTTTTATCGGTCCCTTTAGAATCTGGTTGTGTGGGGGCCTCTCAGCTCTGGGGGCTCGACGCACAGTTCGTCGTTTGCTTCATGCTAGATCCGCCACTGGTAATGTTACTTTACCAAACTAATAATGTGACAAGTTATTTAAGTACAAATAAGTGAATTGTTGCGGAACTTATGATGGGTGGACCTCTGCGGGACGAGCGTAGCGAGTTCCGCAGCCATCTACTCATCAATATGTTGTGTAATTACGATACTAACCTGACTCACTCAAATGTGAGTTATTCTCATTAGTTTAAAAACTACATGTTTCAGGTGAATGTCTTACTCGAACAGTACAACAGTATATTGATAAGTAGATGGCTGCGGAACTCGCTGCGCTCGTCCCGCAGAGGTCCACCTATAAGCTCCGCAACAATTCACTTATTTGAACTTGAACAATAACTTATTATACTATAAAGTCAGAATTTGAAAGATTATCCACTTTTTGTCAATATGCCTTTCAACAGGAATTATTAATGTTACTTTACCAAACTAGTAATATATTGTGACAAGTTATTCAAGTACAAACAAGTGGATTGTTGCGGAATTTACGGGTGGATCTAGTCATCTATTCATCAATTGTTCAAGTAAAATACTAACCTGATTCATTCAGTTGTGAAATTTTCTCATTAGTTCAAAAACTACACGTTTCAGGTGAGTGTTTTATTTGAACAGTTCAACAGTATATTGGTGGGTAGATGGCTGCGGAACTCGCTGCGCTCGTCCCGCAGAGGTCCACCCATAAGTTCCGCAATAAACCACTTATATGTACAGGGTGTTTTTTTTATATATTGACACCCTACCTACAGCCTTTACCTTTAAAGGTAGAAGAAAGGTGTAAATACAAAAGTTGTACAGTTTTGACTGAATTTTTATAACCCATGGTCAGAAACAAAATTTGAATGTCGGAAATGTGAAATTTTGCATGCTTCCAGCTTTTATCAAATGGGTTGCCCTACATTTCATTCTATATTCTTAAAGAGTACATTGCTCCGATTCTAAAATTATATAGTTTGTCTATATTTGATTGAACAGTCTTTCATATATTCGGCTCCAAAAATTGTAAAAATACTATTTTACTACTGATTTTGTAAACCATTCTACCTATACAGGTGAAAGCTGCAGGTAAAATTTAAGTTTCTCTGATAGTATTTTCAAAATTTTTATAACGGAATATGTTGGAGACGGCTCAACCAAATATAAAGTCTGTTTTTTTTTTTTAAGATAAAAGTCAAAATGACATTATGTTGGCATTGACAATGTGAAATTGTCAATGCTTTCAATTTTTTTTATGTAGAAAAGGCTTGTGTTGCCAACATAGTTACTAAATTTTTAACTTGCAGAATTATCTTAAAAAAAAAACAGACTTTAGACAAACATAGAGTTTTGGAATCAGGAAATTGTGCTTTTTAAGAATAAAGAACCAAATATAGGGCAACTCATTTGGGAAAAGCTGAAACCATGCAATATTTCACATTGCGGACATTCAATTTTTGTTTCTAACCATAGATTCTAAAAATTTAGCCAATACTGTACAACTTTTGTATTTACACCTTTCATCTATCTGTAAAGGTAAAGGCTGTAGGTGGGGTGTCACTATATAAAAAAACACCCTGTACTTGTAGTACCTACTTGTACTCTATCTATTCCAAAAAACTTGGATTTTTATTTGATTTAGGTCAAGTATTTTGAGTTCCTACTTATAATAAAAATGAGTTTTTTGATTTGCTTGATCTGTCTTACCAAATATCAAAATGACTATGACAAACATTTTCGAATCATGCATACAGGTTATTTGATTATATCTAAGCCCATACCTTTATTTATAGAGAATTTAATGCTTTTTTTCAATGATATATGATTTATTTCAATTTGCTCGAAATTTAACAAAGATATGGGCAATAGGGAATTCTCATAAGAAATAAATATGGCTTATTTTGTTTTTATGGTGCACATTTTTGTGTAAAATATTGTATATGAGCAGTTTTGTATTAAATGTATGGATATTATAGTCATATGGCAATTATTAGTTTTAAATTGAAAAGTTTCGCGCGGAAAAGTTACGTTTAACATGGCCGCTTCCAGTGACGTCAACTGTTCGTAAACTAAGGTTAAGGGTAGTTTACACTGATCGTAAATCCACGGTCCACACTTTCGTGGTTCACTCTTGAATCGTGGAACGATTGGTCCACGATCAGCTCACGTCACGCCACGACTGATATTGAACCACCATAAACGGGTCTATAGAGGGAAGATTGTCAGACTGCGCTTTTGTAAAACCTGTATCAACCATGATGAACTATTTGAAACTCAAAATGTCACAATATGGCACTAAATACGGAAATACCTCATAAATAACCGCTTTCAAGTTTCAATGCAGTCGAAGGTTTAAGCTAAGCGATTCTTTCCGACAGTTTGCAAAGTGTCAAAGGCTCTTGTGAGAACAGACCTTAACGTTGTGTTTACAGACAGTTGACGTCACAAATTCCACCATCTTGAAGCTAATCGTTTTCGCGCCAACGAAAATAATTTGAAATTCAAAATAACTTTTTTATTTCAATGAGGACATAAAACAAAAAAAAACATATACATTTTATATTTGAAAACATAAGCAATAAGAAAAAAAATACTTTGAAAAATATGATTGTTCCCTATTAAACATTGAAATTTTTTTTGGTACAATCAACTATGTACGTGTTTAATTATTTGTCCAAGGTAAATTTCTCGTCTAAAAACAAATTCAAATTAACATGATTATATGTGTATGCGTGCTCTATGGGTATATCAACCTTTGTAATGGGAACTATGGTTGACTGAGAATCATGATGTACACACTAATATTTGAAAATGCATCTGTTTTGTATCATTATTATTATTATTTCTAGATCCTATTTTGCACACTAAACACTTTCAAACCAGACATGAAAAAACTCCTCGGAGGACAAATCGGATTAGAAGATTTCATATTTGCACACCGAAAAGGTAAAAAACATTAAGAAATTGTTAATAAAGTACCGTTAAGTTGAAACGAGAGTTTGGCCTTCGAAGAAATTTCAACAATTGCATTACAACCAAACGGTAGTTGATTACTGTTTTGTGTACTCATTAAGCCCAAAGATAATCGATGCATTGTTTTGTTGCAGGGAGGCCCAAAGAAGTAGAATTAATAAAAAATGAAGATTCATTAGGATTGACAATAACTGATAATGGAGCCGGTTATGCTTTTATTAAAAGAATCAAAGAAGGCTCAGTTATATCAGAAATTCCACACATAAAAGTAAGTAGCAATAATGTCATTTTGAAATTAGTTTAATTAAAATTAATTACTATTAAAGGTTGGTGATCATATCGAAAAACTCAACGACATAAGTATGGTAGGCAAGCGACACTTTGAAGTAGCAACAGCCCTAAAAAACATCCCCCTAGGTTCCCCTTTTACCATAAGACTAGTAGAACCAATGTCCAGCGGGTTCGGACAAATTGCACCCAAAGGAAGCAGCAAACCGCAGAAAAAGGCAGCTTATGGTTCAGGCAAAGAAACCTTACGATTCAAAGCGGGAGGTAAAGCGGAAATCCAAGAGCAAGATGACGCCATGGATACAGGAATAGAAAAAATCAATGGGGTTTTGGAATCGTTTATGGGCATCAACGATTCAGAGTTGGCTACTTTAATATGGGAAACCAGCGAGGGTAAACAGAATTCTATGGAATTTGCTGAAGCTATTGACGATTCCGATTTGGCCGCTTTTGAATTTACTGATGAACTTATTATTGAACTTTGGGGGTGTGTTACAGATGCTAGACAGGGTAGACTTAAGTGAGGTGTTTTAGTTTTTTAAGATTTCAAGTGCCTATTATACAATTTTTGTATTTTTTTTTTTTGACTGCAATCAATAATGTATTATCGATTTTGTGTTAATGTTTTTTTCATATATTGATAACAGAGCTGAATTCAAAAGTATTTTGAATCAAAAATAAGCCAGCCTGGTACTTCCCAGCTCTGCTAGGTATTTCATTTAAATAAGTATTCTTTGTAAATTTATGTTTAAACATCATATTTTAGTTTTTTTTTTTTTTAAAGAAAAATGACTTATATTTTATAGGAAATAAATATTTAATAAATAACTATTTTCCCATCTACAAATATAACCTAAAAACACTTATATTAGAGTCCTTAAATCAAATGGTTTATTCTTCGTTTCCTGATATAGTTGATTTATTGAACAAACTAAAAAAAAGTTGAATTTAATAGCTCAAGCTTTATAATAAACCGTTGGGATACAGTCGTGAGTCGTGAGAGATGAAGCGAATTTCGTAATTGCATTCAAGGAAAACTTGTTTCTTCTTTCGGCGAAGAAACGTGAAGACCGTTTAAGGTGCTTATTCTTGAGGTTGTTTTAATCAAATGACTTATTCTTCAACCAATAATAATTGTAGAAAATAAATATATTTGTTATGTTTACAAGTATAAAATTATAATTAAAGCTAAAGCTAAAAATAATAATACCTACTAAAAGTTAATCAAAGTCTTACAAATAGTTTGGACGGTATGCGATAAGGCTTTTTGTTCTTAAAAATATCACGAAATTAGTTTGTAATTTTATTACACTAACTTATTTTATTCAAAAACAATATACATATTATGCTTAAATTTAAGAGAGCAACATAATAGATCCACAAGGATTTGTACTTTAAATTTTTTCTTAAAATAGCGTACGTACATGCATGTTGATTGTCTCATTAACAAAATGGAGAGGCTGGTGTGGGAATCCCATATGGAAGTAGGATTGTTAAATAATCTTTTTCTCGAGATAACAAAACAACAATTTGTATGTCCAAATTGCAAAAGATCTTCAAGGGAATCAACTGGTAGGTCTATAATATAGGTCTACATTAAACAGTCTTAACTCTAAACCTGATGTAAAGCAGTAGGTATACCAGTATCCTGTATCTAGATTTGTTCAAATACTCAATGCTTTGTTTTTTCTTGTGCTCAGAAGCTTTTCTTTCGTGTTGATTGGATCCTGGTTCTTTTCTCTCTTCTGTATTATATTTTGTTTGTTAAATTTGGAATACTATTATCAACCTTAGGTTCTACCTATTCAATTGACAAATATAAACCATTACTACCTACTCTCTAAATTTTGCTTTAACGAAAGCAGGCAAAGGAATCAAATACAAAAACATATTAAAAACAATCATCCCTAAAGTGAAAGCAAAAGTAATTCCAATATTCAAATCAGCATCCAAAATCCCATTGAAAATATTATCCCCGGGATCTCGAGCGTAGCGTTCGGACAGGAAACTTTGTCCACTCGCGTATCTAAAACAGAAACTCCTATAACTTTGAGCTGAAACACAAACAAAACTTTTACCTGCAATAAGGATTAGCAATCCCATTCAAAATCGATGTTTCAATTAGATTCATGTTGGTACAATTATGTTTCAAATCAAACGGCAAAGGCTTATTCAAGTCTTTAAACAAGAAAACTTGCCTATTCAAAAAAGCTGCCGCATATCTCGGTTGTGTTGCATACGTTATAAGAAACAACCAATCTTGTAGCCCTTTAATGGACCTAAATTTAAAAATATTTAATTTTTCAATCTTCAAATTAAACAATTTACCTTAAAATCCCACTACTCAGTGTAAGACAAACACAAATTATATAAATATTGAAAATAGCAGCCAATAAGTGGTCTTTAACAATCATTAAAGAAGCCATAGTGTGTTGTTCAGCAAACATATAGCAGGCCCAAAGAATTAAAGAAAAATAAAGGTATTCCATTGGGTTTTCAAATGAACCAATGATTCTAGAATAAAAATAGATTGTTGTAGTATTATACACATTACTTTGTTTATAATAATTCTTACGGAAAAATTATTGCTCCAGCTGCTAGACAAGACAAAAACGAAAATGGAATTGAAACTAAATTATAAGTAAGCAAAAATATTGTCCCTCCATAAAGTCCTTCTTGTGATTCTTGAAAATACCTTGTCCTATAAACAGGATCTAAAAACAATAATAATGTAATATTTAAATAATATGTAGTTTCAATCCTTACAAAGTAGTACTGTGTTTAGTACAGCCAAAAAATAAACTCCAGCCAAACTATTCAGTACCAACCCACTCCTAGTAACAAAAGTGTGCTGATACAACCCAGTATTCCGATAAAACACCCACAAAAGGGCAAAATACAAGGGTATCAAAAACAATCTCAAACAAGCTTGTTTGATACCGCTTTTTTTAAAAGACAAAGTAGCTGCTAACAATCTCACGTAGATTGTCCAAGCTACATTGAATGCTCCAATTTTTCCCAATAGCAAAGGGCTTTTGTATTCGGCAGGGTGCGTTGGAGTAATTACGGTGCCCTTTCTGTAGATTCCGCCTTCTATTTTGAATTTTTCCACTAGTTCTGCTATTTGATGGTTGCTTTCCAAAAATCGTTCTCTGGAACGTCTGTCTACTGTTGAAAGACACACTGGAAAGAAATAAAAAACTTCATAATGGAACCAAAACTTGAATGGATTTTGTTGGAATTTTTTGGAAAACACCCTGTAACTTGTTTGTCAAAAAATATCAAATCTAGGGCTTTGAATTGATAATAAATTCTTTAGGAAATCGCAAAGTTTCAACCCTGTACAAGGTGTTTGACAAAACTTTCAATTTTTTCAAAATTTGGTTGTAAGGAAATAAATCTTTCAGCTTCAAATGCTTTCAATTTTTCATGAACATCCTATATGAAGGTAAAATTTTGAGATCTAAAAGAAGCTTTTATTATATTTCAGCAGTTCCATTAATTTTTTTCAAAACATATCCCTACCCCAATATACAGGGTGTGTATTGCAAAAACGGCGGTATATTTTCAAAATAACACCCTGTAACATATTTATCAATTTCTTCTGAAAAAAATCAAACATTGCTGTTGACAGTCTTATCAAAATCTCTATAAAATCGTAAAATTTCAACTTTGTACAAGGTGTTTGAAAAATTTGATTGTAGAAAAATCTTCCTTTGACTTTTTAAGAACATCCTATATAGAAATAAAACTTTCGGATCTGATAGAGTATTTCATTGTGTTTCAAAGGATATACAAATATATTAATTTTTCAAAGAAAAAATTCCCCACCCTAATATACAGAATGAAAATTAGACAAGTGCAAAAATAACCCTATTTTCAAAAAAACACCCTACAGAGGGTGTAACATGCTCATCAATTAAAAATATCAAATATAGCCTTTGATGGTTCATCAAATTCTCTACAAAATCCTAAAGTTTCAACCGCAGGGTGTTTGACATTTAGAAAATTTGGTTGTAAAAAAATCTTCAACTTGACAAGCCTTTGACTTTTTATGAACATCCTGTATAGAGATAAAACTTCGGGATTTGATAGAGTATTTCATTGTCTTTCAAAGGATCTATTAAGTTTCAAAGAAAAATTCCCCAGCCCAATATACAGGATGAGTAAGTAGTATTCGGGGGTTTTGGACCAAAACAGAGAAGAGATACAACATACAACCATCCCCCTACCACTCAAGGTACCCCACACAACAATCCCCCTATGTTTTATGCTGGTTTTGTGCTGAATTTTACTGGTTTTGTTCTGGATTTTGCTGGTTTTATGCTGGTTTAGCTTGTTTTTGTGCTGGTTATCACTGGTTTCGCGCTGGTTTTGTGCTCGATTTTACTGCTTTTATGCTGGTTTTCACTGGTTTTGTTCTGGATTTTGCTGGTTTTCACTTGACTTGGAAGGGAGATTGCTTGAGATTGAAACTAGGGGTATAATTAAAGGAAAATTGCACTGAAGGAATACTTGGAGTATTTTTTTGAGAGCGCGATAGGGCGATTTTGGGATGGTTATATCTTGAGTGGTAGCAGGAGTCTCTTTTATTGTCTCATCTCTGTTTTGGTCCATAACCCCCGAATACTCTACTTACAGGGTGTTTTATAGTGTGTACTATTTTCAAACAAACACTCTGTATAATTTGCTCATCAATTTTTTCCAAAAAATATCAAATATAGCCTTTGATAGTCCATCAAATTCTCTATGAAATCCTAAAGTTTCAACCCTATACAGGGTGTTTGACCAAATTTAGAAAATTTGGTTGTAGGAAAATGTTCAACTTTAAAGGTCTTTGAGTTTTCATGATCATCCTGTATAAAGATAAAACCTTGGGATCTAATAGAGCATTTCATTATGTTTCAGAGGATCTATTAATTTTTTGAAGAAAAAACTCCTCACCCTAATATACAGGATGTTTTAGAGTGGTGCAAAAATAGCTGTATTTTCAAAGAAACACCCTGTAACTTACTCATCATTTTTTTCCAAAAAATATCAAGTAAAGCCTTTGATAGTCGATCAAATTCTCTATAAAATCCTCAAGTTTCAACCCTATACAAGGTGTTTGACAAAATATAGAAAATTTGGTTGTAAGAAAATCTTCAACTTCAAATGTCTTTGAGTTTTCATGATCATCCTGTATAAAGATAAAACCTTAAGATCCAATAGAGCATTTCATTATTTTTCAGATGGTCTATTAGTTTTTCGAAGAAAAAACTCCCCACTCAAATATACAGGGTACCTATGTTTTAGAGTGGTGCAAGAATATCTATATTTTCAAAGAAACACCCTGTAACTTGCTCATCAATTTTTTCCAAAAAATATCAAATATAGCCTTTGATAGTCCATCAAATTCTCTATGAAATCCTAAAGTTTCAACCCTATACAGGGTGTTTGACCAAATTTAGAAAATTTAGTTGTAGGAAAATGTTCAAATTTAAAGGTCTTTGAGTTTTCATGATCATCCTGTATAAAGATAAAACCTTGGGATCTAATAGAGCATTTCATTATGTTTCAGAGGATCTATTAATTTTTTGAAGAAAAAACTCCCCTCCCTAATATACAGGGTGTGTTTCAGAGTGGTGCAAAAATAGGTGTATTTTCAAAGAAACACCCTGTAACTTGCTCATCAATTTTTTCCAAAAAATATCAAGTAAGCCTTTGATAGTCAATCAAATTCTCTATAAAATCCTCAAGTTTCAACCCTATACAAGGTGTTTGACAAAATATAGAAAATTTGGTTGTAAGAAAATCTTCAACTTCAAATGTCTTTGAGTTTTCATGATCATCTTCTATATAGATAAAACCTTGGGATCCATTAGAGCATTTCATTATCTTTCAAAGGATCTATTTATTTTTCGAAGAAAAAACTCCCCACCCTAATATACAGGGTGTGTTTCAGAGTGGTGCAAAAATAGCTGTATTTTCAAAGAAACACCCTGTAACTTGATCATAAATTTTTTCCAAAAAATATCAGGTAAAGCCTTTGATAGTCAATCAAATTCTCTATAAAATCCTCAAGTTTCAACCCTATACAAGGTGTTTGACAAAATATAGAAAATTTGGTTGTAAGAAAATCTTCAACTTCAATAAATGTCTTTGAGTTTTGATGATCATCCTGTATAAAGATAAAACCTTAAGATCCAATAGAGCATTTCATTATCTTTCAGATGGTCTATTAGTTTTTCGAAGAAAAAACTCCCCACTCTAATATACAGCAGGGTACCTATGTTTTAGAGTGGTGCAAGAATATCTGTATTTTCAAAGAAACACCCTGTAACTTGCTCATCAATTTTTTCCAAAAAATATCAAATATAGCCTTTGATAGTCCATCAAATTCTCTATAAAATCCTAAAGTTTCAATCCTATACAAGTAGGTGTCTGACAAAATTTAGAAAATTTGCTTGTAAGAAAATCTGCAACTTCAAATGCCTTTGAGTTTTCATGATCATCCTGTATAAAGGTAAAACCTTGGTATCTAATAGAGCATTTCATTATCTTCCAGAGGATCTATTAATTTTTCGAAGAAAAATCTCCTCAACCTAATATACAGGCGGGTGTGTTTTAGAGTGGTGCAAAAATAGCTGTATATTCAAAGGAACACCCTGTAACTTGTTTATCAATTTTTTTCAAAAAATATCAAATATAGCCTTTGATAGTCCATCAAATTCTCTATAACATCCTAAAGTTTCAGCCCTATACAAGGTGTTTGACAAAATTTGGGTTGTAGGCGAATCTTCAACTTCAAAGGCCTTTGACTTTTCATGATCATCCTGTATAAAGATAAAACCTTGGGATTTAATAGAGCATTTCATTATCTTTCAGAGGATCTATTGATTTTTCGAAGAAAAAACTCCTCACCTTAATATACAGGGTCTATTTTAGAGTGGTGCAAGAATAGCTATATTTTAAAAGAAACACCCTGTAACTTGGTCATCAATTTTTTCCAAAAATTATCAAATATAGCCTTTGATAGTCCATCAAATTCTCTATAAAGTCCTAAAGTTTCAACCCTATACAAGGTGTTTGACAACATTTCAAAAATTTGGCTTGTAGGCGAATCTTCAACTTCAAAGGCCTTTGACTTTGAGTTTTCATGATCATCCTGTATAAAGATAAAACCCTGGGATCTAAAAAAGCATTTCATTATCTTTCAGAGGATCTATTAATTTTTCGAAGAAAAAACTCCTCACCTTAATATACAGGGTGTGTTTTAGAGTGGTGCAAGAATTTTCAAAGAAACACCCTGTAACTTGGTCATCAATTTTTTCCAAAAAAATATCAAATATAGCCTTTAATAGTCCATCAAATTCTCTATAAAATCCTAAAGTTTCAACCCTATGGGGGTGTTTGACAAAATTTAGAAAATTTGTATGGTTATAGAAAAATCTCCAAATTTAAAAGCCTTTGAATTTTTATAAACATCCTGTAAACAAATAAAACTTTGGGATCTGATAAAGTTTTTCATTGTCGTTTAGAGGATCTATGAATTTGCAACGCAAAAAATCCCCACCCTAATATACAGGGTGTTTTATAGAGTAGGTACTTGATGTAAAAATAGCGCTATTTTTACCCATAAACAAATCTGCAATTTTTTGAGGACACCCTATAATATAGGGCGTTTTATAAAGTTGTACAAATACATAAAGTGGTACAAAAAAATATCCTGTACATAAATTGCTTCTCGAATTTTCTCAACTAAAGTCAAATAGAGCCTCTTATAGTTCTCCTTGAAATTCTTAAACTAGAATACAGAGGGTTTGCAAAAAGTCAACGATGGTTTTATACTCACAATAATACATTAACGGATTTTCTAGTTGCGGACAAGGAAACTCAATAGCATCGAAGTACTCCAACATTTGCCTGGTACCACCAGCATACACAGTGTCGCCCAAGCAAAGATACAAAACCCGATCCAAAAAAGGAAAAACATCGGATCGCGGCTTTTCCATAGTCAGTACCACAGCGGAACCGTACTTTTTGGCCGCATTCGATAAAATTGAAACCACTAGGTAGGTGTTAAGAGGGTCCAAATCCCACGTTGGTTCATCCAAAAGCAAAATAACTACGAGAATTATTGTATTATTCAATGCTTGAATATTTACCTGGATCTTTTATAAGTTGTATCCCAATCATTAGCCGTCTATATTCGCTTTTTGTTAAGTTTTCAATGCATCTATTGGACACTTGGGACAGTGCCATATCTGCCATTACTTGCTTAACTTTTGATTTTTTCAAATAGCCAGTCAACTGCAATAATAAATACATTATTATTCAACTAATAATTGCATTATAATATAATATTCTTACCCTTGTAGGCGTATAATACAAAGTTTGTTCAACAGTTAGCCCTTCGATTAAGTCACATTTGTGCGTAACATATCCGCAACGTTGCTGAAAAAGACACACCCCCATTGGTTGGTTGTTAAGCAAGATTTGCCCTCTCACAGGGCCTTGGACTCTTCTAGAAATTACATCTAAAAGGGCCTTTTTGCCACTGCCTTTGGAACCCAGTACTGCTAGCACTTCACCAGAGTGCACCGACATCGAAACATCTTTTAGGATTACTCCAGTTTTTATGTTGCCTATGATACGTTGCATACAAGAACCAGGTTCGACCTATAAAGTTTGGTTTTTATAAGATTTGTTAATTGATAATTGAAGATCTCACCTGTCCAGAATAGAAGACATTGGAAAGCTCTAACGTATAAAAATCATTCCCGATCATTTTGAAAACGAAAAATTCACCTGTCGTACCAACAACAAACAAACAGGTACCGTAAAATTTACATTTTATTTTCGGGACAAAAGAATTTTTCACACACCAACGTACTGCTGAGGCCGTGGTCGATTTCTACCTGTGACCGTTTCACATACAGGTAACTAAAGTCAATAGGTACCATAAAAGAAGGAGGGGAAGTCAAAAGTCACAGTAATTTAATTGGTAAAGAAGGACGGATTATACCAGATGGTCTATGGGTGATTATTGAGCGGAAAAAAATATAGAATTTATATAGAGGTTGTAGATTGTGAAAAGAAATACTAGTTTTATAAAGGTAGAAATGAGAAACTATGTGAGATTTACGTTAATTGAAGTCACATTTATGTGATAAGAACCATAATTATTGTTTATATTATGTAATATTCAGCATGAACCAGGAAACCAAAAACGCTACCTATTTGAGATAAAGTTTCAACTTTGAGGCTCAACATCTCGGAAACTATTTGAGATAAATGATTCAATTTTATTTTATCTTGAAGAGCATTTAATTCTGATTAAGAATACATAGATATGCATTAGAATTTGTAAAATATTATTTGAGTTATGGACGAAATTTTTCTAAGGGGTATGCAAGGAAATTTCATTTTCAAATATTTCAAAGGGCCATATTTTGGAAACCAGGAAAGTTATCGGTAGTAGATCTCGATGAGAGCTTTAAAAAAGGTTATTTGGGGCACCAAGCCCTAGAGCTTCGTTTTCGAGATAATCGACTTCGAAGATGTTTCAAAATTTGAGACAAAGTTTCAACTTTGAGGCTCAATATTTCAAAAGCTATTGCAGATAAATGATTTAATCTTATTTTATCTTAAAGAGAATTTAATTCTGATTACGAATAAATAAATATTCATGACAATTTTTGGAATATTAGTTAAGTTATGGGCGATTCTGTGAGGCTATGTCAGATGATCAAAATTTTTTAAAGCCAAAAATGCAAAAATGGTTTTTAATTTTTTACAGGCTCTAAAACCTCAATAAGAAAAATTACGAAAATGCTTTTCCACTAAATTTGACCCCCTCTTTTGATTGGTGAAGTCAAAAATTGAAAAATTTCAAAAAATCAAAATTCAAATTTTTCCAAGGAGTATACATGGAAATTTCATTTTGAAATATTTCAAAGAGTCATATTTTGAAAATTAGAAAAGTTATCGGTAAGAAATTTCGTCTAGTTATAGATTTTGATGGGAGCTTCAAAAAAGGTTATTTGGGGCACCGAGTCCTAAGGCTTCGTCTTCGAAATAATCGACTTTGAAGATTTTTCAAAATTTGGAACAAAAGTTTTAAATTTGAGGCCCAATATCTCAAAAACTATTGGAGATAAATGATTCAACTTCATTTTATCTTAAAGAGAATTTAATTCTGATTAAGAACATATAAATATGCATTTAAATTTGTGAAATATTAATTCAGTTATGGGCGATTTTGTGAGGCAATATCGGATAATCAAAACTTTTAAGGGGCAAAAATGCAAAACTCTGTTACATGATATGGTTTACATGATTGTGATGTAAATTTTACGGATTGTTTGATGCCAAATATTTGGACTTGAGTATTTTTGAGCGATTTTGTCCAAAAAATTCTTAATAGACTGTCTACTCTGAGTTATCCTATATGAAAGGTTTTGGGAAATCAATTTGATATTAGAAGCTCAGAACAGAACAAAGAGAATTTTCTTTTGAGCAATTCTTTCAGCACATAATTTAATGCCAAAAACTTGTAATGAACCAAGTTGAATTATTGCAATTTTGTTGAAACAATTTTGTAGACTCAATACGCTGTAGAACAAAATTGAAGTTCTTTTGGGTGATTTTGCTGACACATTTCTGTAGACTGTAGAATGAACTTCATGGGAATATCGCAGATGCAAATTGCTTGTAGACTGTAGAGTGTTAATTCAAACACAATTTTTAGTAAATTTGGATTATACCTTCTTCTCTTCACACTCCTCCTCTTCTTAATTCAAATAAATAAATCAATTTTTGATTGTTTCTCCCTGTAACAGCACATCAAACCTTACTTCCTCTCTACAACAGTACCATCATGGTACCCACTCTTCGCCCAAAGCGCGGCTTAGTAACTTTTCGAGTCCGTTTGTTGGTAGCCAAGTCGGTTGGTACCATTTTTATATAGTTTCTTACCTTGTCTACGTCATACCAATGGTATGCGGTGACTCCGATGGGTACGCGAAGAGTACCAAGTACCCATAACAGTTAATTCGGATTTTGTGGAGTTCATAGTGGTTTTTAAATGTTATCATTTCGATTGCTGACTTAATAATTTTGATTTAATAATTATTATTAATTCTATACCTCTCTTGGTACCATCAACTCATTGTTTATATTATGGGTAAGTACCTTATTATTTTCAGCTTAGGTACATAAAAATATTATTTATTGAAATTATGTTAATAAGGTCATTAATTATAAATACTGTTATTCGGCCCGTAAAATGTTGTAATGTAACTTTCAATTCCTCCTGAACCTTGGTTCCTTCCTAATGTGCAACAACATTTCAAAAATGTAACAAAACTGCGTAATTATAATACTTTATTAGTCATTACTTATTATAAAAAGACAGTAAGAAGAAGAGAATTTATCGCAATCGGATGCATTATGCATTAGAAATGCATACAGGAACTTAATGAGCTAGGGTCTTAGCACATAATAGATTATGTTATGCAAGTGTATTGCACTCTTACATGCTTATTTGTACTTATTTTTTCTACTTATTATGTATGAATAGATAAAGAGCTCGAGATATTCAACTGACCATGTTGAATCTTATTTAAAAGTTAGATTACGTATAATGTAAATTTTTATAAATATAATAATTTGTAGAACTTCTTTCCTCAATCTCTCTGTAAAATTCCAAATTACCGCAATTTGAATTATCGTAACATACTGATAACGTACAACAAATTCGAGAGTGCGAAACAGATGCCGGACGCATAAACATAAAATGTCCATATAAAAAGGTGAAACTAAGCAATTATAGGAAACGAAAACTCGATTAAATTGAGCAAACTGGGACGCACAATTAAACGAGAGAAAGATTCTTGTATGTAAATCGTCCAATAAAAATCCAACTCCTCTTCATTGTTTACCCAAAGTCGGTGCCTTGTGAAGTGCCCGTGCCCAGTCACTAACCTTTTCAAGGTCTACTTTTGAAACCACCTTCTTTTACTTATATTTCGTAAGATTTTTGTATTGTTTAAATTGCGCTTGATAATTATTGGCTTTTAATTACAGGAGCAAATAAGTTTGTGTCTTTGGTAATTGATGCAAAATGTCATTAGTCATTAGGCGCCAGTGTATACCTTCTATTGTAAGTCAATTATTACTTACTTGGCTTTAGATTTCAGGAAATTATTCAATCAAAATAGTATAGGATAATAATGAAAATTTGGATAATCTTTATAAAGACAAATCAAGAGTTGATGAATTATAATCGGAATTTGAATAATTGTTCTGTCTCTTGATTCGTCATCAATCGTCCGTGAGGATCAAAATTTAAACTATTACTGGCTCTTCATCGCCTCTATGTCCACTGGGTCAATATTCAATTGTAATCAAAAATTAAACAATCAGTTATTGAAAACTTGGACTATTGAGCTGGAAATATTCAAAATTTTGATCTGTTACCGGCTCTTGATTCGTTGAACAGTAATATTCAAAATTTGATTTTATAACCGGCTCTTAATCAGCTCTGGTTAAATAGTCCAAATATTCAAAAGTCAATTTTGATCATTTTTGCGTCACATGTCCCTTAATTTCAATCCGATTTCAACGTAAGTAGACTGTACTTGAAGCCAGTTGAATTCTGTACAAACCTGTTAATTGAAGTTTCAACAGTTTTTCACCTGAAAAGATTCAAAATTGCATTTATCGAATATTGGAAATTTCACAAAAATGATACTGAGACATCTTTTGCCTCACATTTGCGTTAATTTCAATCCGATTTTAACATAATTCAGCTCTAATTAAAGCTAATCAAATTCTATATAAACCTGTTAATGACAATTTCAATTTGGTTTCAATAGTTTTGCAGCTGAGAAATTTCAAAATTGAAATTATTGAACATTGAAAATTTTCCAAAAATTACACCGAGACAGATTATTGCTTAACAACTCTGTAAATTTCAATCCGATTTAAAGGTAATTAGGCTCTAATTAAAGCCAATGAAATTCTATACAAACCTGTTAATTACAATTTCAATTTGGTTTCAACAGTTTTACAGCTGCAAAGCTTCAAAATTGAAATTATCGAATATTGAAAATTCTCCAAAAATGACACTGAGGCAGTTTTTGCCTCACATCTCTGTTAATTTCAATCCGATTCCAAGGTAATTAGGCTCTAATTAAAGTCAATCAAATTCTATTTAAACTCATTAATTATAATCTTGAATCAGTTCCAAATGTTTTGCAGCTGAGAAGTTTCAAAATTCAAATTTTAGAACATTGAGAATTTTCCAAAAATTACACTGAGACAGTTTTTGCCTCACAGCTCCGTTAATTTCAATCAGATTTCAAGGAATTTAGACTCTAATTAGAGCTAATCAAATTCTTCACAAACCTGTTAGTTGAAATTTCAATTAAGTTTCAATATTTTTGCAGCTGAGAAACTTTAAAATTGAAATTATCGAAAATTGAAAATTTCCCAAAAATTGCGCTGAGACAGTTTTTGCCTCATAACTCTGTTAATACCAATCCCATTTCAAAATTATTAGGCTTTAATTAAAGCTAATTAAATTCTATATAAACTCATTAATTACAATTTTAATTCGGTTCCAACAGTTTTGCAGCTGAGAAGCTTCAAAATTGAAATTATCGAACATTGAAAATTTTCCAAAAATGATACTGAGACAGTTTTTGGCTCACAACTCCGTTAATTTCAATCCGATTTCAACGTTATTAGGCTCTAATTGAAGCCAATTAAATTCTATACAAACCTGATAATTGAGATTCTAATTGTTGAATTTCAATAGTTTTGCAGCTGAGAAGTTTCAAAATTGAAATTATCGAACATTGAAAATTTTCCAAAAATGACACTGAAACAGTTTTTGCCTCACAACTCTGTTAATTTCAATCCGATTTCAAAGTAATTAGGCTCTAATTAAAGCCAATTAAATTCTATATAAGCCTGTTAATTACAATTGTAATTTAGTTACAACCGTTTTGCAGCTGAGAAATTTCAAAATTGAAATTATCGAACATTGAAAACTTTCCAAAAATGACACTGGAGCAGTTTTTCCCTTACAGCTCCGTTAATTTCAATCCAATTCTAATGTAATTAGGCTCTAATTAAAGCCAATTAAATTCTCTATGAATTTGTTAATTGAGATTTTAATTCAGTTTCAACAGTTTTGCAGCTGAGAAGTTTCAAAATTGAAATTATCAAACATTGAAAATTTTCAAAAAATGACACTGAAACAGTTTTTGACTCACAACTCTGTTAATTTCAATCCGATTTCAAAGTAATTAGGCTCTAATTAAAGCCAATTAAATTCTATATAAGCCTGTTCATTACAATTGTAATTTAGTTACAACCGTTTTGCAGCTGAGAAATTTCAAAATTGAAATTATCGAACATTGAAAACTTTCCAAAAATGACACTGGAGCAGTTTTTCCCTTACAGCTCCGTTAATTTCAATCCAATTCTAATGTAATTAGGCTATAATTAAAGCCAATTAAATTCTCTATGAATTTGTTAATTGAGATTTTAATTCAGCTGTTCAGCTTTAACAGTTTTGCAGCTGAGAAGCTTCAAAATTGAAATTATCGAACATTGAAAATTTTCCAAAAATGATACTGAGACAGTTTTTGGCTCACAACTCCGTTAATTTCAATCCGATTTCAAAGTAATTAGGCTCTAATTAAAGCCAATTAAATTCTATATAAGCCTGTCCATTACAATTGTAATTTAGTTACAACCGTTTTGCAGCTGAGAAATTTCAAAATTGAAATTACCAAACATTGAAAACTTTCCAAAAATGACACTGGAGCAGCTTTTTTCTTACAGCTCCGTTAATTTCAATCCAATTCTAATGTAATTAGGCTCTAATTAAAGCCAATTAAATTCTCTATGAATTTGTTAATTGAGATTTTAATTCAGCTGTTCAGCTTTAACAGTTTTGCAGCTGAGAAGCTTCAAAATTGAAATTATCGAACATTGAAAATTTTCCAAAAATGATACTGATACAGTTTTTGCCTCACAACTCTGTTAATTTCAATTCGATTTTAAAGTAATTAGGCTCTAATTAAAGCCAATTAAATTCTCTATGAATCTGTTAATTGAGATTTTAATTCAGTTTCAACAGTTTTGCAGCTGAGAAGCTTCAACATTCATTGAATCAATGGATTATAAAAGACGAATCGAGAGCCAGTAATAATCAAAATTTTGTTCTTGGATTCAATCCTAATAGCAGAGACAATTAAGAGCCAATTATTATCAAAATATAAACTTTCATCTACTGACTCTTGATTGTCCCCAATTTGACGAATCAAAAGAATTCATAAAAATCAAAGTTTAACTTTTGACCCTCAGATCAAGAGCCGGTAATAATTAAAAATCTTGATTTCAAAGTTCTTCCATCCTAATTAATTTTTCTTCTGTCTTTTGGTCATTGATTATGACGCCACAAATTGCTGATTGAAACCCAAATTGCTGAGGCGTTAACCCAATTAACTCTAACCAAAAAAAACATAATCATTGAAAAAACTGTTCTCATATTGAAACCGTTATTGCTTATGATACCCAGATGATCATATTTTTTATTCTTTATTTTGTTGGTTCTCATATTAAAATACTTTTTCAACAACAATAGGACACCGTTACCATTAAATTACATGGTTTTATATACTACTTGTATAACATGCTTATGAAATATTGATAAAATAGTTGTATGCTTAGAAGAAAAATGGGCCTTGAGCTTTGAGACTTTTTAAGGTAAAGTTGAATTATTTCTGGCGAAGAAGTTTTCATTCATTACCATGCTATTAAAAATATGCCCTGGCAAATAAGTAAACTAAATTTCATAAAACTGTAACACGAAGACAGGTAAATTAATTAATTAATCTTCAATAGTCAACTTAGCCTTGATACTGACCGAGAACCACTATATAATTTACCGGTTAAATTGAAGTTTAACTGTAACTTTATAATGTAAGGCATTTAGTTGAAGTATTAATTCTTCTATACACACACACAATGATTTAAAGAATGTGATAATAACATCATTACCTATACCTGTTCGATTTTGTTAATTTATTTTCCAAATAATAAGAATGCTAATGAGATGATAATTTAATGTATTTTTCATTGCTTGTGAATGAAGTATTTAGTTGGGAAATATGGTAGGTATTTAGAAAAAATAGGTTTTAAATCATTTTCTACCAGTTCAAAATTCATCCTAGTAAACACATTGTGATGTTTATATAAATTTTAAATCATTTTTTTATCAGCAAGTTTATGTAAATACGACGTGAATCATATGTGAATATTTATGCTAAAATTTACGGGAAACCAAAAAAGCTATCGGTACGAAATTTCGTCCAATTCTATGTTTACTAGAATGATGAATAATGATGAATAAATTTGAGCTTCGCTTCTTTGCAATTAGCAAAACAAGCATTTGAAGTGGAAGCCGAATAAATCACGTCACTATCGATCGTGTGAAATAATTGAAATTCCAAACACTTTCATGCAAAATCCTACACAATTGTATTTCTAAGTACTCAGTTTCATTTGAATAAATGTTTTTTTTTTCTAGCTGAAAGATAACATAATTGGCTCGAAATGGTACGTAGTCGTACCCCTTCACAAGGGGGCGGATCTCAAGGTTTCGAAATGGAACGAAAATATTCGGTACCATCCAATCCAGACGCTCGTGCCTTTTCAGGTACTGCTTCCGAAGATTTACATGCTTGGTCAATTTATCGGTACAGGAATTTTTCGATTAATCACAATGTATATTTTATCAATTATTTTTAGCCAAAATCTAAATTCCGACTTTACGGACAGCGCATTGGGTTCCACAGACAAAAGTCCTTTGCCGTATGGTAATTTTCAACTTAGAGATACCACGGTACAATCGATTTTATCGCATCCAAGATATGGACCCAAGTAAGTCTTTAATTGATACAAAAAAAAATAATGGTTTTATAAATGTAATTTTTAGATCGACTTTGGGTTCAAACATGTACACGTACCTGAAATTTGGTTTGCCCCGAGTATTTCCACCGAACCATAATGGTTCTAGTAGATCGGGACGTGGTACTCCGCAGCATTTTATTAGAAACTCATCGGCAAGACCAAAAACAAGGTATAGTACTTATGATTTCATTTACAAAAATATATAAAATGTTTATTATATTAGGAGTCAAAAAATGGGTAGTCGAGGACCAAGAGAAGGTTCGTCGGGTTATGATAGTAGCGACAACGAGACATCGAATCAATACAAGCAAAACAGGAAGTACCGATCTGATCCGGATTTCCGTATTCAAAACGCCCATCCTACCTATCATCATGGGGTAAGACCGCACCCTTTAATGTGTTTAATTATCCATTAATGTCGTTCAATACCCAATAATATTGCACCGAAAAGTACTGTTAAGTTTTTATGTATGCATCAACTATAATCAACTATTCACACTCTACATATTTCTATGATGGTCAATTTAACTTATATTTATCGAATTATTTTGCAACAGTTATTGTTTAATTTACTATATTTAAGATAAATAGATGCTTGGTAAAAGAAATAGTAATCTTTTGTAGGATTCGCACCCTCATCCGGTTCTTCCTCTAGCTGCGATGCACCAAGGAGGTATCAGACCAACCCGAGGTATTCCGCAACAGCAGCAACAATGGAACCGACACAAAAGTGTTTCAGAAGCAAACTTGCTTGCCATGGAATACCATAGAGCCTACCATCCAAACTCACCTCAGCATATACGTGATCCTAGACGAGCCAGTGTGGCTGAATTTGGAATGCATCACAATCATGATGTTGTTGATCACAGGTATAAAATATACAATTTATAAAAATTATTATAATAAGTTTTTTCTTAGTGTATTGAGTCATATAAGTAAGCCAATCTCCAAAGCCGAAAGCCAGTTTTCAATACCGGCCTCAAGAAAAGGCCCTTCAGTAATAAGATCAGACTATACAGCACCAGAAGAAGACGTAACACCCAATTTCATCTATCCGCACTTGCAGGCCAATCAAATAAGCCTCTGGCCTTCTGCTTCAAATTCGTGCTTTAGCTCTAAAAACCATTTGCTGGTAAGCGACGCTTCTTTTGAGGCTAGAGGTGGAGATTTGCTGGCTATTATGTCAACCTCGGAATTAGAAGGTACTGCTCTATTGGATTTGGTGGCTGGAAGAAGGTGCCCGGTCCAAGGCGAGGTACTACTCAACGGACAAAGGGTACGACCGAGTTTGCTTAGGGATCGTGTGGCTTACGCTCAAAGCGATCCGAATTTGTGCATGGATATGACTGCAGTGCAAATAATGAGGTAAGAATACATTTTGCATAAGAGCTTTTTTTATTCTAATGAAATCCCAGACTTCCTCTTGATACATCCTCAAAATTTTTCGAAGGGTACCTAAACCAACTTAGAATTATAGCATACAAGCATATGCCCAATTTGAAAAAATCACAATTTCAGTGTTTGTCGCCAAATCGCTTTGAATTTTTGGTATGTTTTACCTCAAACCCTCAGAATGAAATTTCCTAAATTTCATATTTGCGTACTTATTAGTTTTTGAGAAAAAAATTCGAACTTGGAGGCTTTTCAATATCAAATTAATCCAAAAAGTGACAAATTTGAAAAAATCACAATTTCTGTGTTTGTCGTCCAATCGCTTTGAATTTTTACTATGTTTGACCCCAAATCGTTATAACCAAATTCCCTGAATTTCATATTTCGACCTTATTTGTTTTTGAGAAAAAACTTCAAACTTATAGGTTTGTCAATATCAAAGTTTATCTGACAACTTTACTGATTGTTACTCGATCGTCTTGAATTTTTAGTATAATTTGCCTTAAAATCTAAATAGATTGATTTTACCACCATCAAGAACCAGGAATAGACAAAGCTTGAATTCAACATCTTCGATTCAAGAGCCTGGAATAAGCAAATTTTGTCAGGGACTTAGAAATAAATACCAGTGCCAGTATCACTTTCCGCATTTGTTAGGTAAATTATTATTACAATAATAACATTTTGCTTGTGAATCTGGTGGACCATCAAAGTGAGTTTTCCATTCAGCTCTGTTGTAATGAATAAAGCATGGTAACTTAATTTGAAGAAGCAAATTATATTTGTAATTTGTTGATAATTTACCTGATGCATCCAGAAGTTCAAAGGACTTTGCATGTTTCAATAAATAATTCAACAGAATTTCTCGATAGTTCTTCGCTTGTAAAATCTAAGAGTAATTTTCCACTATTCATATGAGCTAGAACATTATCTATAGAGGAACAACAATTCATTTTTGAGTTTTTTCAGTGTTGGTGGCTGTCAATAAATCTACTCAACTACTATTTTTGCAATATAACTTTGATAGGGTCCTTTAACAATAATGGTCTGCTTTTAATTTTGAATCCTTTCAAGAGCTTTTACATCCCATGGAGCTTAGAACACTATTGACGAATACAAATGCAGGAAATGTTTAAATATTCTATAGTTTTCAAGAAAGTGAAGGGATATGAAAAGAGGTACCTCTTCAGAGTAGAAGCTTTTTAACGTAGTAGAGGTGGGTATTGGTCTGATAGCTGAAGGCACTTGAGCGTGGGAACTTTTTCGATACCGTGGGAATATCTCTAGATCGGCGGCGCCTTTGATCTGAAGTTTTGGGAATTTGACCCGGGCCAACTCCAAAATTTGTGAATCTTGTGGACCATTTACGTAGTAGAGGTGAGTCTTGGTCTGATAGCCTGGGGCACGTGAGCCTGGGAAGTTTTTCGATACCGTGGGAAAATCTCTAGATCGGCGGCGCCTTCGATCTGAAATTTTAGGAATTAGACCCGAGCTAACTCCAAAATTTGTGAATCTGGTGGACCATTTACGTAGTAGATGTGGGTCTTAGTCTGATAGCCTGGGGCACGTGATCCTGGGAAGTTTTTCGATACCGTGGGAAAATCTCTAAATTGGCGGCGCCTATGATCTGAAGTTTTGGGAATTTGACCCGGGCCAACTCCAAAATTTGTGAATCTGGTGGACCATTTACTTAGTAGAGGTGGGTCTTGGTCTGATAGCCTGGGGCACTTGAGCCTGGAAAGTTTTTCGATACCGTGGGAAAATCTCTAGATCGGCGGCGCCTTTGATCTGAAATATTGGGGATTTGACTTGATTGTGATTCAAGAGCCTGGAATAGGCAAATTTTGAACTTAATCTTCAATGTCAGCGACTTAAAAATAACTCCGAATCAATATATTGACTCCAGCATCAAGAGCCAGGAATAGAAAAAAATTGAAATTAACATATTAGAAGTCAAAACATACAAACTCAAACTAATTGACTTTATTGGGCAAGAAAACCACTCAAGAGGCGGGAGTAGACAAATTTTGAACTTAAATATCAAAGTTTATTTCTAACACTTGCCCAAGTAGGTATCTATATTTTACCTTAAACTAAACAATAGAACATTATTCCAAAATAATTTCTTCACATACAACTTCACTCAATATATTCTCTATTTAGATTTCATTACGACCTGAAAAACCCAACCGAAAAACTTGGATACCTCAAAATCGATTCCACAGACAGAGTAAGTTGGATGTTAATTCTGCAAAACAATTTTCTACTAAAGCAATATTTCTAGATAAATCTTCTAATAGAAGAACTGGGCTTAGAACAAGTCCGCAACACAAAAGTATCTTCAATGACAATATCGGAAAGACGCCGGCTCAACGTGGCCTGCCATTTGCTCCAAGACACTGATATTGTTGTCTTGGATCAACCTACAAGAGGAATGGACATTTTTGATACGTTTTTTCTTGTAGAGTAAGTATGAATAAATCTCAAAATGTTTTATTTGAAATGAATTCTTTAACAGGTATCTTCGTCAATGGGCCAGTGGTGGAGCAGGTGGCAGTTCACTAGGAAGAATAGTGATTTTAACTCTTCATCCACCCACTTATGAAATCTTCATGATGCTATCCAGGATTCTGTTGATTTCAGCTGGTAGAGTTATGTTTAGCGGACGGAGAAGGGACATGTTGCCATATTTTGCTTTAGTTGATTATCCTTGTCCCAATTTTAAAAACCCATCAGATTATTATTGTAAGTAACAGTAGGCAAATTGTTGTAAATTTCTTACTTATTAATTGTTTTAGTGGATTTGGTGACATTGGATGATTTATCAGCTGAAGCTATGTTGGAATCATCTCAAAGAATTGAGCAGTTAGGTGAGATTTTCAGGCAAAAGCAGCCTCCTTTGAGCGATCCAGGACCTCCATCTGCTCTTCCAATGGCAGTCAAGCGATCTAATTTTTTAGTGCAAGCTTTTGTACTATTTACGTAAGAAGAACTATTTTATAAATTAATTTAATATCTTGATTATTGTTTTTATAGAAAATCCATGGTTTATACACAACCAAACACTTTCATAAAATGGCTCACTTTAGTGATGATGTCGGCGTCGTTGTCCTTAATATTAGGAGCTATTTTTTGGGACGTTCCCAATACAGATCCTCAATTAATTTTAAATGATAGATTAGGTAAGGAACTATTTTATTTAGGCCCAGTTTATTCATCTTTAGATAACTGCAATTGGGATTACAAATTGCATCATACCTGACAATTTATCATAAGATGGATAAACTCGCCCTTATAAAGATTATCAGTCACTTCTGTTTTTTTTATATTCAGGTTATCATTACGCAGTGATGTGCATAGCACCATGGCCTCTACTTCTCTATATGACTCTAAATGAAGTGAATAATAATCGGAAGACTGTTGAAAGGGACATGGAAGATGGTTTGTACGGAAAATTAATTTATATTTTAACTAAGGTAAGTTAATTATGTATTTGTTAACACTTGAAAAGTAAAATTGGATTTGAGTCAGAAACAGTAGATTTGGGACTTTAAAAACTTCTACATAAATGATTTGATTTTCCAAAATTGCTGTCACTCGAAATAATTTGTATTTTTTCAATGGATTCTGTATAGTTTGGGTTACAAAATACCCAATTTGATTGATAAAAAGTGCATCAATGGAATCTAAATATTTTGAATATAGTCATCGCATTATTAGTATTTGTTTATTTGTTTCAGACTGTTATTAATTTATTCCCCTCATTATTCATTTGGCTAATATACTCAATACCCAGTTATTCAATGTGCGGCCTTTACATGCAAAATTTGAATAACTACGACGGCTTTTACATCTATATTGGTAAGTGCCTAAATTCTTCTTATAATTATATAACTAATTCTATTATTTAATTCCATTAGGCATAATGCTAATGTATTTAAGCTGTTTACAATCGGTGCAATTGGCTCTAATTTACTTACTACCTTGCTCTAATGCTGCCACAATTATAGCCAGTATTATTTCTACAATTTGCTTCTTGGTTGGAGGATACGTGTTACATTATAAGGATATGCCAATGTATATAGGCTGGTTGCGATATTTAAGCCCAACTTCATGGCTAATGCCTTATGTACTCAACAGAGAACTTAGTCCTGAGGCAATCGAAAGCAGTTCAGTAACTCCTTTATGTAGAAATAAACAAGTAAGAATTTTAGCTTTGTGTCAAAAATCTTTAAAAACATCTTAATTCCAGGTCCAACATCAAGACATTATAGTTCAGCTACCATGTCCTCCACCAAATGGTACCCAAGTACTATTCAATTATGGTTATTTAACGTTTCAACATGAAGTTTTTGATTATGGGAATATTTCCATTGCCATGCTAGTGTTTTATTTAATATTTTTCGTTGTGGCTTGTTGCGGGTTCTTGTGCAATTGTGGACGAACAAAGTCGAAAAGAGGCAATATTAGTGATAGTAACAAACCTTAAATTAATATGTAGTTTGAAAATGTAAATATATGATAAGTAATTTCAATGAGTTTTTAATTAATCCGCACCTGATTTTCTGAGAATGTCACCAAATAAACATGTGAGCCTTGTGACGTAGATGGTCGTGCCTCTTTATTATTTTTAAATTGGAAAACATGTGATAAGTCATTGTCACCAATTATTATTGTCATTATGTTGCAAAATTCCCAAATTTAAGTAATAATGCAATGGGGGTAAATAAGAGGGCAAGCGTTTTAAGTGGCACAATTTTTACTGAAAGAAATGAAAAGGAGCTAAGGTTTATCAGGGTTTACGATCACTACAGACGAGATTATTTTAGTAAGTTTTTCATAGTTTTTTGTGATGATTTCTTGGCATTTTTTTTTTTTGGTTTGCAACTTTAAACTAGAGACTTATAGAGGATTTAATTGGCTTTAATTTGAGCTTAATTACGTTAAGATCGGATTAAAATTAACAAAGTTGTGAGGCAAAATGTCTGTCGATGTCTTCTGGAAGAAATTAAATTTTCCTTGAAGAATGTTTTATTTTTTTCTGAGGAATTGGATTGAAATTTTCCATATTTATAGAGAATTTAATTGGCCTTATTTCAAGCCTAATCACGTTAAGATCGGATTGAAATTAACAAAGCTTTGAAGCAAAATGTGCGTCTATCTCATTTTCTAAAAAGATCAAATGTTCAAAAAATGACATTTAGGGACGTTTTAATTTTTTTTCAGAAAAATATTTGAGGAATTGGATTGAATTTTTCCAAATATATAGACAATTTAATTGGCCTTATTTCGAGCCTAATTACGTTAAAATCGGATTGAAATTGACAATGCTATCAGGCAAAATGTGCGGCCATGTCGTTTCCCAAAAACTCAAATTTTCAAAAAACGACATGGAGGGACATTTTAATTTTTTTGAGGAATTGGATTGAAATTTTCCATATTTATAGACAATTTAATTGGCCTTATTTCGAGCCTAATTACGTTAAAATCGGATTGAAATTGAAAATGCTATCAGGCAAAATATGCGTCCATGTCGTTTCCCAAAAAATCAAATTTTCAAAAAACGACATCGAGGAACGTTTTAATTTTTTTTGAGGAAAATCTTTGAGGAATTGGGTTGACATTTTCTACATTTATAGAGAATTTTATTGGCTTTATTTTGAGCCTAATTTCGTTAAAATCGGATTGAAATTAACAAAGTTATGATGCAAAACATGCGTCTATGTCATTTAAAAAAAAAAAAAAATTTCAAAAAACGACATTGAGGAAAGTTTAAAAAAAATTTTGAGGAAAATATCTGAGGAATTAGAGTAAAATTTTTCAAATTTATGGAGAATTTAATTAGCATTATTTCGAGCCCAATTACGTTAAAATCGGATTGAAATTAACAAAATTATGAGGTAAAATGTGCGTTTATGTCATTTTTCAAAAAATAAAATTTTCAAAAAGCGATATTAAGAGACGTTTAAATTTTTTTTGAGGAAAGTATTTAAGAAATTGGATTGAAATTTTCCATATTTATAGAGAATTCAATTGGCCTTATTTCGAGCCTAATTACGTTGAAATCGGCTTGAAATTACCAAAGCTATGAGGCAAAATATGCGTCCATGTCATTTTCCAAAAAAATCAAATTTTCAAAAAACGACATGGAGGGACATTTTAATTTTTTTGAGGAATTGGATTGAAATTTTCCATATTTATAGAGAATTTAATTGGCCTTATTTCGAGCCTAATCACGTTAAGATCGGATTGAAATTAACAAAGCTATGAAGCAAAATGTGCGTCTATCTCATTTTCTAAAAAGATCAAATTTTCAAAAAATGACATTTAGGGACGTTTTAATTTTTTTTCAGGAAAATATTTGAGGAATTGGATTGAAATTTTCCAAATTTATAGACAATTTAATTGGCCTTATTTCGAGCCTAATTACGTTAAAATCGGATTGAAATTGACAATGCTATCAGGCAAAATGTGCGTCCATGTCGTTTCCCAAAAACTCAAATTTTCAAAAAACGACATGGAGGGACATTTTAATTTTTTTGAGGAATTGGATTGAAATTTTCCATATTTATAGAGAATTTAATTGGCCTTATTTCGAGCCTAATCACGTTAAGATCGGATTGAAATTAACAAAGCTATGAAGCAAAATGTGCGTCTATCTCATTTTCTAAAAAGATCAAATTTTCAAAAAATGACATTTAGGGACGTCTTAATTTTTTTTCAAAAAAATATTTGAGGAATTAGATTGAAATTTTCCAAATTTATAGACAATTTAATTGGCCTTATTTCGAGCCTAATTACGTTAAAATCGGATTGAAAATGAAAATGCTATCAGGCAAAATATGCGTCCATGTCGTTTCCCAAAAAATCAAATTTTCAAAAAACGACATCGAGGAACGTTTTAATTTTTTTTGAGGAAAATCTTTGAGGAATTGGGTTGAAATTTTCCACATTTATAGAGAATTTTATTGGCCTTATTTTGAGCCTAATTACGTGAAAATCGGATTGAAATTAACAAAGTTATGATGCAAAACATGCCTCTATGCCATTTTAAAAAAATTTAAATTTGCAAAAAACGACATTGAGGAAAGTTTAAAAAAAAATTTGAGGAAAATATCTGAGGAATTAGATTGAAATATTTCAAATTTATGGAGAATTTAATTAGCATTATTTCGAGCCCAATTACGTTGAAATCGCATTGAAATTAACAAAATTAGGAGGTAAAATGTGCGTTTATGTCATTTTTCAAAAAATAAAATTTTCAAAAAGCGACATTATGAGACGTTTAAATTTTTTTTGAGGAAAGTATTTAAGAAATTGGATTGAAATTTTCCATATTTATAGAGAATTCAATTGGCCTTATTTCGAGCCTAATTACGTTGAAATCAGCTTGAAATTACCAAAGCTATGAGGCAAAATATGCGTCCATGTCATTTTCCAAAAAATCAAATTTTCAAAAAACGACATAGAGGGACATTTTAATTTTTTTGATGAATTGGATTGAAATTCTCCATATTTATAGAGAATTTATTTGGTCTTATTTCGAGCCTAATTACGTTACGATCGGATTGAAATTAACAAAGCTATGAAGCTAAATATGCGTCTATCTCATTTTCTAAAAAGATCAAATTTTCAAAAAATGACATTTAGGGACGTTTTAATTTTTTTTCAGAAAAATATTTGAGGAATTGGATTGAAATTTTCCAAATTTATAGACAATTTATTTGGCCTAATTTCGAGCCTAATTACGTTAAAATCGGATTGAAATTGACAATGCTATCAGGCAAAATGTGCGTCCATGTCGTTTCCCAAAAAATCAAATTTTCAAAAAACGACATTGAAAAACGTTTTAATTTTTTTTGAGGAAAATGTTTGAGGAATTGGGTTTCCATATTTATAGAGAATTTTATTGGCCTTATTTTGAGCCTAATTACGTTAAAATCGGATTGAAATTAACAAAGTTGTGAGGTAAAATGTGCGTTTATGTCATTTTTCAAAAAATAAAATTTTCAAAAAACGACATTAAGAGACGTTTAAATTTTTTTTGAGGAAAGTATTTAAGAAATTGGATTGAAATTTTCCATATTTATAGAGAATTCAATTGGCCTTATTTCGAGCCTAATTACGTTGAAATCAGCTTGAAATTACCAAAGCTATGAGGCAAAATATGCGTCCATGTCATTTTCCAAAAAATCAAATTTTCAAAAAACGACATGGAGGGACATTTTAATTTTTTTGAGGAATTGGATTGAAATTTTCCAAATTTAGACAATTTATTTGGCCTTATTTCGAGCCTAATTACGTTAAAATCGGATTGAAATTGACAATGCTATCAGGCAAAATGTGCGTCCATGTCGTTTCTCAAAAAATCAAATTTTCAAAAAACTACATTGAGAACGTTTTAATTTTTTTTGAGAAAAATATTTGAGGAATTGGGTTGAAATTTTCGACATTTATAGAGAATTTAATTGGCCTTATTTCGAGCCTAATCACGTTAAGATCGGATTGAAATTAACAAAGCTATGAAGCAAAATATGCGTCTATCACATTTTCTAAAAAAATCAAATGTTCAAAAAATGACATTTAGGGACGTTTTAATTTTTTTTCAGGAAAATATTTGAGGAATTGGATTGAAATTTTCCAAATTTATAGACAATTTAATTGGCCTTATTTCGAGCCTAATTACGTTACAATCGGATTGAAATTGACAATGCTATCAGGCAAAATGTGCGTCCATGTCGTTTCCCAAAAACTCAAATTTTCAAAAAACGACATGGAGGGACATTTTAATTTTTTTGAGGAATTGGATTGAAATTTTCCATATTTATAGAGAATTTAATTGGCCTTATTTCGAGCTTAATCACGTTAAGATCGGATTGAAATTAACAAAGCTATGAAGCAAAATGTGCGTCTATCTCATTTTCTAAAAAGATCAAATGTTCAAAAAATGACATTTAGGGGACGTTTTAATTTTTTTTCAGGAAAATATTTGAGGAATTGGATTGAAATTTTCCAAATTTATAGACAATTTAATTGGCCTTATTTCGAGCCTAATTACGTTAAAATCGGATTGAAATTGACAATGCTATCAGGCAAAATGTGCGTCCATGTCGTTTCCCAAAAACTCAAATTTTCAAAAAACGACATGGAGGGACATTTTAATTTTTTTGAGGAATTGGATTGAAATTTTCCATATTTATAGAGAATTTAATTGGCCTTATTTCGAGCCTAATCACGTTAAGATCGGATTGAAATTAACAAAGCTATGAAGCAAAATGTGCGTCTATCTCATTTTCTAAAAAGATCAAATTTTCAAAAAATGACATTTAGGGACGTTTTAATTTTTTTTCAGAAAAATATTTCAGGAATTAGATTGAAATTTTCCAAATTCATAGACAATTTAATTGGCCTTATTTCGAGCCTAATTACGTTAAAATCGGATTGAAATCGAAAATGCTATCAGGCAAAATATGCGTCCATGTCGTTTCCCAAAAAATCAAATTTTCAAAAAACGACATCGAGGAACGTTTTAATTTTTTTTGAGGAAAATCTTTGAGGAATTGGGTTGAAATTTTCCACATTTATAGAGAATTTTATTGGCCTTATTTTGAGCCTAATTACGTGAAAATCGGATTGAAATTAACAAAGTTATGATGCAAAACATGCCTCTATGCCATTTTAAAAAAATTTAAATTTGCAAAAAACGACATTGAGGAATGTTTAAAAAAAAATTTGAGGAAAATATCTGAGGAATTAGATTGAAATATTTCAAATTTATGGAGAATTTAATTAGCATTATTTCGAGCCCAATTACGTTAAAATCGGATTGAAATTAACAAAATTATGAGGTAAAATGTGCGTTTATGTCATTTTTCAAAAAATAAAATTTTCAAAAAGCGACATTAAGAGACGTTTAAATTTTTTTTGAGGAAAGTATTTAAGAAATTGGATTGAAATTTTCCATATTTATAGAGAATTCAATTGGCCTTATTTCGAGCCTAATTACGTTGAAATCGGCTTGAAATTACCAAAGCTATGAGGCAAAATATGCGTCCATGTCATTTTCCAAAAAATCAAATTTTCAAAAAACGACATGGAGGGACATTTTAATTTTTTTGAGGAATTGGATTGAAATTCTCCATATTTATAGAGAATTTATTTGGTCTTATTTCGAGCCTAATTACGTTACGATCGGATTGAAATTAACAAAGCTATGAAGCAAAATGTGCGTCTATCTCATTTTCAAAAAATGAAATTTAGGGACGTTTTAATTTTTTTTCAGAAAAATATTTCAGGAATTAGATTGAAATTTTCCAAATTCATAGACAATTTAATTGGCCTTATTTCGAGCCTAATTACGTTAAAATCGGATTGAAATTGACAATGCTATCAGGCAAAATGTGCGTCCATGTCGTTTCCCAAAAAATCAAATTTTCAAAAAAACGACATTGAGGAACGTTTTAATTTTTTTTTGAGGAAAATATTTGAGGAATTGGGTTGAAATTTTCCACATTTATAGAGAATTTTATTGGCCCTATTTTGAGCCTAATTACGTTAAAATCGGATTGAAATTAACAAAGTTATGATGCAAAACATGCCTCTATGTCATTTTAAAAAAATTTAAATTTGCAAAAAACGACATTGAGGAAAGTTTTTGAAAAAATTTGAGGAAAATATCTGAGGAATTAGATTGAAATTTTTCATATTTATGGAGAATTTGACTAGCATTATTTCGAGCCCAATTACGTTGAAATCGCATTGAAATTAACAAAATTAGGAGGTAAAATGTGCGTTTATGTCATTTTTCAAAAAATAAAATTTTTCAAAAAGCGACATTAAGAGACGTTTAAATTTTTTTTGAGGAAAGTATTTAAGAAATTGGATTGAAATTTTCCATATTTATAGAGAATTCAATTGGCCTTATTTCGAGCCTAATTACGTTGAAATCGGCTTGAAATTACCAAAGCTATGAGGCAAAATATGCGTCCATGTCATTTTCCAAAAAATCAAATTTTCAAAAAACGACATGGAGGGACATTTTAATTTTTTTGAGGAATTGGATTGAAATTTTCCATATTTATAGAGAATTTATTTGGTCTTATTTCGAGCCTAATTACGTTACGATTGGATTGAAATTAACAAAGCTATGAAGCAAAATGTGCGTCTATCTCATTTTCTAAAAAGATCAAATTTTCAAAAAATGACATTTAGGGATGTTTTAATTTTTTTTCAGAGAAATATTTAAGGAATTGGATTGAAATTTTCCAAATTTATAGGCAATTTAATTGGCCTTATTTCGAGCCTAATCACGTTAAGATCGGATTGAAATTAACAAAGCTATGAAGCAAAATGTGCGTCTATCTCATTTTCTAAAAAGATCAAATTTTCAAAAAATGACATTTAGGGACGTTTTAATTTTTTTTCAGAGAAATATTTGAGGAATTGAATTAAAATTTTCCAAATTTATAGGCAATTTAATTGGCCTTATTTCGAGCCTAATTACGTTAAAATCGGATTGAAATTAACAAAGTTATGATGCAAAACATGCGTCTATGTCATTTAAAAAAAATTTAAATTTTCAAAAAACGACATTGAGGAAAGTTTAAAAAAAAAAAATTGAGGAAAATATCTGAGGAATTAGATTGAAATTTTTCATATTTATGGAGAATTTGATTAGCATTATTTCGAGCCCAATTACGTTAAAATCGGATTGAAATTAACAAAGCTATGAGGTAAAATGTGCGTTCATCTAATTTTTCAAAAAATAAAATTTTCAAAAAACGACATTGAGAGAGGTTTAAATTTTTTTTGAGGAAAGTATTTAAGAAATTGGATTGAATATTTATAGAGAATTTAATTGGCCTTATTTCGAGCCTAATTACGTTGAAATTAGCTTGAAATTACCAAAGCTATGAGGCAAAATATGCGTCCATGTCATTTTCCAAAAAATCCAATTTTCAAAAAACGACATGGAGGGACATTTTAATTTTTTTGAGGAATTGGATTGAAATTTTCCATATTTATAGAAAATTTATTTGGCCTTATTTCGAGCCTAATTACGTTACGATCGGATTGAAATTAACAAAGCTATGACGCAAAATGTGCGTCCATGTCATTTTGGAAGAATTTAAATTTCCAAAAGAGTGACTTTTTATATTTTTCTGGGAAAAATACTTGAAGAATTGGATTGAAATTTTTCATATGTATAGAAAAAAGATTGAAATTTAGGAAAAAAGTTATAAAACTTCCTTCTGCTTGCTTATCTTAAACATTCTGACATACCCTCACTAATATTATTCAATTTATTCCACTTTATAGAAGTCCCAACAACTCCAAAATTCTACTCCCTTCACGACTCCCAAATCCACCGAGTAAGCCAAAATGCAATCAAAGAAATCATAGAAAACATAAGGATCGCAAAAGACCTTGGGCCGAGATTCAAACGGAAATGGCCCGAAACTACCAATCAAATGTAAACTTTTCGCTTAATTTTACATCAAAAATCAATTATAATTTCAGGTACGGTTGGTTTCCGGAGCTTTTGGTAGACATCGACAAAGAGGACTGTAGGTTTTACTTTCCGAAAAAGGAAACCGAAATTACACAATTTGGACTCAAGGCATTGCAATGTAAAAAAAATAAACGTTAAATGAAATTTTAATAAATAATATTCTACAAATTAAAATATATGGCCATCATCATCAATCAGATCTATATATAAACTAAATTTATAGGAACTTATCCAAAATACTTTATGTGTAAGATAATTTGCTTAATTATTTATCATTTGCTGTATCCAGAATACTTTTAAAATCAGTACTTATGTCTACGTCATCAAAAGAAGGCTCTTTGATTGTAGGCTTCGATTTGGCCGGTACTATGTTGTTGACTGATGATTTTGAGGTACTGGGTTGTGGTTGACTGAATAATTCTTCGGTACTGTCGTCATCATCGTCTTCTTCGTTGTTTTCTATATTGATTATTATTAGTAATCAAAAGCAAATGCTACAAATATTTACTTACGCAAATAACTAGGATATCTATATCTGTCCTTCCAAATTCTATAAACAAACCATCCGCCCATCGAAAACAATACAATGGAAATTAACGCGATGAGTATTCTAATTAGGTTAATCTGAAATTACATATAGGTAATTGAAAAATAATTTCTTAAAATTAAACTTACATTATAATCATCTTCGTAAATATTTCCTAAATCACTTTGCACGACCATTTGAACAACCCTTATATTCATATCTTCACCCTTTACAGCTCTTGAAACGCATTCGTAAAGACCTTCTTCTTGTTTTGAGACACCCTGTATATATAATTTGTGTTTATTATCTTTTTGCAAACAAACCATAAATTAAAAATTCTTACTCTAATAGTTAAATTCCCAGATAAGACTCCATAGCTAAATTTGCCTTTATCGAATTGATTGGCTGGTCCTATTACTAGTCCTTTATTGACCAAGTGCCAGTACTGGAAATTGTGCAAGGGATCGTTGCTGGTACAATGCAGTACCACTGTAGAGCCCCATGGTACTGTCCGGACGAAAACTCCTTGTTGTACTTCTGGAATTGGTACTGCGATGGCTGGGGTTAGTAGTAAAAGGGCAGCAATGATTTGGACAATGTCTTTATTAGACATTTTTAGTTCATGACTGCTGAAAAATTGTACTTTGTAATATTGATTAAAATCAAAGGAAGTATAGATAAATAATGTTTTATCTGTGTTTAATTATTAATCAAAATAATGATTGATGATTGTATTTTTTTGAAAACTTACCTCTGATGCATATAACACAAAGTTACCCAATATCTTACTATATGACGAAAAACAAACAACTGATTGTTCGCACGCACTATAATTAATTAATAATTGTTTTGGATCAATTAGCACTTTTAAGTATTCCACACTAAAAGGAAACTGGAAAATTACAGTGAAAGTGTCACCTTCTCCTATAGACTGCTGTGACGTTTTTCGGTCTGAGAATATTTTCACTCACTGGGATTTAAATTTAGAAAATTCGAACGTGTGAGTTTTTCTGTTGCTGATGTGCGATTGACTAGTTGCGAAAATGAACGAGCCTCTTGTTTGTTTTTTCATGGGATTATGTAGACCTTGTTTATCGTTTTTTTCTGGCAAAATTAGATTTTGTTTGTTTTTTTTTTTTTCATAATTTACAGGAGTGGATTTAAGTAGCTGATGAGATTTTGTTATAAGATATTCGTAAATATCTTCTATGGACTCACAGCCAAAAAGTCTTGAAGACGAATATGTCTTTTTTAGATCTACATTACGTCTGAAGACCAAAGAAAAACCTCTAAAAGACGTTGTTTTGGAGATGACCATATCCTCCAAACATCCCTTAAGTACCTTGGTTATATTGTTGGTAACAATTCGTTAGCTACTGTTCCGTCAAAAGTTGAAAGTATGGTAATTATCCCCGTCCTCAAAATACTACAGAGGTTAAACATTTCATAGGTATGTGCTTATGGTACAGAAGATTCATTAAGGACTTTTCCTCTCTTGTCAGTCCAATTAATTCACTTGTAAAGGGTAGAAAGAAAAAACATGGAATGAGGAGGCTGAGAAAGCTGTTATCACCATTAAAGAGAAACTTGTTTCCGCGCCAGTTCTTTCTCAACCTGAATTTGTTGTTCAAGCAGACGCTTCTGACGTAGGTTTAGGGGGTGTGCTGACACAAAATGTGGACGGCGAGGAACGTGTAATTGCTTATGCTAGCAAAGCTTTGACTCGAGCTCAGCGTAACTACTCTGTCACTGAGCGTGAATGTCTAGCAGTGATTTTCTGTATAGAAAAGTTTAAATTCACATTCTAAAGACAATTGTTTGGTATGACGTGGCTTAAAAGGGAATAATGTTTTAAGAAAGGATTACAACAACAATTTCTAGAAATTTTAGCTCATTTAGACTTAGGCCCAGTTTCACAATTGGTGGTAACCTGCACTGGTTATCAAACTCATAGTTGCCGCTTGACTAAATTGAATATTCTCAAGCTTGACCAATGGTTTTGGCTAGAACACACATTATGGAACAGATATATTGTAGGTTACCAGTGTCTTGTGGTTACCGTTGAGTTACCGTTGTTTGTGAAACTGGTCCTTATAGTTCCAGAAATAAATTCATGTTAAGCAATTTAAGGTGATTTATCAATTTTTCTGAGTGCCTGTTTCCATAGAATCCGGCTTCAAATCTCAATATAATTTAGTGTTTGGAGTTTGGGGGATCCCAAAGAACTATTAGGACATAAATATCTCAACAAAAAAAAAAAATTGAAATTTCATCGTTTTAGTAAGATATCAAAAGTATCGTACTTAAACAACATAATGATAAATAGATGGCTGCGGAACTCGCTGTGCTCGTCCCGCAGAGGTCCACCCATAAATTCCGCAACAATCCATTCGTTTGTACTTGAATAACTTGTCACATTTGGTAAAGTAACATTATAAATTCCTGATGAAAGGCAAATTGACAAAAAGTGAATAATCTTACAAATTTTGACTTTATATAATAAGTTATTGTTCAAGCAAAAATAAGTGGATTATTGCGGAACTTATTGGTGGACCTCCCATAAGTCATCTATTCATTATTATGTTCATTATTATGTTATTCAAGTACGATACTAGCCATCTATTTACCAATATACTTTTGAACTATTCAAATAAGACACTCACCTGAAACGTGTAGTTTTTAAACTAATGAGAATAACTGACATTTGAGTGAGTCAGGTTAGTATCGTATTTGAACAATATAATAATGAATAGGTGGCTGCGGAACGAGCGCAGCGAGTTCCGCAGAGGTCCACCCATAAATTCCGCAACAATGCACTCGTTTGTACTTTAATAACTTAATACATTATGTTACCTACTAGTTTGATAAAGTAGGTAATAACATTATTAATTCCTGTTAAAAGGCAAATTGACAAGAGTGGATAATTTTACAAATTCTGACTATTTTATTGTTCAAGTACAGGGTGTTTTCTTATACAAGGTGAGTTACTAAGCGCGCGGTGGTCCATATCTCCTATACTAACGGAGATCGGATAAAAAACTAAATACAAAACTTGTAGATAAACATGAGTACTATATTTAGGGTTTCCATACGTCCGGATTTACCCGGACATGTTTGGGTTTTTAGGGTGTCCGGGGAAGTCCGGCCGGAATTCGGAACAATGTCCGGAAAACTCGGAGATACCCAAAGATGATACACACTACTGTTTCAGGCCTATCCTTATAAGTGTGTGTGTGTGTGTAACAAACTTTGGTAATAATACCATTTGTGAATAAGGCAGCATGTTATTTCTCGCCTTGACGTAGGCTGTTTAAACAGCTGATGACGTCGGAAATGGTTTCACAACAATATGGCGGCATTTACCAAAAACAAGGCCGATGAGCACTCTTTAGATGAGTGTGTATTCTCCTTGGGAGATACCTACCAAAAATTCGAAATTTTGTATCCTCGGGTGGCAAGTAAATTGTATCCTGTATCCATTTATTTTGGGTTGCCTATAGGATTGATACACGTGTTATAATATTTTTGTCTCTTGTCATTAGTAGGACCTTGTATTTGTCATTGTGTCTTCAGTCTAACGGAAAAAATACTCAAAGCGTACGGCCAATCATAAAACTGGTACCTACGCATTTTCCTATTGTGTTGTATTGTGTAAATCGACCTTTTCCATCACCTCAACAATGACAAAAAGATTCAAGTCAGTATCATATTTAAACCAATCATAACATAAAAACATGTTGCATTTACTTTTGTCCAGTTTTGACGTTGACAAAAACTGTCTGACTTAAGTTTTTCAGAAGAAACTTTTTGTTGTTAAGACTGACTCACACTAGGCAAATATAAAAAATATATATATGGCCTGTACCAGTTTTATGTTTGGCCAAATGTACCTATCTATTTAGCTGAGTCAATCTGGGGGGTCAGGGTGCAACAAATTAGCAACAAGCTGATTCCAGCGGGAATGTTTAGTAAGTGACCTCTTATTTAACCTCCTAAAAGTCCCATTTAGTCCTAGCGGTGGGAGGTTGAAAAAAAAAAATGGCCGCCATCTTGGATTTTGTTGTTTTTTTCAAATATCTCAGTTTCTATTAGTTTTTTTACGAAAACTCAAGAAACCTTTTTTGTGGAGAATTTAACTCTCTATAAAAAGTGTTTATACCTTTTTTTTTGAACATAAAGGATAACGGAGATACAGAGCTTTTTATGGTAAATATTTCAAACATTTCATTACTTTTATCCCTTTCGAAATGTTTAGAAGAAGTCTAAGGTTAAATAGAGAACGAAAACGATTTCCCCTATTCCACCTCCAGCAAAAAACGCTGGAAATGCTAGAAGTGGAACAGAGGAAATCGTTTTCGTTCTATATTCAACTTTAGACTTTCTTTAGACATTTCATCCTATCGCATTAAAATTGATACCTACAGGGGCGCCCGCAGAAAAATATGTAGGGGGGGTCAAAATCAATTGAATAAATTTTTTATGCGTAAAAAAGGGCACTTAAGTCTAAATTATCATTTTAGAAGCAGAATCAGAATTTTAAATGCAACATTTGCAAAGCAAAAGTTAAAAAAAAGGCAGTTTGAAGAGACACAAACTAACACACTTGGACGAGAAAAATTTTAAATGCAACGTATGCAATGCAAAATTTAGAGAAAAATTTAAATTAGGAAAATTTAAACAAAAATGTAATTTGAGAAGTCACATATCAACAGACTTCGATAGTTATCTTTTTGAATGTGACATTTGCAAAGCAAAATTCAAAGGTAAAGACTGTTTAAAGAGACACAAACTAACACAGTCTGATATTTATCCTTTTAAATGTGACACATGCAATGCAAAATTTGAACACAAACGTAGTTTGAGAAGCCACATATTAACACACTCGGATGAGGAGAATTTCAAATGTAACATTTGCAATGCAAAATTGAAAAGAGAAGGCGATTTGAAGGAACACATATTGATACACTTGGATATTTAATTTTTTTGAATGTGACATTTGCAAATCAAAATTTAAGCGGAAACGCGATTTGAAGATACAAAAACTAACACATTGGGTTATTTATCCATTTGAATGTGACACTTGCAAGGCAAAATTTGAAGAAAAGTAAGTTACAAAGGCACATTTCAACACACTCGGATATTTATCCTTTTGAATGTTACACTTCAAATTCAAATTCATTTATTCCAGGTGTATAGTACAGTAAATTACATAGTATTTTTACCCTGCAAGAGACAAGAAGTCTGTGCACAGGCCCGGTACTTAAAACTAAAGATCCTTGCAAATCAAAATTTAAATGGAAAGTTGATTTAAAGATTCACAAACTAACACATTCGGATATTTATCCATTTGAATGTGACACTTGCAATGCAAAATTTAAGCAAAAACATAATTTGAAAAGCCACATGTTAACACACAGATTGTTTATTATTTGATTCACTTAATAGTGACATGTGTTTAGCTCCGGGATCCTTGAACTCAGCCACAAAATTCACCAGTTCCGGAATAAGGAAAGGGTGACAATTTATCAATATGCAAATCGGTACACTGAGATATAGATATTAAATCAACTTATTTACTTCTTATAAATAGCTAAAATCCCAGGCATGGTAGAGGAAGATCTAAAACTTAGGCTTAAGCATTGAATATAAAAAAAAATAGTCAGAAATCGGTAAATCGTTACATAATTGTTTTGGAATGATGTTTTTGGAGAATCAAGAAGTTAGCGATTTATTTGTTTTCGAGTTGTTAGCTATTCAGCCGAATCACGAAGTTCTAGTTAAATTTTCAGATTATCTCATCGACACATATGGCACATGCCTCGATAGACCTGGATAAGACAACAAATGCCTGTGAATCTTTCCATAGTCATTTTGGTAGATCTTTTTATTTTGCGCATCAAAATACATATTTACACTTTTTTAGATTTATTAACTCATATGCAAGGCGAAATCTGTCAACATCATAAGGTAAGTTTTATGGGAAGTAGGTTGGGTTTCATGATTTGGTCGAATTCAAAGGTAGGATTACTGCAGCTACCTGGTTTGTGGCCGAATTCAAGTATGCCCGTTTCGCTCATACGAGCATCATCGGACCTACAATATAATATATATAGAAAATAATTAGAATTTAAGAAATTTCCAGGGGGGGTCGAGTGACCCCCCCCCCTGACCCTCCCTGTGGGCGCCCTTGGATACCTATGCAAGATGTTTACTTGCCAGGCGTGTATAGGACTTGGACATGGAATGCAACAAGTTCCTTATTAAAATCCAGAATGTCTTTGCAGGTGCCTTCCAGCCCATTCCGTTTTCAATACCATCCATAATGAGCTGGCCATTGACAGGCACACAATTCTGATTGGATAGCACAACTCTTTGGTTGGTTTTGAGCTTTTCCATTTCTGCTTCGAATTCGTGAAGTCTTGAGCTCAACCCCGACAGTGCTTGGAACAGTCCATATAGCTTGGACAAAAATATCTTAGGCAGCGTTCTTTCATTATGAGAACTCGGATCTCAGAGCTCCTTACTCCAGAGCAATTTCTGCATAAAATCTTGCGACAAATGTCACATGGTTAGCCAAAAAGCTAATTTTTGTCCTCCTTTTGGAAGCAGGCCTTATCACAGGTAGAATCATATCAGGATTGATTATGGTAGGAATAAAATTTAATACAGAATATTTATTTGGCTTAGGCCCGGTTTATTCATCTTCAGATAAACTTGCTGGTAACTATCTGCAAGATAAATTTATTGTTCTATTATTCTATTGGTTGGCGGATAACTGGCCGACCAATGAGATAGCAAATTTTTGTGCTATACAATTTATCTTTTTTTCTATTTGTATTTGAGTCCCAATAATTAAACTGGATTTGTTGGCTCACCATGAATGAAGTCCAGAACAATTTTTACAAGGTTGAAAAGAACACAATTTCACAAACAAAATGACTCTACACACGATCAATATGACCAACAGAGACCTATAAAACCTTGCAATTTATACGGAGCGAATATACTACTTACTTTGGTATAAAAAAAACTATATCTCCGTTATCCTTCATGTTATAAAAAAAAACGTACAGACACTAAATTCTCCACAAAAAAGGTTTCTTGAGTTTTCTCGAAAAAACTAATAGAAACTGAGATATTTGAAAAAAACAAAAAAATCCAAGATGGCGGCAATTTTTTTCTACCTTCCACCCCTAGGACTGAATGGGACTTTTGAGAGGTTAAATAGGAGGTCGGTTACTAAACATTTCCGCTGAAATCAGCTTGTTGCTAATTTGTTGCACCCCCACCTATGTTAATGCAACTACGTTTATCCTACTAATTAATTTCTGTAAAAATTTATTTTTGCAAAAAATAAACAAAATTCATCCTTTATACAAAATTTATCGGCCAATAAGTCTGGATTTTGTCCGGATTTCTTGATTCCTAGGTCCTGGATTCCGAAAAACCTTTATGGTAACCCTAACTATATTCCTAAATTATTTTCCAATATACAGGGTGACCCAATAACTAGTAGTGACACAAAGTTATGTTTTTCAAATGACTCCCCCTGTATATTATGACAGTTCTGGATTTTGCGGAAAATTCTAGACATATTTCATTTATAATGTCATATACCTATCTTCAACTGTTTTGGAAATATTGACAGTTGAAAATTGACTTTTTTGCATCTTTGACAGACTGTGAAACCTAAACGGTTAATTTTAGAGGAAAACGGATTTTACATTCCTATCTTAGATTTTCATAAGCTATCATTTGACAACAACTTTGAATTTAACCAAAGATTAATAATTTAGACGGAATTTTTAATCATAGATTAAATTCAAGATTGGTGCCAAATGATAGTTTGTGAAAAACTGAGATAGGAATGTGAAATCCGTTTTCTTTTAAAATTAACCGTTCAAGGTTTTACAGTCTGTCAAAGATGCAAAAGAGTCAGTTTTCAACTGTCAATATTTTCGAAACAGTTGAAGATAGGTATATGACATTGTACATAAAATATGTCTAGAATTTTCCTGCAGAATCCAGAAATGTCATAATATACAGGGGGATTCATTTAAAAAAACATAACTTTGTGTCACTACTCGTTATTGGGCCAACCTGCATACTGGAAAATAATTTAGGAATGTAGTACTCATGCTTATCTACAAGTTTTGTACTTAGTTTTTTCTTCAATCTCCGTTAGTAAAGGAGATATGGACCACCGCGCGCTTAGTAACTCACCCTGTATATTGACACCCCATTTACAGCCTCTATTTTTACAGGTAGATGAAAGGTGTAAATACAAAAGTTGTACAGTATTGGCTAAATATTTAAAATCCATGGCCAGAAACAAAAATTGAATGTCAGAAATGTGAAATGTTGCATGTTTTCAGCTTTTTTCAAATGGGATACCCTATATTTGGTTTTATATTCTTGAAAAGCACAATTTCCCGATTCCAAAACTACTTATATAATTCGTTTATATTTGGTAGAACCGTCTCCAACATATTTGGTTCTAAAAATGTTAAAAATACTATCAGAGAAACCAAGTAGCTACCTTATGATTTAGATTTTGGATAATTTTGAAAGGTCATAACTTTTTCTCTACTGAAGATAGAAAGCTGAAATTTCCAACGATTCTTATCCCAGTAGAGGACTACAATCCCTGAAAATTTCACTGTATTGGGACCTATAGTTCCAGAAATAAAATCGTGTTAAGCAATTTGGGGTGTATTATCAATATTTAAATTTTTCTGAATTCTTTTTTTCATAGATTCCGGCTTCAAATCTCAGAATAATATAGTTTGGGGATCCCAAAGGACGCCTAAAAGACGTAAGTAAGACATTGTTTGTGGACATTTTAGGGACGTTTTTTCATATATAATACTACAAGAGAAAAAAATTTGTTGGCAAAATTTTCGACTGGCATGAAAGCACAGCATTGAAAGTTTGTTGTTTGGCAATTTATGGAAATTACCAAAAAGCAATAAACTTGAATAAAACCAAGAGAATAATTTTCCCTACATAATTTTTTCTTGATTGGCATTCGGCTGGACTATTTCACGAGAAAAACAAGACAAATTTTCATTTGGAAAATTTATTTTCTTTAGGTGACACTTGTAAAATTCGATAGTTTTTTACTGTAACCATACAAAATTTTGTCGCTGAAAAACAATCATGTTGGTTTTGCCCAGGTAGGAACAGGTATATAGAAGTTTTGTCAGTAGGAAACTGGCCGTTCCTATGACATTTTGCCAGTGTGAAACACTCTAGTGAAATAGTCCACATAATTAGTTTTTCATTCAGTTTAGAAGTTACTGAAATCTAGAATGCTACAGAACACTTGAATCTTTTGAAAAGTTCAAAACACTAACAGCTGTATGCAACATCCTCTTTTAACTTGAAAGCGCTTTTTAAAACTGGTACCTTTAAAAATTTTTATGGTTTAGATTAGACATTTTTAAAAGTAACCAGTTTCAAAAAGCACTTTTAAGTTAAAAGATGTTGCATACAACTGTAAAAATTTATTTCAGAATTTCCAAAAACTTTCTGTAAAACATTTGGGAAATTTCAGAACAATTTCAAATTTTCCCAAAGCATTCAAAAACCTATTTACAAAGTTAGAAATGCAAAATTCAACTTTCTTCCCATTTATTTAAAAAAATAAAATAATAAAATATTAAAAAAGAAAAAAAAAACTATTTTTTCACCCTTTTCTGTGTTGCATGGCTTTCATACCATACGTAGTTATTTCACTATTCACCCTTGGAAAGTAAAATCTTGGATCATTGCGATCGATTTTCACTAAAGGAACTGACCACCAACCATATCTAAAACAAATAATTATTTTACAAAATAATACAAAATTTACTATGATTTACAATTGGTTTGAAGTTTCAGGCCATTCTCGTTTCTGTCTAGCATCCAAATCTTTTGATTCGTGTATTTTTTCCAAAATCAACGGATCGACTTCATCAATTTCACTGTGTTCGTATTTCGAGTAGAATTTCGGTGTAATCGCTGTCTCTGGAAATAAATCAAACTGTTTTATTTATTGTTACAGCAAACTTACATTCCACTTACGATTATAATTTGGCCTGTACTGGTCGTATATTTTAATGTATTTTATGTCTTTTTCATATCTTTCTTGAAGCAATGTGTCCGTTAACTTTCCAAACTTTCCAAGAGCCATCAAAGGACATTTATCAGTAACAAAATTCTATAGGTACTTGAAACTGTCAAAATAGACATCAATTAAAAGCTGGTAAAATCACTTGACGTCAATCAAAAAAATTATCTTTATGTAGTTTTTTTATTCGAAAAATTCCCAATGAAAACCTCATAATGTCCTTTCAGAAATACCCAAGAATCGGTTTGCAATGTGCCAGGTTTATTTGCAAGGAAGCTGCCGAAAAGGTAACACCTCTAAAAATATAATTTAATTTATTATAAAATATTATTTTAGCCCTGCAAATCACCACACCAAGTTAGAATCCCGTTGGCCACTCGACAAGAATTAAAAGATGCGAAAAGAATTATGCTTAAGTTTGGGAGTGAGGTGATGATTCATCCTAAAGGGAATCTTTTGGCAATGACCCGTTGGGCTAATCTTATTGAACAGGTAAAACTCTTCACGAAATTGTGAAAAGTTCTAGAACATTTCATTGTAGATGGCGGAGCTTTCATATCAAGGCAAAGAAATAATTTGTATAACCAGTGGAGCAGTTGCTCATGGTAGAAAGAAACTTGGTAATATTGTATCGGTAATTATTACATCTTCAATATCGTTATTCAGAACTAGGAAAAATGTCCAGAGTGATTGGTAAAATATATGTGAAACTGGCTTCTAAAAAATCTAAATTCGTATTTATGAATTTTATGTTTTAAATTCCATTTGCTTCAAATAGTTTGGAGGAGCATCAAAATAGTAAGAAGCGATATTTTGAAGCGAGTCTATTGTATTTAAAAGTCTACAGAGTGGTCCGTTTATGTTGTCCTATCTCGATATATTATGGAAATCTAGATATTTCATAATAAGAAGTTAAATACAAAAGTTGTAGGGTCTCATTGATTTGTTTTTTTGTATTAGGCCGTGATAATGTTGAAGCTGTGATAAACGATAAAAGCAACGATACTAATGTAAAGTATCATTAGTATAGTTGCTTTTATCGTTTATCACAGCTCCAATATAATCCCGGCCTTATGCGTACATCACACGTGCGCTTAAACATGAATATAAAACTCGTGTGATTAGAATCTAATCTTTTACACTCGTTATTGTAATCATGTTTATAAACGCACTTGTAATGTAAATAATTATTATTTTTACTTTACTTGTACGTTGTTAAAGAATATACAAGGTGTTCCAAATTGGACACTTTTGATAAGAAACGTAAATTTCTGAGCCAGATACAAAAAAATGATTTCATTATAAAGAATGTTTCTGGATTTTGAGCAATACTGTGACACACTTGAACTTGACACTTTTGAAGTGAAAAATTCTTTAGGATCTTTAGGAGTGATGTAGCGAAACGTCCCAAGTACTCTAATTAGTTAGATGGTAAATGGCGAGCGCTATATTGATGGTGTTTATTTACTTGGAGCTGCTACCTAAAATATGTGGAAGGGTCTATTTGCAACGGAAAGAAACAAACTATTGAGGTGTACTAAAATTATATTTTATTATACATAAAACCCAAAAATTTAAATCAGCAAAATATCCTCCAATTCTGACAGCCTCATCTATTTCTATAAAATCAATTACTTCACATCCGTTCTAAAATTGTTATTATTACGGACCACTGAAATATCCCTACTAAATAAGAAACGCCCTATTCCTACTATTCCTAATAACTTATAAGTTAATTCATTTCAACACTTCCGATTCATTCCTATTAACTACCCTTCTCGTATTTCTATAAATTCTTTAACATTTCTAAGTCCTTTACTCATCATTGTTAATTCACTTCTTATCATTCAGAATCATTGATATAAGTCAGAAAGTTTTACTAGTCAAAATCACTCAAGTTTTTAGGCATTAAAATTCAAAGTTTAATCACACAAAGTCATGTTCATCATTTATATTCAAAATAAATCTTGTCACTATAGAGTACTTACATTTTGTCCATAAAACACAAAGCTAATCCAAATTAATTCTTTTGATTACTTAATTTAATTTACGCTTATAATTGTTGAATGAATTTCAAATGTTATTTCTTTCGCGATTTTTCGTACTTTTACTAACTTAGATTAAACCCGAGGCCATATGCCATAAAGAAACTTTCGCGAAACCGGACAGACTTTAAGTCAAACTGGACTGGACTGTTAACAACTGGCAACTCAACTGACAACTTCCTTCCACTTCTAAAATCGCGGTATTTATATTAAATCGATCCCCCCAATTTTCTCTGTCCATGACAATTAAGATGATGCAATTTCCTTGAGATTTTTATCATTTTTAGTCTGAAAAATCGAATAATTATATCCTGATTTATTGAGGTCAAAACATTATTGGTTCAAGAATGCCATAAATCATTCGATTTAATTAGGTACGCGATGGCCTCGCTAAAAAAAAGTTCATTGATCGGATGTTGGATGACATCACGCTGGGTGTCGAAATACGTTAGCTTTAATTTGTTTCATTTTAATTTATCGATACTGATTTAGAAATACCGGAAATTAAGTTTTTGATTATTTGATAATTATTTAATTTTTACAGTAAAGACACTGTGATTTACGGTCTAATTTCTGGATTATTACAGTGATTTAAGAACGAAAAAGCGACACAGAAAAGAGAAAATCATAAAGCTCTATGGGATTTCGCCTGCGAGAGAATGAGATAGAATACAGTTGTACAGCGTTCCCTATTCTTCGGCTCCTCTTTCTGCGGTGAATCGTAGCCTCCCACTCTTGTCTACCAAGCGTATTGTGCCGATGTATGTAATGTTATTATGTGTATCTCATTCTCTCCTAGCTTAGTTTATTGAAGGTTTCACTTCTACCGGGAGTGAACTACACACATATAATTTCTTTTCTTTTTTTTATTTATGAAAATTTCTGATTTTTGTAAGTATAAATTTCTATAGAGGTAATTTTTCAAGCAGAACCTAATGACGTACGCAAAGAAGTGATGAAGCTTTTATCAGTATTTCTCAAAATCGAGAAACGCCGTCTAGCGACAAAACGGTTGAATATATCAAAATTCGGTTTGCACCAATCAAGATTTCATGAAATTTGAGTGTCAGACTGGGCGGTTCATTTTCCAATAACTTCAAGATTGACACAACTGACGAGGCAATCACGAACCATTTAAAGAATAAAATGATTGATATCATGCCCTGTGAAAAGTTGCAGTCTAGAAATAATACTGCAACTTCATTAAAAATAACAGTCCAAACTCATATATACAGGGTGTATATTTTAAGTGATACCACGATTGGTATATTCGAAACGGTAAGAACTACAAGGTCGGTTAAATTAGAAAAAAGTTGCCTTTTTTGATGCCCATTTAAGACTCGTTTACAATGTTGCTAAATTCCTTTTAGTTTATGAAATACAGGGTGATTTCTAAGAAACACCTAAAAATATTTCAACAATTATTTCGATAACTATTGATTTTCGAGACACAATTTAAATTTGAAAGTTTTATAATTTTTTTCGCTCTACAAGACGTTATCTTGAAATTTTAAATCCGACGTTTCGTGATCGAGCTACCATCATCAACTTCATTTTTTTTAAATACGGACCTGGATTTTTTTATGTGATTTTTAGAAAGCACCCTTCACTCCCTTTGTAAAAATGGAATAAAAAATCTAGGTCCATATTTAAAAAAATAAAGTTGATGATGGAAGCTCGATCACGAAACGTCGGATTCAAAATTCGGAGATGCCATAGTGTAGAGCGAAGAAAATTATAATACTTTCAAATTTAGATTGTTTCTCGAATATCAATAGTTTTCGAAATAATTAATGAAATAATTTTAAACGTTTTTTAGAAATCACCTTGTATTTCATAAACTAAAAGGAATTTGGTAACACTGTAAGCAAGTCTTGAATGGGCATCAAAAAAGGCAACTTTTTTCTAATTTACGGGACCTTGTAGCTCTTATCGTTTCGGATATACCAATAGTGGTATCACTTGAAATATACACCCTGTATATATATTATACTTGGCAAGTAATTTGAATGTAGTATGGGAAGTACTTGTACAAGTGAAAGTAAACTGCTCACAGAAATCTCAAAGTAACCTAAACTCACCAATACTAACCCAAATTCACCAATACTAACTCAAAGTAACCCAAATTTACCAATACTTACTGAAACTAACCGAAACTTATCAATCTTACAAATACTAACCCAAACTTATCAATACTAACCCAAACTTCACAATACTAACCCAAACTTACCAATACTAAGAGTATCCTAAACTTTCCATTACTAACCCAAACTCACCCTAACTCAAACTAACCCAAATACACACTATGTGCCGAGTCGCCAATGCTGTATGAAATTCAGGAAGTCAAGTCGTCAGGTCTGTTACCACAGAATCACAAACCAGTTAGAGCGCCAACAACCAGTTTCCTGACTATTGTCAACCAATGAAATTCGCTCTGACTAGTTTGTGATTTCTGCGGGAAAAGACCTGTCGTGAACGCAAGTTTGTGATTGAATGTATTGGTGGATTCAATATTCTGGAGTCCAAGAGTGATTATCATATTCAGGTTGCAGCATTTGTATAGTGATGTGTTGAGGTATTATTAAAAAATAAGAAACAGTTTCTAAACATTGCTGAAATTTTCAATTTTTCTGAGTGGATTATCCTTTGAAACCTGATGCCAAATATTCTAGGTTTTTCAGGTTTATTCCTGATAGTCCAGGAGAAAATAGGACAAAAAGTGATGGAATAATTGCATTTTTATTGAAAAAGGTGAAGTATAGAGACCACCAGCAAAATATAAAAGTAATCATTTATGTAGAAAATCCATATTATTTCTTCAAAAGGGGATATTCAAAGTCTGGACTATGAGGAATAAACCTAAAATACCTAGTATATTTGGAATCAGGTTTGAAAGGCTAATCCAATGAGACAATAATATACGGGGTTTTCCATTTAAAAAAGTTTAAAGTTTGCTTCGCTACACTTTTGTGACATATCCTGTATACTTGTAACTAAACATTATTGAAAATTTACTGATATTACCTACAACTTTCACATTTGACATTTATGGGTATTTCTTCAAACAAGTGAGATAGGTGTGAGTGCAAAATATAGACAATCATCCAGTACCTTATGATTTAGATTTTGGAGAACTTTGACAAGTCATAACTTTTTTTTTTATTACAGATAGAAAACTGAAATTTTCATCGATTCCTATTCCAGTAGAAGACAACAATCCCTGAAAATTTCAGCTCATGTGGACTCACAGTTCCAGAAATAAAATCGCGTTAAGCAATTTGGGGTAGATTTATCATTTTTCAATTTTTCTGAGTGCCTTTTTTCATAGATTTCGGCTCCAAATCTCAGAATAATTTAGTGTATGGAGTTTGGGGGGGGGTCCCCAATGATCATTTAAATACAAAATCTCAACATAAATTTTTTTGGATAGAATATTTTGTTTTTTGGAAGGAGGAACAAGTATAGATGAAGCTTTCTTGATAAACTTTTTATTAATTTATAGAGATATTTACTTTTGCATTCAAAAATATTGTCATTACAATCTAATAAGTTTTAAAATCAAAAATATTCCATTCTAGAACAAAGATTTCAAAGTGAGTAAAAGACCGGCAGCAGCAGTGGGCCAACCAAATCTCATGTACTTGTACAGCACCCTATTGAACAAATATAACATACAATGCGCTCAGCTTTTACTCACCGAGTCGGACATTTACCAGGACAGGAACCGGAAAATCCTCAAAGACTCTATTAATAAGCTACTGTCCCTCGGAGTGATACCTATATTCAATACCAACGATGCTGTTTTGCCTCAGCCGGACGTACCTTGTAAGTTTGTCTTATTTTCAGGAAATCCAATTTCACCCATATCTAGGTCCGACGTTATGTGACGGTATCAAGCTCAAAGACAACGACAGTCTGGCAGCAATTCTATCATCAGAATTACAAACTGACCTTTTGATTATATTATCAAACGTTGACGGAGTCTACGATAAAGCCCCTAGCGAATCTGGTGCCAGAGTTATCTATTCGTTTACCAAGGAAACCAGAAAGATTGTCGAAATTGGTGAAGGTAGCGCTAGGGGAATAGGGGGCATGGATAGTAAAATAAATGCAGCCCTTTGGGCAGTGGCTCACGGTACTGCAGTAGTTGTAGCCAACGGTATGACGATAGATTCAATAAAGACAGTTGTATCTGGGAAAAAATTCGGAACCATGTTCATCGACTCTAGTATTTGTCAGGATGATAATACTGAACAAATTGCATCAGAAGGTGAAAATTCATTCATATTGTTACTATTTTAATTGATTTATGGATGAATTTTTTAGCCAGAAGACAGAGTCGTACCTTGGCGTTAGTATCCAACAACGATCGTGCCGCCTGTATCAATAAATTTGCCGAGCTTCTAGATGCCAGGGTACCGGAGATAATAGAGGCCAATAATAAGGACGTGGAGGACGCTGAAAAATCCGGCTACAATCAGGTGCTGATTAACAGGTTGAGAATAACGCCGGGGAAAATCAAGGCTTTGTCTGTGGGTATTAGACAAGTGGCCGAAACGAGCAAACATATTTTGGGCAAAGTACTTAGGAAGACTTTGTTAGTAAATCAAATCTGTTATATGTTGTACTTATTATCATTATTATTACTTGTAATTACCTTATAGCCAACCAAACGACATTTATTCATTTTAGATTGGCCGATGGTTTGGAATTGACTCAAATAACAGTCCCCCTAGGCGTGATTCTAGTAATTTTCGAATCCAGACCGGACGTTTTGGCTCAAATAGCAGCCCTCACCATTGCTTCTGGAAACGGGCTGGTATTAAAGGGCGGAGACGAAGCTCTCAGGTCCAACATGGTTATGAAGTCCATCGTGGACGATGCATTGAAAACCATCAAGTGTGAGGGTGCCGTAGGGTTGGTGGCAACCAAAGAAGAGATTGCTGATTTGATCAGTATGGATCAATACATTGATTTGATTATACCGAGAGGAGGGTATCAGTTGATTAGGTTTATTCAGGACAATGCCAAGAGGATTCCGGTTATGGGACATTCTGAAGGTATTTGTCATATTTATGTGGACAAGGATGCGGTTGCAGAGAAAATTTTTAAAATTGTTATCGATGCTAAATCTGATTATCCGTCTGCCTGTAACGCTGTAGAAACTGTTTTGTTGCACAAGGATTTAATGGAAGGAGATTTCTTTGCTGAGCTTTGTTGCAGATTGAAACAGACAGAGATTACAATTCATTCAGGTAAATGATATTCAGTCATACAATGCAAAAAAATAATCAAATGGTGAAGGTTTTTACTTAACTGGGAATCAGTCAAGTTGAGAAATGAAACAAAAAAATTTCTGTATATAAAATTTGCTTGTAAATGTAAATAGGTGTAAGGTAAACAAAATTTAACACCATCAAGTAATTCATTTATAGAGTAAGTGGAATGTAATCATTCACAAGTGACCATTTATTTTTCACGCAATCTAAGGCCAAGTAAGTAGGGATGTTAGTATACAGTGTGATTTTTTAAGTGTGCAACATATGGGGATTTTTTTTAGTAATAGCACATCCCAAATACAAACAAGGCCAAAAGTTGGTGCATGTCTGATAATCATATTAGGTGCACTTAGAATGGTTGCAAGTCAAACAGTATACAGGGTAGCTCAAACAATATCAAAGCTGTACTGTCCCAAACAATCAGTTTACGTTTTAAGTACGTACATAATACGTAACTTACGTCTTATGTACGTACTCTAAAATCCAATGTACATTCTAAGTACGTACACAGTACGTCCAATTTCCACCGGATAAAACGTTTTATTTACGTACATTATTGAAGTATTTGGAACGTCTTATGGACGTATATTAAACGTACTTTTCATATCTTATTTTACAGGAGCCGTGTTCATTTTTGTCATTCTTTTTCGTCGATTTGCTACAAATTTTTGACAGGCACGTGTCTGGATCAGACAGTTTCTTTACAAATCACGTGCCAGTCAAAATTTCGGAGCAAATCGACGAAAAAGATGAGAAAAACTAACACGGCCAGGGTCTATAAATTAAAATAATTTCAATTAAATCATTTAAAATAATAATAACATATTTATTTATTGTACATTGCACATTAATAAATTACATATTTTTATCAAAAAGGACACAAATGAACGAATTAAATAGAAAATTAACAATTATATCTTTGATTTTTCCACATTTTCACTTCACATTTATTTCTAAAAACACACTTTAATCACTTCGCCAGACAAACAGCCAACCCAATAAACTGCACTTTAGTAGGATAAACGTAGCTGCATAACATAGGTGGGGGTGCAAAAAATTAGCAACAAGCTGATTTCAGCGAAAATGTTTAGTAACTGGCCTCTTATTTAACCTCCCAAAAGTCCCATTCAATCCTAGGGGTGGAAGGTTAAAAAAAATGGCCGCCATCTTGGATTTTTTTGTTTTTTTCACATATCTCAGTTTCTATTAGTTTTTTTCAAGAAAACTCAAGAAACCTTTTTTGTGAAGAATTTAATTCTCTATAAAAAGTGTCTCTACGTTTTTTTTGTAACATGCAAGATAACGGAGATATAGGTTTTTTTAGAATTTGATTTATAAATTTTTCACTTTGAGCGCAACAAAACCCTCATGGGTGACATACCCATAAGGGTTTTGTTGAAGATCCAAAAAGCGATCCACCAAAGTAAGTAGTATATTCTCTCCGTATAAATTGCAAGTTTTTATTGGTCTATATTGGTCATATTGATCATGTGTGAAGTCATTTTGTTTGTGAAATTGTGATTTTTTTAACCTTATAAAAATTGTTCTGGACCTCATACTTGGTGAGCCAACAAATCCAGTTTTATTATTGGGACTCAAATAGGAATAGAAAAAAAAAGATAAATTGTATTACTTATCAGCAGCACAAAAATGTGCAATCTCATTGGTCGGCCATTTATCCGCCAACCAACAGAATAATAGAACGAGATAAAAACCCAATCTAAAATCTCATTAGTCGGCCAGTTATCCGCCAACCAATAGAATAATAAAACAATAAATTTATCTTGCAGATAGTTACCAGCAAGTTTATCTGAAGATGAATAAACCGTGCCTAAGCCAAATAAACATTCTGTATTAAATTTTATTCCTACCATAATCAATCCTGATATGGATCTACCTGTGATAAGGCCTGCTTCCAAAAGGAGGACAAAAATTAGCTTTTTTGCTAACCATGTGACATTTGTCACAAGATTCTATGCAGAAATTGCTCTGGAGTAAGGAGCTCTGAGATCCGAGTTCTCATAATGAAAGAACGCTGCCTAAAATATTTTTGGATTGTTTCCAAGAACTGCCGGGTTTGAGCTGAAGACTTCACGAATTCGAAGCAGAGATGGAAAGGCTCAAAACTGACCAAAGAGTTGTGCTATCCGATCAAAATTGTGTGTTATCGAGGATGATGTAGCAAAATTAGATAGAGGGTTTTCTCCTATTCCTGTCAATGGCTAGCTCACTATGTATGGTATTGAAAACGAAATGGGCTGGAAGGCACCTGCAAAGCCATTCTGGATTCTAATAAGGAACTTGTTGCATTCATGTCCAAGTCCTATACACGCCTGGCAAGTAAACATCTTGCATATCAATTTTAATGCGATAGAATGAAATGTCTAAAGAAAGTCTTAGGTTGTATAGAGAATGAAAACGATTTCCCCTGTTCCACCTCTAGTATTCCCAGCGCTTTTTGCTGGAGGTGGAACAGGGGAAATCGTTTTCGCTCTCTATTTAACCTTAGACTTTTTCTAAACATTTCGAAAGGGATAAAAGTAAAGAAATGTTTGAAATATTTACTATAAAAAGCTCTGTATCTCTGTTATCCTTTATGTTACCAAAAAAAGGTATTAACATTTTTTATAGAAATTTAAATTCTCCACAAAAAAGGTTATTTGAGTTTTCTTGAAAAAACTAATAGAAACTGAGATAATTGAAAAAAACAACAAAATTCAAGATGGCGGCCATTTTTTGCAACCTTCCACCCCTAGGACTGAATGGGACTTTTGGGAGGTTAAATAAGAGATCACTTACTAAACATTCCCGCTGGAATCAGCTTGTTGCTAATTTGTTGCAGCCTGACCACCCAGATTGACTCAGCTACTTGTAGACAATTTAGGTTAGGGATTCGGTATCGATCTCACCCAAGTCCAAGTCGTTATTATTCTTACATAGAAGAAATTAACACAAAAAAGTAATCAAATTTCACGAATCACTATTCCAAAATCGGTAGAATAAAATAAGGAAACATGAGAAATTAGAGAGCGGAGAAAGAAAATGGCGCGGGATGGAGGAAGAACATGAAGTTGATTTGACAGTTGAAATGCGACATTGCCAAAGCCTCTGTTTGTTACCTTGTTTGGTCACAGTATTCTGTTCAAGAAAAATTAAAAAGTGCAAAACATCTGGACAATCAAGATAAATTATGTCTACAATTAAAAATAGCATTTTGGCGTGATAATTATTTAGATATACGGCACGTTTAATAATTATTACTCACCTTTTATTGAACTTAAATTTGGCAATGCTGCACAATCATCATTCATTTTGCTGGCGGAAATTTGAAAAATACTTATAGGTTGCGGTTGATCACTAATTAGAATTACCATTTGCACATATAGGTAGATGCAAAATAGGATTCCAATAATTTTGTAGGTGATTATCATCACGAGTTTTTGTGTTAATTTTTGTTTTTTTTTTTAAACATTTTTTGTGTACTTACTATGTACGTACTGAAAACGACTGAAGCTTACATACAATGAACGTACCAAGCAGTACGTACTTAGTACAAATTTTTTTGGTCTTAAGACGTACGTACGTAAATATGACCTAAAATGGACGTTTTTAAAACGTACTGTGTTGTTTGGGGTAAAGTAGGTACCCTTATTTTAAAAGATTCAGCAAAATGTTATAAAGAAAAGTTGTTTGGAATTAAAAGTTATGCCTAAGTACCAAAACATAGCCTCCTAAGATTTATTTAATTTTTTTTTCGAAAAAAATCTATAATTTCTATATTTTTTTTTATTTTTTATTTCCGCCCTTGATACTTTCAAAAATTAATTAAAATCAAATCAATTTTACATACCTTTGTTCAAATTCACGCATAGGGTAAAACGCCAGTAATTGACCATCAGCCATCAGTGTTTGACCGTTTTCGTGAAAAAATGTGAAAAATAAGAATTCTATAGGAATATCTTAAGGAGTATGAAACTATTCATAAATAGCCTGAAGTTTTTTCTCCATCCCCTATTATGCAAAACTTTCGCTTTGTCATACCAGATTGTCGTACTTGTTGTTTAGTTTACCTCCAACCACAGGCTGTTCACATCGTCTTAAGAAGTGTAATTTTTGAATTAAAAAGTTCACCTAATTAAAGTAATATTATTCATCTCTTTTTGCATTTTTTATATTTTTGTTTGTTTGTCGGTGTTCTAATAAATGTTATCTATCGTTTATATCAAAAAAATACCGCTTTAATTTATTTTTTTTGTCAAAATACAGCCGGTCAAAGACTGGTAGCTCTAAATTTGAATAAAAATTAGTGTTTGACCAATCGGTCAAATACTGGAGAAATTATGAGATTTATTATTCTTGTAGCATTAATCTGATTCATTTTAATATTAGAGGTATAACTAGTAATTTTAATAACCCTCTTGTGTTTTTAGAAACATATAAGCTTAAAGGCTGTGATTTTATTATTCTAAGTGAATGTCATAAAGTATATAATACTAAAAATTTTAACATACCTAGTTACGATGTTTATTACAATGAAGCTGATTTTAATTCGTTTGATGGCGTCATAGTATACTATAAAAGTCACTTAAACCCTAGATTTAATAGTGTTAAAATGAACCGGTGTGGTATTACTGTGACAACCGTTAACACCTTGGTTAGGGATACTGAGTTTAATATTTACGCCACATATAGATCACCTTCATCTAATTTAACTCTGTATATATATATATTAATATAAATTTGCTTAACAAAAATGACTTAAATGTAATAAATTATTTATCTTTGCTTAATGGGCAAGGTTTTAAGGCATTGTGCCAAAAAGTCACTAGGGAGGAAAGTCAGACTTGCTTAGACCATGCTTTTTTGCGAGAGAGTAAGAATTTGCGTTCTAATCAGCAAAAGCTTTTTATAATTGAACATGACATTAGTGACCACTTGCCTCTATTGCTGCACATTCCTATTTCTCAAGCAATGGG